TGAATTTTGGCCCGAAGCAATCATCCAAGCCCAATTATTTCGGCATCTCTCGATTGACCATACAACCTTGCGTACATATACGTTATACTGCACGCACGCACACGCGCGAGGCTATATAATTTCGACAGTTCTATCGGCGGCATGATTTGGATATCGAGTCCGAAATACCTTACGTAAAGTCAGCAAAAGCGATCGAATCGAAAATTTCACCTTATCGATCCATTTTGTATATTATAAGCTGCGAGCGAGGCGAAAATAAAAGTGTCAAAGGATTGACAAGTTGTCCGCCTCCGTGCAACAATATACGGTAGTGGAGTCGCTCGCGCAAACGGGCCTGTCCGATTTAATTGGAACAATCAGCGCGGCATTAAAGTCTCCTTTTCGTTCTGGAGAAAACTGCACTGCTGGCGCGATTATATACGTGTATATAGGAACATAGGTGCAAGTATAGCAACAATAACAACAACAGCATAGCTGCAGCGCAGGCGAGGGTGTACGTAATGCCCAAATTAGAGTCACGAAAGAGTCGCGCTTTCTTATATGAACGTGTGTATGTGTGTATATACATGTATAGAATAAAGTATGCTTAGAGGTAGCTTTGCTGCAGGATATTGCGCGAGGATCGTCCCGTCTCTCTTTTCTTCTTTCTCTTTCCCTCTCGGTACTACTCGCGGGACTTCTCTCTCTCTCTCTCTTTATCTCTGTTTTTCTTCGCTCTCGGGCTCGCGCAAAGAGTGTCGCAACCATTGCGCGACTTCCATTCTATAACACTTTTTTTAGTTGTCTCTTCAATTTTCTAGATATGTCAAGGAAAAACGCAGTGAAATCGCTCATAACCGACCCGTGTATCTCGCGCCGACAGTTTTTCTTTCCTTTTTTTCTTTTTTTTTTCTTCCTTATAGAAGAAGCTCTGTGATGGGTCTAAAATAGACTTTTGCCAATTGTTTTTTCACTTATAATTTCATTTATGTATGTATGTGGAATGAGTTTTTTCGAAAAGGAAACGGTAAATCCTATTGAAATAAACTGCATTTATTATCTATTAAACCAAGTTCGATTTACAAGTTTTTAGTTTGATAATAGGTCTTCATTGTGGGGGTAGTTACAAATGGGTGCACAGCATGGCTTTCATATTTGTAAATAGTTTAAGCAGACGCCCATGTTACCACTAGCCGTATACAATAGTTATTTAGTTCAGCCTAGTAGCGGCTTTTAATGTTAAACATCAATAAAGGCTTTTTATGATATAAAAAGGATTCTTATAGAAAATTATATTCTGAACTTTACTCTTTCTCTTGAGGGTTTCAAATGAGCATGTCTAAGACGTAGACAAATTTTGAAGGGGCCACGTAGCGGCAGATGAGAGTACTACGTACTCGGTAGTCAAATATCCGACTCGAGAAAGATCTAGAGAAGATTGACTTCAGTGTCAATCGGTTTTCGCTGCGAATAATATTGATAAAAAAGGATATTTATAACGATTTTCAATTCAACGAAATTAGTTACACATACATCTGAACTGAGGAGATTTGTTGGAAACTATAATCATAGAAACTAAAAATTGTTTTCTTTTTGTCACCCTGTCTATTATATAAAGTTTTCGCTGCAAGCCGTCGAAGATTTAGAGATTCAACGAGTCGAAAACAAAGTAGATTTTCGTTTATCTATAGCTCTGCCTCGAAATATCGAAAGCTGTACTCTTTGCCTTGGAAAAGAATAAAAAGGATATTTTGTCATTTTACAGGAAAAATAAAACGATGATTACTTCCAGTAAAAAAATAAAGCGACTTTATAAGCCATAACGATATTGTGACAAAAGTGCCTTTTTCCTATTACCATGACACTTATAGGACGCATTTTAATACCGCCTAGCCGAGTATTGTTCAGCAGTCGATGACGCGGCGTATATAACTCAATTTTTTCTCCTTATTGCAAAAAAGTTCATTAGTATGTTTGTCCCCTCTCCCTCCTGCTGCGTTCGCGTATATAATACAGAAGCTCGTTTGTGTGGCTATGTGCTCGTGGCTTTAACGTGGAAAAGTTTAAAATTACAAGTAAACAGCGCTATATCGCCGCAGGTGTAAGAAAAGATATTATCGCCACTTCCTGCGTACGGTTTCCCTTTTTTTCCCCTCCCCCCTCTCTCTCTATTTCTATTCTAAACTCGAAGTTGCAATGCGCGAGCATCGCCTCGTTTTTTTTTCCTGCGAATGTGAGCGTATACCGACTAACGATGCGGAATAGAAAAAGGTGAGCCTAGAGTTCGAGCCTTTGTATAAGTGTAACATAAACCTTCCGCGTGTGCGTATAGTCATTAGATATCATTGTAATTATCGAAGAGCAAGGACATGAGCCGGTCGATAGTCTCATGAGCTATAATGGAAATTTTATCCTTCCAATTTCACTGATGGGTGTTTCGTCCCGAAAGTAATAACTTTGTCTTGTCGAGAAAGGAATTTCTTTTCTATTGGATATTTCAAGGAGGATCAATTTGATTGATAAATTAATAGAATTATTTTCCCATTGCATTGATTAAGGATCGTAGCTTTTTTCGTGCCATATTTTTCCAAATTGAGAACGGAACGTAATGAAATCAAAGGTTGCACAGCCAACTACGATACGAATTCATTGGTACATTTAATACGAGAAAAAAACACCAAAGTTTGCAGAGAACGAGTTGTAGAGCAATCGGAATGGAGAGTTCACGTGCATATAAAAACAATATAGATATATTATATAGCCCGCGAAGCGTAATACCGGCCATTGTGGAAGCTTAAAACTGCTGTCTGCATGGGGGATATATATTGCTTGGCGCGTTCGTCTGTGTGCATGTGTTCGTGTACGTCTATACGTCTATCTATGCGGAGTTGCCTAAGTAAGTGGCTTATTTCCACGCTTTCGTGACTTTCCTTACGAGCGAACCTCTCAGCCAAATGATGTTGATATATATACACCTATATACCGACAACGCTGTGTATACACATCTTTCGTTACATATATACGTACTGTACGCTCGTTATAACAAAGCAGTATTTTGTTTTTACTCAAAAGCATCGCGTCGAATGCTTTTTTTTCTTTCACTTTTATTTATCGGCGAAAGAAACGAGTCCGAATTTTTACGTTCGCCAGACGTCGTAGTCTAATTCGATTTTCTTTTCCAGATCGGCCGATCGTGAATATTCGACTGCGGGACTGTGACCGATCGAAATCGAAAAGCCGCCCGTCCGGCGCTCGGGTCATAAACGAAAATCAAACGTGCCTCGGATCGAAATTTCTCCCGTTTTTTATGGCCTACCCGGAGTGCAAATTCGTTCGAATCTCAAGTGGATCGAACAGAGGCGGATGAGAATAATCGGTGCACCCGATACGCGCGCCTAACATATATACATATCATACATAAAAAGCCGTGCGCGGTCACGCAATGCTGCTTAAACTAGATTTTTCGAGCCCATTTCAGGCGCGCGTTATAATCCAAATTCAATGGCGAAGAGAGGAAAAACGGGCGCGGGCATGTAGAGCAAAATCATGGTGCGCGCTTAATTACTTTCAAAGAAGCGATATCGCATCCGATTGAAAAAATGACGTACGCGTATATGCAAGCGCGGTTTTTGCTGGCATTGCGGCTGAAAAAATTGCACGCGAGCGATCTCGAGAGCTGCGGCTGCTGCTGCGAGGAGGCAAAAAGCAGCATAGCTCGTCCACTTGATGATCCGATTAGACATGCGTGTGTGTGGTAGCATGGCTACACGAGAACGCATGCATGTATAGCATCATGCACGAGCGCACGAGGTGTGCGTCTTTGCGCGACTATAATACGCACTCGTTATCCGAAACCATATCGCGGACACTTGTATGTACGCTTAAATACTCGCATAGCCACTGCGCGTATACGCGTACGCACGAGCCACAAGGATTTGCTCTGCGGATGTAAATGCAAAAATATTGGAAAGCCAGCCAGGTTAGCGGTGGTATTTGGTCGTCGTTCGAAGCGAGTACTATACGTATCGATTGAAATATTAGCAAAGACGCGAGAGTCAACACCCGCTAAAAGTACTACATGGAAAAAAGAAAAGGCGCGTATTTTCTGTTATTGGCTTTCCGCCGTTCAATAGCCGTAACGAGATTGCACTCTGCACTGCAGCTTATAGGTACTTATATATATAGTATACTCTCGCTCGATCGTATTATCTTTTCGTTTTCACGAATAATAGTCGTCGTCGCGCACGCGCGTTTCGACAATCAGAGCGTTGAGCGCGAGCTCGGGCGCGCGGGATGCGGCAATTGACCGTCGTTGGACGCGGCTCGCGGTTTCCATTGTTCCTTCGTTAATTTTATTTACTTAACTTTTTTTCCTTTTTTATTTTATCACCGCTGCGCGTGCCTCGAACGAGAGAGCTGCTGCGCGCATTTATAATAATTGAAATTTTTGCCACGCTACGTATACGCGAGAGCTTTCTAAAGAAAAAAATAAATAAATAAAATGAAAAAAAAATTGCAATTAATAGCGCGAGCGTACGTACACACGGGTGATGGATGAATCGTCGTTAATTGGACTTTGGAAGATTTTTTCTCTCGATACACATCGCGAGCCGTCAGTTTTCGAGGCGCGAAGAGCTCTGCGTTAGCCGATTCGCAGCGAGTTTTCATTTCACCTTTACGCGCCGATCCGGACCATGCTATCCCATGTGTGAATACGATGCACCGCGTATATCGCTCTACGGCCAAAGTTAGCCAGCCAGAAATCATTGCACTGGCGGGGCCGGTTGCGTGCAATTAAGCATCGGCTACGTCGCGTCAATACATAATCACAATACATAATTCGCGAGCTGCGATTTCTAAACGCAAGCTCTCGTCTGGCACAAATTATAAACTTTCGAGCGCGGGCCGGAGCGGGCTCGAGTGGGCGCTTCCAGGCGTTACGATTGCCAGCACAATAACAATGAGCGGCATAGCATATTATAGTAAAGAAGGTGGCATAGATCGGCTATCGGATAACTCACCTCGATTTTGCTGGCGTAATTCTCGGCGAGAGCCTCGCTCTGCCTGGTGAGCTCCTGGTTGCGCTCGAGCAGGGCCTTGCCGAGCTCCGCGGCCAGCACGAGGTCCCGGTCGCGCTGGGCCAGCAGCTGGCTCGGGTCCTGGCTCAGCTCGTCCTCCTCGTCGTCGAGCTGGGCGCCCCGCGTCTGCAGGCTCGATATCATGTCCTCGAGGGCGTACTGGCCGGAGCCGGCCTGGGCCTCGAACGGGCTGTCCTTGCGGGGCAGCATCTCGATCCCGCTCCTCCGACACAAGTAGGACAGTATGTGTTAGCTGCTCTGGATCAGCAGCAGCTGACGGCCCGACCGGCTAGGGGGACACGAGCCGCTGAGTCTGGCGCACAGGCGCAGCCGAAGCTTTTCCGCCTTCTGCTGCTGCTCTTGCTTCGCCTTGGTTGACGCTGCACTAGTACTAGGGCTACTGCTACTGCTACGCTTCTTCGTCTGCCTCGTCGACGATGGTCTTGCATAGCTCGCCATCGGCCGATGACCTGGACGCTTATTCCTGACGCCCGAGCTCGACTTCCAGAGCTCTCTCAACGCACCTTATACCTATGTACTCGAGGATGATGCGACGATGGGCAAGCAGCTGAAACAGAAAATCATTTTCTTTCGTCATTTTCGGCTTCTTTCCATTTTATCTAATGTAATACGTATCACGCGTGGTGTACGTGCGTATCGAGTTTGTAAAAGAGAGTGTGAAAGTGTCCTGACTCGAGCGCGCGGGAGTATTATTTCAAACACGAGCTGCAGCCTGACACGTGGTATTTTTTGCTCGCGGTAATTGCAGCCCACGGCTCGAGATCCGATAACCGGCTACATCTACTACGTCGATGAAACGAGCCCGTGTTAATCGATGCTATTTAACCACCAAGTCGATAGTAATATTTTTACGCGCCTGAAAGATGCAATGAAAAAATCCATTGCAATTTCAACTTACACGTCGAATGAATTAACGCAGACTCGACGGTCGCGTCGAACGGCCGTCTCGAATAAATAGCCAAGTCGATTCTAAGCAGCAAAAAAAAGACGAAAAAAAAAAAGGATAAGCAAAGGAAGGGAGAAAAGACGAAGCAGTGACCCAGATGCCTCGAGTTGGAAACAGCGACGAGCTTATAAGCGACAGCGATGTATCGTTCAACGTATAAATACGTCTGAATATTTAGAAACCGTCCGTCTCTGTCTCTCTCTCGGCTCGAGTCGCGCTCGTGCACACGCGAGGCCGCGCTATTATATACACGTAGCATTATGCAGCGAGGGAAGATTGCGGAGCATCTCGGGATAATCAGGCCCCCATTCTCCGCGTAGCCTAGTCAAATCACGCCGGAATCTTACAAAATCTCTTGGCTCGTCTCGTTATGCTGCTGCTGCTGCCTCGTCGTGCTCGACGTGTGCAAACAATCAATCGCGCTAGCTCATACATAATAAAAGTTCGGAGTCTCGGGCTATTTTTCCGCCGCGATGCACCGGGCGCAGCGCTGCGTTGCACAAGCGTATAAATTATCCATCGATCCTCTCGTCGGCTCGACTCGCTCGCGGGTGCGGCGCTATATTAGAGCAAATTTCTCCGCGATCGGCAGACTCGCTCCCCCGCACTCGCTGCAATAAAGCAGTGTTGATATTACGTGCCGATCTCGAACTCTTCGGACATTTTATCTCTCGTGCTGCATGCAACGTTATAGACACACACACAATGTTTAAAGGGCTAACGGCCTCGAGTACGTTTGATTAGAAGACAAGTATATACGAGAAGGATAGATGGAGTGCAGCTCGATATACATGGTCGTGACGCGCCACAGCACTTACGGCCAGCTCTTTTTCTCTCTTCCAGCCGCAGCGCAGCACTGCACACATCGAGATGTGGCAGACACGGCGTGGGCTTTTTTCTCAGTAATACAAGGTTTTTCTCCGTATATATATAATGTATATATGTATAGATCCATATTATATCCCACGACTCGAGCTCTCGAGGCGACGACGGACCACGCCGAGATATAAGCTGCTGCTGCGCGTGTGTGCTTCGTGTCAACTCGCCAGCTCGGCCGCGCGTCATTGTAATATATCTTTTGACTCGCGATCGCGACTCGACGATAGCTCGCCTCGACACAATCAAGCCACAACGAAGAAAGAGAAGAGAAGAAAAAAAACCGACCGTTTGTTTACGTATTGTACACACTTGTCGCGCTTGTTTTGATCTATATCGCGCAGCCTTTCAAAATTCAGCTGAGATTTGTGTTTGAGAAACATTAGACAGCGCGTTGTATTGCGCCCGTCAAGAGCAACGATAAGTATTAATATCGGCGCACGATACCTTATCTCGAGCTCGTCGTCGTCAGGATAAGCTGAGTGAACGCGCACCTTATTGCACTTGAGAACGAAAAAAAATCACGCTCCAAGATCGTTCTCGCTAACCCAATTCGATATCGGAAGATGATGTTGCGTTGCGTCGAGGTGAAGGTGACAGCGAGCGAGAGATACGCGTAGAACACAGAGCGAGTCCGATACGTGACTAATTGTGCAGGACACTCGAGCACAACTCCAACGAATCGATTTGTATGGATTTCAATGAAGCCATCCTGTCACCGACAGTCTAAAGCCGTATTTAACGCGAAATTAATTACAACTGCTTCGGCACGTACTCGCGCGTACTCGTAACACAGCATGTAAACATCGCTCGATCCTCGCTGATTCTCTCGAAAGTCTGACACACATCGAGCCACCCACGCGCTAGATCGATCGGCAAAAAGTCGCGTAAACACACACCCAGCCGTGTAAACGGAAAGTGTGCGTGAACTCGCGTTAACTCGCGTGGGTGTAAGAGAGAGAAAAGAATCGTCGTAATGCACCAAGTTCAATGGCGCAGTTGCCGCATTGATCGCGCTTACACTTGGGTATATATCAAGCGAAGCAGTTGGCGCGTGCAAATTTATCGACGCACCTGTATACGTGCGAGTGCCTCTGCGTCTAAATGTCAACTGCAAACCTCGGGTGCGTTCGATAGTTCCGTCGTCGCGATCTCGTCGACAGATCGCTCGATGTCGTTTATTTACGCTTGCTTGCGATGCACGATTTGCGCGTGTATTAGCTCATTCTTCCTTTCCCCTCATTTTTTTTCATTATGTTTGTGCACTAAACGCGGGACTGTGAGTCATATTTGTTTCTGCCTTAAGGCGCATCGATGATTCGCGCATAATTTTGCGTGAGAATTCATCTAGCTGCGAACGATTGTAATGCGGTTAACGAGTACACCGACGATCCTATTTGAATGAAGAAAAAAAAAGTAGGTAAGGGTCGCTCCAACGCGACTCATAAATATTTACTTTTGCGTTTGTCTCGTCGATTGAAACGTCGTTTCTTCGTTATCTCTTATCGTCGACGATACGTAATTTCATTTATAAGAACGAGATTGCTACGAGCGAAACCATTTCTCCAAGAGCAAGACGGACAATTCACGTGCGAAACGAGCGACTTTCGACTCGGATCGGACGCGAAATAGTATTTAACGATTACGAAACGACATGACATAATTAGCAATTAGCCGACGCTCAGAGCTGTTACTCGCGTTAGTGCGTATACAAACGAAAAGTATAGCACTGACTCATAAACACATTAAAATATTGTCTATCGCGCGCCGCAAAATTTATGTATTCAACGTGTAAATTCGCTTAGAAAATATCAACTCGCGGGAAATTTTCTTTGCGCCAATTATACACGTACGACGTGCGATGTATTATACGCGACATACGTAATGGAAAAAACGTCAATTTGAATTAAGGAAAGCGGCATGATCCAACTGCAGTGTGGCAGCGCCACATGCCATTATAATGGCAGCAGCTTGGCATCGATAACGAGCTCGTGTTTATTTTCGGTATCACGACTCCGTGTCTCTCAAGAGCGAGAGATAATGGCACGTTTAATCAGTCTTTGCTCGCTGCTCGAGTCTTTGCGCGCGCGCGTGTGTGTGTGTGTTTGAGTTTGTGTACATAAATATACAAGCACAAAGCGAGAAAAAAGCGTTAAAATGCTGCTGCTGCGCTGCAGGTATTATTACTCGAGAAAGCACGCGAAGGAGAGAAAGAGAGGCAGAGAGGGTAAGGCAAAAGAAACAATTGCTCATTGTTTGGCGATTAATCGCGTTTTTATATGCACGGCGTCGATCGGCCATGCGGAAGCGTAAAAAAACATTTTTGAGATCTCGCGCAGGCCTCCGAGGCGAGCGAGTGCACGAGTACATAATGCATGGAACGAATCGATCAATTTACATCTTGGCCCATAGATATACACCCGACTGAGCCACCTATATGTTTATACGCAGGTAAGTTTAACGGAAAACCGAGACAATGTATTATATAAGTGTTTTTTCCCTTTTTTTCGCAGAACTGTTACCGTTATAGAAGAGTAAATTGCGACGGGGGTTTGCGTGCACGGCCATGGTGGTGTATTTATCGAAGCGTGTGTATGGTCCGCCCTCGCCCTAATGTACAGTAGAGAAGGTGCAAAAATTTGCCCGACAGCTGGCCTACTTATCGTCGTCCCGATGTTTTACCAGTGTATGTGTGTATCAGAGAGAAGTATAACTATATATAGTGGCATGCACATGCGGTCACCCCTGCGCCTCCGTGCGATGGCAGAAACGGCGAAACACGATCGGCCCTGCAACGAGCCGAGAAGCGGGAAAAGAGCGCGAGCCGCTCGTTCTACGTCACGACGTTCGTTTCAGCGGTTTATTTGACAACAATCGGCCATTATTATTGCTACAAGTAGTTCGGATGTCTTATCGTAAAATCGACGATTAAAAAGTCGATTATTCGAATTGTACATTACATTATTATAGATGGCTCAATAGCTAATGGCCATCGGTACATTATATCGCTCGCGATACTCGTCACACTTGTATTGTGAAGCAAAGACTTTTTTCTACCATACGATCGACTTATCGCCTCGCAAATCTCTCGCGAAAGCGACGAAACTGGCGCGCATTACATGCAACGAAGTCTCGATCGATCGTTTTCTACATTATTTAAATTTCACACTATGCACGTCGATGGGGCACGTGGGCGTGTACAGTCTAGATTCAAGTCGATGTGCGACGTACGCTATTACATTATATGCGTCGCAGTATCGCTTGAAGCGCGCGAATTACGCAAACCGGTACGAGTGTGTATATATACGAAGTGCGAAATATCACGTGTATTTATGGGATAGCGAAGGGGGTACTCGAAACTCTGTTGGGATATCTTATAGGTGTGAAGGATTTGGTCGCGATCGAGAGAGTCGAGGCAAGCGTCGAACTCGTGTACATATAGGATCGTGCGCGCGCGGCAATATAATCCGCGCAAATCGCGATCGCGAGAGTCTACTGCTCGCACAGTTGCGATCTTTCGACCTTCTGCTGTGAAATGTATACAAGACAGGCGTAGAGAAAGAGAGAGAAAAAAAATTGCTTTTACGCTTTGTACTGTACTGGTGTAACGCGCGATCGATTTACTCGCGCGTAGCAGCAATAGCAATAGCTGCTATATGCTATGTTTTGATACGCAACGGATCGCGCACTCGTCCGGAGCAAGTTTTTTTCTCTCTCTCACTCGCTGTCTGGCTGTGTTTCGTTGGTCCGCGAGCAATCGGACACGCAATCGCTTTAAGCACTATTATATTATAATATGTAACGCAACTGTCCACGAAAAGTGTCGGTCTATAACCGAGCGCGTTTTGATAAAATTACCTCTTTGGATCGCGTGTGTGTGTATATTAAATGTCAAGCGTAGGCTAGGCGTTCGTCGATTGGCGTCGCCGATGCACGAATCGATGCTCTACTTGTTCGCGAGTCCGGCGCTGCTTTTGCTGCTGCTGCATCGACGTTCTTACCGCGTTCGACATCCTGCACACGACAGCCGCATGGATGTAACGCGTGTTCGGAGCACTGCACCAGCACGACGACTATATATACGCACACTTATAAACAGTAGACTGCTGCAGCACTTGTACAGACACACACGCGCACTGCACACTGGTCACTTTGCTACAGAGCCAGATCGCACGGAATGTTGTGGGTTGGCGCGCGAAAAGCAACAGAAAAAAATCTCCTATTGGGTCACTGATCTCTTGCTTCTCTCTCTCTCTCTCTTTCTTTCTCGCGAGGTGCGTAATTGCGCTTCTCGAGAGAAATTACGCCGTTTCGTTATATGAGGCCGTAGGTACCGCCGAATCTTCGATCGTTGCGAAAAAATTCGCAGAGCAGAGGCAGCTGATAGCGTCTAGCGTGGGACTTGAAGTCGCCGCCGCAGCGCCTGACGCGGACACGGCTGAATCGACGATTGAGCTTCGACGTCCACGAGAGTATGAGCAGATTTAACGATCTGGCTCCGCTTCGAGTCGATGTTTTTCCGCTGCTATTGTTGTTGTTGTTGTTGTTGTTGTTGTTGTTGGCGTTGTTGGCGTTATCGCAGCTACGGCGACCAGCCCGGTAATTGGCCCACAGCTTTAACATAAAACTGCCAGCCGCAGTTCCGCATCGAGGATCGAGGATCGATATGGACTTTTCTTTTTTTTTCCGAATCAACGACGCAACGTCGTGCACCCGCGCACACGCACACACACACACACACACACAATCGGTATTCGAAGAAAGAGCTTCGTTGCTCGACGTAAACAAACAACTCTCCTCCTCGCTCACACACTCGCTGCACTCGCGATGCGTTGTGCAAGCCCCTCTCACGGGCCTACGCTATACAGTCGCAATTAAAAGTTGTAAAATTACAACGAGAAAAAGCTGAGAATAAAGTATATGCCGCTCTCTGGGCTCTCGATCGTTCACGGCCAGTACAGAGAAACGATCAACGCGCATCGAACATTGCACAGGACGAAAACGACGAGCGGAGATCGATCGGAGCAGGTATATAATAAATGACAATAGCTGCGTGTATACGAGCAGCTGCGAGCGATGGAGGTAGGAGCGATGCGAGTCTCGCGGCGGTTCGCCAGGTACTGGCTCGGCGGTTCGAGCTCTATAATGCACGCTACTCACGCCAAAGCAGCGGCGGCCGACGCGGAGGAGGAGAGGCCGATGTTACATATATATATACATGGCTGCAGTCTGGCCTGCTGCTGCTGTTGCTTGGAAGCGTGCGCGCCGCATGTGGAGGAGGTGGAGGCAAACTTCGAGTGGAATATCCGCGTCTGCTGGTGTGTATACTGTACGCTTACACACACACACACATACGGTCGAGCAGGTATATATGTACAGCAGCTATAAAGGTAAGCTATAGCTGGCTTATAAAAGACCTGGCGAATGAGTCACGCTGCCAGGCCGAGCGAGCGCTATTGTGTCGGTGTGTTCGCGCGGCTTTTCGGCACACATACCTCCAACTATGTATAGCTATATACCGACTGCACGGATCGAATCGGCGACTCTAGTTCCGGAATCGTCATCTGCGTGCGAGCGACTCTTCCGAGTATCGAACCGAGTCCAGTAGTCTTTGCGTGCTATTTATAAATATATTAATTATAAGGAATCAGAAAAGTTACGCAGCAGATATATCGTTCACGGACTAGGACACGATCGATCCCTGGCGGATATCCAACGTTGCATATTTGGACATCTGTATGAGAATCCATAAACTCGCTCGAAACGATATAGCGAGGGCTATAATCATCGTTATACCTTTCGATCGAGTCTGCATCCAGTGCGTACGAACGATACGAATTGCTCGTGTACCTTGGCTCACTCTGATTTTACATAACGCGATATTGTAATTCGCTCAAGACTTATTAAAATGCTCGTAACTCGTGCATAAATCTATACGGGTGACTCAGCGGCCAATAAGGTGAAGTTCTGCAGCGCAAAGCGTCGATTGTTCATTAGATCGTGCCTTGTATTCGCCTCTATAAAGTCACTCGCTGTTATAATCTTATCGCATTACTCCGTCGATTAGTTATAATTCGATTGTGAATTTTTTTTTCAAAAATATAACGCGAGAACGCTCGATGCGAGTACGTACCGAGTATCGCTCCGAAATATTGTGTTACAGCTGGAGAAACGCGCCGAGCCTATTGGAGGAAATGAATTGCCGTTATCCCGTGTATTTGAACAGAAATTTAATGCCGAAACGACTCCAAGTGGATGTGTGTTTATTATTTGTACTATTTCCATTTTGCAAGAACAAATGGAATACTTTGAGCAATGGAGAATTAATTGCTTTTGCCTCGATTGCGCAAATCTATCCAGAGAAAATGTATGAACAATTTGGAATACCAATATGATTTTTTTCACTCAACGCCATGAAAATATTACAACGAAGTAGTATGAAAATTGTACAACGAAGATCAAAGAATTGTAGGCCGATTTCGATTCCGATTAAAGTTTAAGCACTTGCGTGATTTTAACGCGCATATTATAAGCACATTTTAAACTGCGAGCAATATATATTTAAAATTTATATTCAATCATCACAGATACTTTGTAGGAAATTATCATTATCAAGGACACCGATAGATTTTGCAGTGCAAGAAAAGCAAGAGTCTCGTCGAACGAGAACGATTTTTTGCGTGACACATAACGCTCAGAAGGCCGTTATTAATTTTTTGATCAAATATCGAAGCAACAATTCCTCATAAAATTATCGCTTCGCGACAGTCTTTCTTCCGTCGTTCTTCTGCAACGAAAGAAACATTGTGCAGTTTCATTCGAACTTGGGCCGAAACACATAGCGGGCCCGTAACAGACGTAAAAGCTTGTTTGGCGTCGATCGATCGAGCGAAGATTCGCGCACTCCCACAGCTCGAGTCGCACGTGTGCTATACATGCGAGTGCATTTCGCTTTCTAATAAAGCCACACACGCACATGTGCCGCAAAGCCGCGTAGCTTTCGTTTCGCGAATCATACACGTTGGATGGTTGGACGCATGCGAGTCGGATAAAACACTCGACGATTTAACCATAAGGTGGAAAGTGTATCGTACACACCAAAGGCCGCATCGTTCGATTGCTCGGCTAAACACAAGTCCTCTGGTCCGACGGTGAAAATCGCTCGTGGACGAGATTAAGATCGCGTTTCTTTCAGTCAACTATATAGTTAATTTTTGCCACCTAATAGAGGCAAACGACCTTTCAGGAAAAAAAAAGAAGAATACGTAGGAACCGTTAGTCCTGGCGAATAATGCGATTCACGCATTGTTGTATGCTCAGCTTCGTCTTTTATGGGCCTTCGGAGAGAGGACTCGACGTATTACGCGTAACGCACGGACCGACGACGACTGCGTTGTTGCGTTATTTGTTTGTTTTGCTTTCTTTTTTTCATGCACTTGGCAAAAAAAGTCGACATTATTGCGGAGTGCAGTCGCAGTCTAGCGAAACGATCACAAAGCGTCGCCATGACGACGACGACCCGACTCGTATATAGGTATACCTATACATAGTGCACAGCGCATACGTCGAATGCAGGTAGAGGCAGGCTGAAATCGCGCCTGTGCGGTTTTAACGACAAAACAGCCGGAGCCTCTGGTTCGCGCGAAGCACACGCGGACTCTTCAATGACAGCTATCGACTCGTTGAAATAAACGTCTTTTAAAAGGAAATAATAGAGGAAGAGGCCCCCCGAGTCGAGTGTTAATTAGGAGCTAACGATCTAAATCAGATCGAGGCGCAAAGTGCACCTAATTATAATCCCATGTTCTCGACGAATCGCTGTCACTTGGACACACAGGAGGCACTTGAAAATATTCGATCGGGCCCGTGGACGTACTCGAACGCGAGACAAAAGCCAGCTGTCCTCGGCCAGTAAATACGAGTTATATACATGTCGCGCGCCTACAGCGAGTTATACAGAGCGCGATTCGCGCCGAGTTGCAGCGCCAGCTGCGCTCGATTGTAAATAAACACGTACCAGTGCGTGTGTGTTTGTGCGTGAACGCTACCACGTGCCCCCGAGCAGCAGTCGCTCTCGATCGCAAGCTTCGACTCGCCGGGGATGTGCCGCGCCACGTGAAGGAGGCAGAACAACAACGACTTTCATCCGGGATGCGCGTCCAGCATCGCGCTGACTGATGACTGGTGACAGCAGCAGCAGACCGAACTGAGGACTAGAGCACGCGCGTCCGGCTCCGGAGCAGGGGGTTGGACCTTTCAAAGACTCGCACGTACGTACAAAATGTGCACGATGTGTGTAATGCATACGGGCAACCAGCTGCACTCTTACATCCCCCGATTCGGAGATTCTGTCATTGTGCTCTCTCTTTATGCTCGCAATTCTGCCGTTGCCGCGCGGTGTGGTACTGATTTTACGCAGCTTTTCGACTCGCCCGCGCGCATGACTCGGGATCTCAAAAGGGTTATTTGTTTCGCTGAATGGAACATTTGTCTGGCGCGCGGGCCGGATGTCGTCCGTGGCTTTCTTCGCACGCGATCTTTCTTCCTGCAAGGCGCGCAACTGTCTCGTTCCCGACCTTTTTTCCTTCTCTCGAGTTCAACGCCAACACGATCGAAACGGTCGAACGTTCGGGCGGTCGATGATCATAGACTCTGTTGACTTTTCCAAAGGAAGCGCAAGATAGAAGCTCGAGCAAGATGCTGAACTTTAGCGCGCCGGCCCAGGACGAGCTGGAGCTCGAGGCCATGGCCGAGACGGAGCTCGGCCGACTGAAACGCCAGTACCGGATAATGGAGAACGACCGGCTGGCGTACGCGGAGGACGCGCGCAACCAGATGCGCAACCAGCGCAACATCATCGCCAAGTACGAGCACGAGAAGGCCGAGCTGGTGCTGGCCATCAAGGCGGCCAAGTCGCCGGGCAACGCCAAGGCCGACGAGAGCATGAGCGAGCGCCTCGCCGGCCTACTGAGGCAACGAGGAGACTTCGTCGAGCGGATCAAGCTCGAGCGCGACCAGATACGCGAGATCGACGAGCAGATCCTCAAGCTGTCCAAGGAGGTGCACGCGCTCAGGGCCAAGGTGCGCACCGACCACCAGATCAAGGAGGCCAGCGAGAAGCACGAGCGCACCGTCGCCATACTCGAGAACAGGCTGGAGGTGGCGACGCAGCGCTTCAACGGCCTCGTCACGGAGAACGCCGAGCTGCGGCTCGAGATCGACGGCCTGCTCAAGGAACGGGCCCAGTTCAACGCCATGTGGTCGAGGCTCAACGGCCAGCTCAGCAGCGGCAAGGGCGTCATCAACGACCTCATCGAGCAGGCCACCATCACCTTCAATCAGCGCGACGAGGAGCTCAGCAAGATCAACGCCCTCAAGGAGAGGGGCATGCGAGACCTCAAGAGCCACACCTCGGAGATGTGCGAGCTGCAGCGCACCATCGACAACGAGATGAAGCTGCAGGAGTTCCTCGGGGTCAAGGGCCAGTACCGCGAGATGGCCGACCTCAACGTGAAGCGCGAGGCCGAGAAGGAGCAGCGCATCAAGGAGATGCGCGACAAGATCGACACCTACAATCACATACTCAAGCTCGTGATGAAGTTCACCGGCGAGGAGGAGATCGACAAGCTCATCGCCCAGTTCCTCAAGCAGGAGGAGGAGAATTTCGCCCTCTTCAATTACGTCAACGAGCTCAACGACGAGCTCGAGGCCCTCCAGGCGAGGGTCAACGAGCTGCGCGCGGCCATCGACGAGGCCCGGGCCCTCAACGTGCACCGGGGCCAGCAGCAGATCGACACCCTCGACTCGATAGGCCGCGAGCTCAAGCAGCAGACCGAGCGCGCCGACCAAGCCGAGGACAAGCTCAAGCAGGTACTACTACCTAGTACTTTCTCCTTTGAAACCAATAAACTAATTTTTCAACCAATAAACGTGCTTTCAGTGCAACAGACTGATCGAGCGTCTGCTGGTGGGCATCGACGAGCTCTTCCAGAGCATCGGCTGCGACAACTCGCCGATCCTCGAGCTGCTCGGCGACAACGCCAGCGTCAACATGAACAACGTCATGCTGTACTTGGGCATAATCGAGAAGCGCGTCGTCGAGATGCTCGCCAAGATGTACTACCTGGATCGCTCGCAGCATAGGGAGCCGCTCCTAAGCGAGGACCGGAAGCCCAAGCTACGGGTTCCCGACCTCCAGGAAATAGCGCCTACCCAGCCCTGTCCGCTGTAAGACTCTCTTCCTTTGCCTTCCTTTGCCTTCCCATCCTTTCTTTTTGCCTTTCCATTCGCCTTCTGTGCTCGCTGATACGCGAAACGCCGCTTCGTTCCCAAAGCCGAGCCAGAGAGAGAGAGAGAGAGAAAGAGTATCCCTTTCCGGAAGCCGATCTCTCGCTCTCTCTACATATATATCATACGTTTTATAGACGCTTCGCCGATCATTGTACTTGCCTCTGCTGCTTGGGTGGGCAGGGCATTTTTATACGAGCCCCTTTATTTTAACAGATATACAAGCTCTTTTTTTACTGCGCTGTGCATTTTAGCCTGTTCAACGTATCGAATCGACGTTATTTCTATTGTGCGAGTGCGTCTGCACTTGCTTCTATTATTATACATATATGTAATGAGCAAATGTAGCCATATCGCGACATTTGCAATGTCAAGGTTTTTGCTCCGAATTGTAATAATCCATTCATTCGTATACGCGTCTGGCTAAAGATGCATCGAGGCGGAAGAAATGGAAAACGTGTCGGAGAGCCTGGAAAAGCCGCTGACCCTCGACGAGGTGCGGGAGAAGCTGCTGGTCCGATTGCAGAGCGAGCACTCGCATCTGCTGCACAACGTCTCCAAGTGTCACCTGCCGGCCGCGCGCAAGATCATTCAGAAGCGCTACATGTGATCCGAGCCGGACGATTCCTTCTTCGGCAGTCTCGTCGAGCGCAGCACGTCCAACGTCGATGGCAACTTTTACCTTTTTTTTGTCTCCTGACTTTTTCATATTATTGCATTTAAAAGGAAAATAAAAATTCAAAAAAGTTCGACAAGTTGTTTTACTCATTCGATCGACCAGACAAGTTTTCTTTTCTTTTTTTTCTTTTATCGAGGCGATTTGTACAAGTTGCTGCATCTCCGAAGAAAGGTAGCATTCAGATGGTGCTGATCATGCTGCGAGTGTCCCAAGTGCTGGCGATGCTGCGCATGCTCTTGGTGCGGGACCTCGAGACGGTCGACAGAGCACTCATGCGGCTCATGTACGACCTGGCCCGGATGACCTTCTTCACCTTCTTCTGGTACTCGCTCTTCTGGATGGCCTTGAGCTCGCGCCTCGCCCGGCGCCTCGCCATCTTCACGATCTTGCCGAGCTCGACGATCGTCCGCTTGACCATCTGCAGCTGCTCCTCGAGGTCGTCGCGCTTTGCCTCGGCCGACACGCCCTTGCGGTAGCACATCTGGTTGTACAGATTCCACACGCAATCTCTTATCTACGGACAGATCGACCATTGCAATTAGTCATATTTACCCTTCGACTTATTTCATTTTTATTTTGAATGTATTTTAAATATATTTGTGCAGAAATTTTAATTCAACAACAGGATTCCTGTGCATTGATTCACCGCATCATAGCGATCGTGAGACTCTTTTTCTTGATTTTATATTAAATTTCTAAATTCTAGATGATGAAATCGTGAAATTTGATTACTAAACAGAAAACTGGATTAATAAAAAAAGACGTATTCGCAATGAAAAATGACGATGACTCGTGAAAATGATTAAATAATAATAATGATGGAATAGGAATAGCCAGCCACGCATTATACCTGAGTCTCCTCTAATTCTTGTTGCGTCACAATGTCCTTGTTTTCAGCCACGGCGACTTCCCACTTCAACGACTCGGCGTGCGCCAATTCGTATCGAGCTTGAGCTTTGGCCAGACGGCTGTTCAGATCCAGCAGATGTTGAGCCCTTTTTTCCGTCAACTTTTGCTGTCGGTCAAAATGTCAACGAGTCAAACGATTTATTGTACGTAATTTTGCCAGAATATAACGACTCGTACCAATTGAAGATTGGTCAGTTCTAGGCTCTCCAAAGTCTTGTCTTGATTCATATTGAGACTTATTCTGGCCGCCATCAAAGTTTCGTAGCGATTGAAAATTTCGGCTATGGACTGAAACTCGTTGGAGTTGAGCAGCTCCTCGAGATACGCTTGAAATGGCTTGTACTCTTCGACAAAACTCTTCATGCGGTCTCGTACTTTTTCCAATTGTTTCAATTTTATTTCCAGATCGAGAATCTGCAACGATTAAATCGATTAGCATTTACAAAATATCACCCCTTCCTAACAATGGACGGTTCGAAATTTTAATTTAAAAAAAATGGTACAAGTTGCTCTGCGAATTAATAAAAATGTCGTTGAAAAGTAAGGTAAAATAGGAAATTCACCTCGGTCTCGCGTATCTTCTGGCGCTCCTTCTCCTCGCGTATCTTGCGGTCGGCTCTCTCGCGCTTCTCGCGATTCTCCCGCACGAATTCGTCGAACTTGACGAAGGACTTCTTGAGCGCGATCTCTTTGCGGCGCAGATCCTTCCACTGCTGGTCGAAGAGGTGTCGCCGGTGGTCGTACTCCAGGCGCTTGGCCTCGAGATCGGCGTCGACGTTCAGCAGCTCGCGGCCGACCCGCATCAGATCGAGTATCGGCTCGCCTCGCACCGCATCCCAGTCCGGATAGTGCCTGACAGTCGTCGTTTAAAGTCTCAATCACTTAATTCGATTCATTCAATGAAAGAGTAAATGCAAGCCCTCGAAAAGGCGGCGTCCGTCTCGCGCGAAATCCAATTCAAACGCGCCAAGCTGGCCAATGCAGCGAGGCTCGCATCGGTCGCGCCGCTACTCGTGACTTTTCGATCGAGTTGTTGTCGCGCTGTTGGTACTAGACAGCGTGCGGCGCGCCAATCGCCCCTAATCCGCTCGCATCAGGCAATTTTTTCGCTCTCTCGCGCGAAACGCACTACTCTGTGCTTTGTTTCTACGAGGTAAGGACCACCGTCTGTCTATCTCTCTCTCTCTCTCGCCTCCTCCGCGCTAGTACGTGTCTAAAGTCAGTGCGCGTATAGTCAGTGTTGATACACGCGCGTCTGTTTTCCGAGAATCTCAACGACTACGAGTTACTACTGAAATCGAGTTTCGCTAGAAGCAAGAGGTCCAGTATCGACATTGCGACCGGTGGTTGTTTGTATCGTTTTTTCCTTCATTCGCACTTTCATTCTCCCGGCAATTCGAACACCCTCGTGTGCTATTGTCGTTTCGCCAACTTTGCATTCAGTCCGATATGAACAACGAGCATATTCTGCAGCAACATCAAGACGTCACGAGAGCAATGGACGAGACGAGCCTGAACACGTCGAGAAAACGACCGAGTGAGTACAGCATTGCAATTTTCGCGTTGCAGTTTACATCTTTGTTGTTTTGTTTTTGTACAATGGCCGTAGTATGTGGTGCGACTTTGCATCAACGCTTTTATTCGACGCTGGCTTCGTCCTTGTAACAACCACTTCCTTCCATTATATTTGTGTTTTGATTATTACCCAGTTTTAAGCATTGAAAAAAAATTAACTTCTTCGATCTCTGTTTATATTAATTTAAGAAATTCAATCAAAATTTTACATTAGTTTTTTCCCTTTACAGTCAACTACAATAGCAATTAAAATAGTATTGTCCTGATTTTTTTTTTAGTTTTATGCATGTTTATTTTTAGAACATTAATTGGGATTCATATGATACATGTTTTAAGATTCATGGACTACTTTAAGTGTTCCTTTATAATAAGAGCACAACATTTTAAAGGATTTTAAATTGTTAGGATCGTCAATAAGTAATAAGCTAAATTTAATTGTTTTAATTTTAAATTCATTTCAACAGTTATTTATTCGTCATCAGAGGACGAAGAATTTACACCATCAAAATGCAAGAAATTTGTTGTAGATGACAAGGAAAATGTTACAAATAATATTATGCGTGATACAATGGTAACAAACTCTGATACATCAAAATGTAAGTGTTTTTAAATATTCTAAATTGGCAGCCTAAACTACAGCAGTAACTCATGTTAATACTATTATTTTGATAGCAGCATCTAATGATAATTCTTTTGCACCATGGTCTTCATCAGTTAACGTCAACCGAAATTTAAGTAGCTCCAGTGAAGGTAATCAATATTATACAATTGCTAATTAAAAAATTGTTTGCCAAATAAACTCATTTTGTGATTATATGTATTAAGGTTCAGTATTTCATATTAAATTAACTTCTGATACTCAGCAATCATCTCAATTTTCAGTAATTAAGAATGATTTTCACATGAGGAGTTCAAATGATCAAATCGATTCATCTGTAGATAAGGTTTATGAAGATTGCAATGCAACTCAAAGTCAGTCATTAAGGCAATTTATTTATTCACAAAAATATTGTTTGATATAAAAATAACTAATTATATTCCTTATTATTTATTAGGTCAACCCTTGACTCAGAATGAGAAATCTACAGATGATCTTATTTTTATCAAAGATGAAATGATACCATTATCATCTAGACCAAATAACAAAGATGCAATACTTTTACCACCTACTGATTCAAAAGATGAGGCAGTTTTATGCACTTTGTTATCGCCATTACCGCCTTCTCATGCAAATCCTAATGATACAAATCCTTTGACTACCTCCTCTGATCAAACAGAAATGCTATCAACTTTACCATCTTCCAATCATGGTTCTGATGATCAGAGCCAAACAGTTTCTTCCACACTCTTGAACAATCAAAATGAAATGATTCAGCAATCATCCTCTACCAATGAAGATAAAATGCTATCTTTACCATCTTTACCATCTTGTGAAGATCAAAATGAAGAAGGACAAACAGTAACAGCTTCGTTAGTACCACTTAATGATCAGAATGAAGAAGGAGGAGCGGTAACAGTTCCGTTATTACCACTTAATGAACAGAATGAAGAAGAAGAAACAGGAATAGTCTCGTTAGTACCTCTTAACGAGCAGAATGAAGAAGAAGATGAAAAAGCTTCTTTAGTATCTTCAGACAATCAAAATCAAGAAGAAGAAGAACAACAAACAGTTTCCTTAGTACCTCTAGATGATCAGAATGAAGAAGACGAAAAAGCTTCTATATCATCTATGAACAATTTAAATGAAGAAGAAGAAGAAGAAGCAGCTTCTCTGATACCTCTGAATGATCAGGATGAAGATGAAAAAGCTTCTTTAGTATCTTTGAACAATCAGAATGAAGAAAAAGAAGAAGAAACAGCTTCTCTTGTACCTTTAAACAATCAAAACGAAGAAGAAACAACTACATTAGTACCCCAGAGCAATCTAAATGAGATGATTGTTCCATCATGCTCTAGTAATCAGAATGAGATGATGAGTCTTGTTTCAAAAACCTCTCACTATGGTAATTTTTCATTCATAATGTTATTTATTTCATCATCAAAAATGGTGAATACTGTAATGAATTATACTAATATTGTGAATCATTTTTAGAAAAACAAACCAACATCCAAATCTCTAATGGCCAATTTGAACCATCTGTATTATGTAAAGTTGAATGTATAACTGATAAGTCAGATGTTGAACTTCCTGGACCTTCGACACAGAATCATGAAAGAAATGATCGATTCGTGGAAGGTATTTCAAGTTTTACCAATAATAATTAGTTTTCCCAATTTTTTCAATGAATAAATTTGCATAATTTGTTGGACTTGTTTTTATTTCAGACAACTCTCAATCAATATTGAGAAATGTGAATCATCAAATCAATAACTGTCCACAATCTACTCCTATTAGGAATGTTGCAGTGCCAGGTAATTTGAAAAATTAATAAAACTCTATATAAATAACTCGCTTTTCTGATATTGATATTACATTACTATATAGGTTGTTCTAATGAGATTATAGCAATCGATGGACATGATCCTAAAACAGCTGTAATGAACTTACTGATGTCTACTGGACAATACAATACTAAACAATCAGGTTTGTGCTGTTATGAAAATAAATAATTTCACCTTAATACTAATTTAATTTAATTATTCAATAGCTGAAGATGGTGAATATTCACGTAATGATTTGAGCTCAAATATGATGCATTCTGAAGTTATCAGTGGAGGTATATAATTAATTAATTAAATTTTAAATCATCATAGTTCAAATACTCCAATAAATATTTCTGTTTATTTAGATAATGAGGATATAAGTGTTGAACAAACACATGATACATCAGGTAAATGAATTTCCGTCTTTTATTTATGAATAACTAATAACATATATTGATTTTTTTTTTTTTTTAGCAGCTGTGAATGAATTTCTTAGTACTTTTACAGAAGAGAACGCAGGTTAGTCTTTGAAAATTGTATTGTTTATATAAATGATGGCTAAAGTTTTAATAATGAATAATAATTTGATTCATTTTTGCAGGTTTGAATTTAGCAAAATTGATTATCAGTTTGAAAATGGATATTCAAGAACTTGTCAGAAAAATTGATAATCAGGAGAATATCCTGGCAACAGTAGTAAAAGCTAATGAATTGACTTTGGAACCTTTATTTGCTAAAAATTTCAACGAACGTTATAATTTGAAAGTACCTTTCTCCAACTTGGCGGAATTTACTATTTTCAATGAAAATCTTACGAGAAATGTTAGATTTTGCAACGAATTTGTAAGTATTTCTTAATTCAATATCTTCATAGGCATTACAAATCAAAAATGATGAAATAAATTTTACAGATAGCAAGTTTAACAGCATACATAGACAATCACCAGTCTTTTAACAAAAATATATTGAATATGATTAAAAAATACTTGAGCCGAGAATTAGCGATGAAATTCACAGCTTCAAAACCTACTGGTACTAAAATGGTGTTAAAAGATACCATGTTTTGCTCATGCCTACTACGTAAGTTACCACTTTTTCATGACTAAAATTGATAAACCTGCATTGTATATAAAATTTCGAATATAATTAAACTTTTAGAAGCAACGAAAATGACCATGAGAAATGGATTAACGCCATTAGAACATGATAGATTATTTTACAAGAATTTGGGGACAGCTGTAAGCAGTGCTAAAAATTGGTGATGACTCAAGTCCAACTAGCTCCAGATATAATTGTTCGTAAATGAAGAATTAATTAATTTATAACATTCTGTGTTTGACATTAATTATCCAATTTTTTTTATTTTTTTTTTTAGATTAAGAAATATAAGAAATATATACTAAAATTTTTAATCCTTGATATCAATTATCATTACTTGATATGATATTGAACTTATATTATTGATTTTTTTCTTATTTTTTCTTATTGCTTCCATTATATATGTTTTGAATATAAAGTATTGTTCCACAGTGTAAATAAAAACATGTAAAACTGTAAGATCTTTAAAAAATTATACTTTTTTTCTTGTAAAATTATTGTGAAATTTGGCTATTTAGTAAAGAAATAAAAATAAACCTCGAAAATGTGTATGCCTAATCAAACGAGATCCATTGCTCTAATTGTCATGTAAACGTATATACGAACAAGAAAGAAAACGTACTTGACGACATTGCATTCCTCGTTCTTGGAGCGGAAGTATTGAGATATTTCCTTGCTAGTGTTGCCTGCGATCGGCCGCATTTTCTTTTTTTCATATTTTCCCTTGTCCTCCATCGTTTCAGCGTTTTCAATAAACTTAAAATTAAGAAGAATTTGCCAACGTGAGTGCCGCGTCACTCGGCGGTCCTCCTTCGGTCGATTGGCTCTTATATCGACCAAACGCGCTACTACCACTAAAGACCCTAGCTTAGCGATCCCCGTACGCAGTGTCGCTTTATTCTCGTATTGCGCTCATAACCTGGCGTGCAGTGCTTGTCTCATTTCCAATGATTTCGAAGCTATCTGCTCGTAAATTACGGAGGAATTTGTCTGCTGATGCAGTTTGAGATGTGCATTATTAACTATTGTAATTGTAATGGGCTGCATCGCATGGACTCAATCCATCCTCGCGAGCGGCAATCGAGAAGCGATTTTAATAAACGTTACGTGACCGTCAAGACTCAGGTTCGGTTTTGCGAAGAGTATTTCATTGGTAAATCGGTTACAAAAGTCGTCTGCCAAAACGCGATAAATCAAACGCCAGTCGAGAATGAGACTCGTTGGGCTTTGTACGCGCAATTATGTCAGTCGACTAGCGTAAGGCGAACGACAATTCCTGGAAGTATCGTGTGCATACCCACAACTCGCTGGTCGATGATTACTTTATTATTTGAATTCGTTACGAAGCTTCGACGCATCAATTTGAAACTTTGCCAACGACGATGTTTAATTATTTTTTATATTTATACATTTAACGAGTTTGCCGGATATTTTGTTTTTAATTTAAACACGAATAAGTACTGGATTTTGTAATGAAGTGCATTTTTATAATAAAATTTTTCAAATTATCTGCATTCCTAATTACGTATTTTCATTGCGAGCGGATAACTCCACTTGCAAGTATTTCCCTGCTTTATTTCCGAATGGCATCGCAATGTATACTTAATTATGAATATTACACGATCTTACGTTGTATAAATTGTTATATCTTATCTGAAAGTTTTACAATTTTTCTTTCGCTTCTCTACACAATTGTGACTTGATGTAAATTAATGTTTCACTGCGTATATAGTTCACTTTTGTTTTCATTTTTTATGGAAAGATCGTTACGCTAGCGTTTTCGATGTCATTAAAAACTTATTTGAAGTACTTTACTAAAAAGTCGTTTATACATATTTTAAAAATAAATTTTACGTAATTACTACGAAATAATTTTTTCATCCTTCTCTTTATATTTAAAAATAAAAAGAAAGATATTAGTTCTTGGTAATAGAAGAATTTTACTTTTCTTTGGTTTTATTGAAAATTGAAATAATTTAATTAGACAAATTTTTCAAGTGAATTTTGTTCTTAAAAAGCTATTCAATTTCTTGAAAAATAATGCAAAGATTATTTAAATAATCATAGGGATAGGGATTAAGGAAATATTACAATAATAATCTATACTTCAATTTAAACTAAACTGGTGTTATTTAAAGGCTTGCTTGATAGAGAATGGTATGTTTATATGATGCCAAGAAAGTATAAAATATGTAAATAAAATAGACTGAAATCCAATTGAAAATATTTTATTCCCCTTGGATATGGATTTTCTTAATAAATTACATCTATTTGGATACACCAAATCCACAGTAGAACACTTATTTCCATCTTGGATATATTAGTAATAAATTACTTCTTCTTAGATACACCAACAGTGCGACCACGTCTGCCAGTAGTCTTGGTGTGCTGACCGCGCACACGGAGACCCCAGTAGTGACGAAGACCTCTGTGGGCACGGATTTTCTTCATTCTCTCCAAATCCTCACGGAGTTTGGAATCTAAATTTGAGGATGTCAGCTATAAAAAAAAAAGTTGTTTATTAATAATGATTTAAATTTGATAGCATAGTGTTGCAACAGTATCATTAATAAATAAATATTAAAGAATAGACAAATCAAAAATTTTTAATTTTATGTTGCGCATTCAATTATTTTCCAACTTCAGGTGTTATCAAATGTAATGTTGAGAATTACGCAGTTTCTTTGGCACAAGCTACCAGTCGATTATAAATTGAGTTTAATAACCAACCGTGTTATTGTGCTAACTGTTTGTTTATGTAAACAAATGCAATATCGATATATCATGTCAATGATACTTACTTGACTGTATTTTCCGTCAACAATGTCCTTTTGTCTGTTCAAGAACCAGTCTCGAATCTTGAACTGGCGGGGGTTAGCCATGATCGTAATGACTTTTTCAACCTGAAAGAAAATAAATCTATAAGTTAATGAAAAAATGAGCAAACTCATACGGCAGCGGCTCTCTATCTTATCACAAATATTCGGATATCTTACCTCATCGTCGGTCAATTCACCGGCCCTTTTCTTGAGATCGACATCAGCCTTCTTCAAAACAATGTTGGCATAACGACGACCAACACCCTTGATCGCCGTCATGGCGAACATGATGTTTCGGTTACCATCGATGTTGGTACCGACAACACGAAGGATGTGGTTGTATTTAGGAGGCACAATGAGAGACTGAAAAAATGAAGGACATGATTAGTATTATTAGTCATATTCATCACCTGACAGAGAACTTGAATTTTCAGTTTAAATTATAATTTCTAACATTGGTGACTCATTTTTCACGAAATCGTAGTTAATATTCTTTGAGATGGATCGACATTTTTTAAACAAACAACTTCTAAAATTGTTAAATTGAATTTTGCACGTGTGGCTATTTTCGCCTTAACCTCACTGATCACATTTGACAAAAAAAACTTTCATTGTAAAGTATACAAAGTGCAGCAAACGATTCGCTTCATCACGCATAGAAATTATTAACTTAGAGACTTCAAAGAAGAGTTAAATAAAGTTTAAACAAATTAATGTTCGATCTCTGTTCGATCTTTTATTATAAAAATATGTTACGCACCATGATGTCGGTAAGCTCGAAACGGCAGTTTCAAAGCAAAAAGAACCGAAGCCTTCACGTGTGAGTGCAGACTAACATTAAGGTACTTTCACAACGCGGTGCGCAGGAGTGTGACCACTATACGATTGTCGTAGTGCGCGCGCGCGCGCGCATGTGAACGAACGCAGTAGTGCCGAGAACAGCTCTCTTTCTCTCCGTCGGGCCGCGCAGTGTACCTATACCGATGAATATTCAGCTTCGGGCGAGAGAGCAACGTGCAGGCTTAGACCCAGTTTACAACGCCGAGTCCCAGTGCAGTAGTATAGCAGTAGCATCGGAGCTCGCAACAAGGTACAGCACAGTAGTAGCAGGGGAGACCTATACACATCGGCTGCTACAAAAAATTCTTCCGCCAGCTCGACCGAGCCCCGCAGTGCACAGTACCCGCGCAAGTGTTCATCTAGGAGCAGCCTCGTAGTGTTCCATTGCGGCGCATCGTGCAACCCGCAGTGCACCAATTATTACGCGCGGATACGTATATAGTCATCATTAGTATATTCATCTCTCTATCTCTCTCTCTCTCTCTCTCTCTTTACCACTTTCTCTCGCACTCTCGTTCTGGAATAATACAGACATATATAAAGGTGCTCGTAAAGACCGCTGCGCATACAGTAGCAGCAGCCCAGCGTGTATGCGTATATAACAACACATGCATAATATATAGTATTATATACGATTATATACTCACACACATACACTTGGATCATCTGTGTATATGTGATTCCCGGTGTGCACACTCGAGTCTGGTGTCGAGGGATAGCATAATACTACGCGGTCGACGGCGTGCTCGCAATGGCCGACTCAGGAAAGATGCAAGGAATAGACACCTCTGCCGCCAACGCAACCATGAACAATCAGCCCGTCAAGCGACGATTGGTGAGTCTCTTCAATTGTTTACTTGTATTCGTGTGATCTTATGTGATGTACTTTTCAACGAAATATAACCCCCCGCGCTCGTGAAGGCCCGCCTCGTGTCTCCTGCCTACCCTCTTCGCGCTAACACCCATCGTCGCAGCAGCTATGAAGCGAAAACAAAAGCACGCGCTCTATCGCCTCGCACGCGTTCCACTTGCCTTTCTCTCTCTTTGCTTTGTCATTGCAATCTTGATATGAGAAATTTCATTCGGTAAAGTTCGATGATTACTCTACTTTCAATTTCCCGCTATTACCTTGCAATAATAATTTTCAATCAAAAAAGATGATGTAATTTATTCATTTTTCGATTTTTAATCAAGTTCATTCTGAGCTGCGTTGAATAATTATTATCCAATCAGTAGATTCTTTTCTGCTAACTTAAATATTTATTGCACTTAACGGCATTTTGTATACAAACGGATGGCTCCAAGCATTCGCGACCACGTGCTTATTAAAATGACAGTAGAGTCAAACTTCTCACACCGCTTCTTGTGCTGAGCTTTGGTCATAACTTCACACCTTTGTCTGATCGTTCAACTCTGCGCTTCGGGGCATAATTTAGTGCATAGCTTATAATAACCGAAAGATAGATCAAAAACTAACTACTTCTTATCTTGCAGCGAGAACGAACGAAGAAATTTTACACTGATGACTGGGCTTTCGGCGATGAAGAGCTCGAAGGTAGACGAGGTTTTCTCGTGGAAGAGAAAATTGAGAGCGACAAGTACAATTTGAAAAACTTCAATGGATTGTATCGCGAAATGACCGGTGAAGAACTCACCGTGTCGTACTTCCAAAAGCACGGCTTCGGCATACCTCTGCTGATCAAGGACAAAGCTGGCTTGGGTATACGAGTACCCAGCTCCAACTTCAGCGTTCACGATGTCAGGACATGTGTTGGTCAGTAGTATTCTCATGAAATCTCTTACATGCAAGTTGATCTTATGCAAAATAAACACTTTAATTTGATTCTAGGCTCGAGACGGTTACTCGATGTTATGGACGTCAATACACAAAAAAATGAAGAGATGACCATGAAAGAGTGGCAAAAGTACTATGAAGAAGAAGAAAGGACTCGTTTATTGAACGTGATCTCGTTAGAATTTAGTCACACTAAATTAGAAAATTACGTTCAATCGCCAACAATAGTGCGCCAAGTTGATTGGGTCAGCTCTGTTTGGCCCAAACATCTAAAAGAACAACAAGTAGAAGCCACAAATCTTCTTGAGGACATGATGTATCCTAAAGTTCAAAAATATTGCTTAATGTCAGTTAAAGGATGTTATACAGACTTCCACGTGGATTTTGGTGGTACCAGTGTATGGTATCATATTTTAAAAGGTGCCAAAATTTTCTGGCTCATACCACCCACGGAGAAAAATTTAGCTCGTTATCAGCAATGGGTGCTGAGTGGTAAACAGTCGGACGTTTTTTTCGGAGACATGGTAGATAAATGTGGTAGAATAACTCTTTCAGCTGGTATGACCATGTTTATACCAACTGGATGGATACATGCTGTTTATACTCCGGCTGATTCACTTGTTTTTGGAGGCAATTTTTTGCACAGCTATGGAATTGATAAGCAATTAAAGATTGCCCAAGTTGAGGAAGCTACAAAAGTGCCTCACAAATTTCGATACCCATTTTTTACTGAAATGTTATGGTAAGTTTTCTCTTGACCTTGATTTATAAAAATGTTTTTATGAACTTGTTTTTAATTAAATAAATTTTTACAGGTACGTTTTAGAAAGGTATGTTCATGTTCTACTTGGGCGTAGTCATTTGGATATTTCTGAAGATCAAAGTCATCATCTTACACCCAAGCACACCAAACATGTTCATTTAACATCTATGGAACTTCATGGCCTCAAATCAATTGTTATGTATCTGCACGCACTCCCTTCTACAAAAAAAAATGTTCCAGAACTTATTAAAGATCCTATTGCTCTAATACATGATGTTCGTTGTTTGGTCGAACAACATAGACATGATAGTCCAGATGAGGCAGTGACCGGTTTGCCAGTTCTTCCACCTCCACCAATACTAACTTCAGTTGAACGTGAAAAATTGGGTATGGGCCGACCCAGGAAATACCCAAGATCTTCGGGTGAACATAAATCCACTGGTCCACGTAGGCGTCGTACTCGATGTAAGAAATGTGAAGCCTGCACGCGCGCTGATTGCGCTGAATGTGTTTATTGCCTTGATATGGTCAAATTTGGAGGATCTGGTCGTGCTAAACAAACGTGTATGATGCGGCAATGTCTCAGGCCAATGTTACCAGTCACAGCGTCGTGTAAATTTTGTGGTCTTGATGGTTGGGGTCAAACTCCTGCTCCATTGATGGGAAAGCAGGCTCCAACGGCAGAATCTAATCTCATGGAATGTTCAATTTGTTATGAAATTGTTCATCCTGATTGCACCGGAAAAGATGTGCAGAATATGTCCATAAGTGATGATATCCCTAATAGTTGGGAGTGTCCAACATGTTGCGAAAGTGGAAGAAATTTAGAAAGCAAACAAAGAGCTCCAAAAGGACGGCCAAGGAAAAGTAACGCTTCGCCAAGCTCTTCCAGAAATTCACCTGTAGAGTCAGAACCATCAAACAAAATCCAGAAATTGACGTCAAATGAGGTACTTCTGAAGTTTTTCTGTTAAAATAGATAACAATAATTTATTTACATACAATAACGAATAGATCCTGTGTAAATAAATAATTGATATTTATTCAAAGGTGTAGAACATTTCATTTTTATCAAATCAATTATTATAAATCAAAAATCTATTGTTTTAGGATGATAAGAATGGTCAGGAAATATCAGATGAAGAACCAAAGATGGACTACCAAAATGAGCTAGCCAATAATCATACAGAAAAGACAAATAAGCATAACAATACCAGTCCTAATAATAGTAATTCTCATAATAATCATCGAGAACAGAAAACGCCTCCTCCTCAGTGGCATCAACAGAACCAACAGCAAAATCAGCAACCACACCAAACCAATTCACCTCAGCAGCGTCAGTCACCGAAAAAATTGCCAACAGTATCTCCAAATCAAAAGAAAGAAACACATGAAAAGCCGTGTGTATTTTTTTAAATAAATACTTGTACCAAAATATTCTTTAATAATTTAATAAAATTATGATAAATCGATCAGGGGCTGGCCCAAAAGTCCACGGGACACTAATCCATGGAGAACAATGGATTTATCCAATAATACACTATCAGCTACTCATTTAACAAATATTATTCAACACCAACCAGAAACTTTATTGCTCGACTGGACCAACGTTGCTAAGAAACAGCTTGCTTGGCTTCTCAGTAGATTATCACCTCTGAGGAACTTGTCATTGAAAGGTTGCAATTGGGCTGGTGTTTGTGCACTGAACACGTCAGCATGCCCACCCTTGGTCAGTCTTGACTTAGATTTCGTTGCTGGTAATTGTCTAAATTGTTAAATTTTTCATACTAAAAACGAATTAGCTAGAAACATGATCTTATTCATTTAAAATTAGGTTTCAATGACTCCAGCTTACGAGAAATTTTAAGTCCACCAAGTGATTCGCGTCCTGGATTAATTGACAAAACATCAAGACTCAAAAATTTACGAAATTTATCATTAAAAGGTTGTGATATATCTGATATTTCAATGCGTTACATAGCTCAACATTTGACAAATCTTGAAAGTCTTGATTTGTCAACGTGTTCACGGATCACTGATGCTGGAATCGCTCAAATCACATCACCACCTGCTATAACTGTTACAACACTTGTGTCACTTAAATTGAATGGTTGTAGATTATTGACTGATCTTAGTCTTGACCACTTACTAAGATGTCAATCACTTAAAAACTTAGATTTAAGGTAACATCTTGAAATTTCTTAAACTAGTTAATTTTTTATTTCAATCATTTTATTTATACTAATATATCAATTTTTTATTTCAGAAATACAACACAGTTTTCTGTGCAGAAAGTGAATGAATATTCAAAATCAGCCAGATTGAACAATTTGATAATGGATCCAAGACCTGAATATGAAAACCGACGAGCAACGTGAAACTTTTTTTAATTTTTCACTAAAGTTTGAGCTATTTCCGTGTGCAGCTGTAGTTAAAAAACAAAGATATTTTATAGATAATGAGTGTATGCAGTTTAGCGTGCAAAAAATGATCGTCTGCTTTTGAAAAATGTAAATTTGAATGTAACTCTGTTGGTTCGTGTGGTTTAGTAAATATAATTCCAGTGTACAGTTCATCATTTAAGGAGTTGTATAAATTAGCTGACAAAAAATATCAGATGCAATAATTTATTGGTTTTGTTCATTTAGTTTCTTTAGTTCTATCACATTTGCGTGATTGGTGACTTGGATTTATTAATGAAAGAGGAAAAAATTTCAAGTTTAGCTTCGTTTGCAAATAGTTCCTAATACACAAGGCAGATGTTTTTATCAAAGTATTATTTAGAATTCATCTGAAAATCTTGATGAACCATGAAAGAATTTGTGTGAATGCTTTATTTTTAATAAGTATATTATTAGCTATTTCTTAATTTATACCATGCATTGAAAATGATTCAAATTTTTGCCAAAATATATATGTAAAAATATTTGTTCAATGTACAGTAAACTTATAACACATTAGAAATATTCTCTCATGATATTTTGTCATAAAGATTCAAAGATTATTAGTCGCCGACAATTTTTATATTTACATATATTAAATTTAATTTTAACGCATCTTTAAGTTGACATATATTTAAACTTAAGTGAGTAATGAAAAAATGTTCACCATTGATATGAATATTTTTGAATGAATGTTTGAAAACAATGGGGCTATGTTGATCCAAAACTATTTTCATTACAATGTAGAAATTATGTTAAATTATTGGTTTCTATTGAAAGTATGTAATAAAAAATACTTTATAAACATTTTTAAACAAGTGGAATTCTGTTGTGTAATTATGTATAATAAATATAAAAAAAAAATTTCGTACTTATAACTAATAATTTGAGAACATTAAAAACGGATAGCAGTATTTCTTCTAAGAAACTACTATTAAAAGTTGAAGTGCAAAATTAACTTATGAGTGTAATGGAATCAATTAGGGTACAAATATAAATTCATTTATACTAATAAATGTTTGTATATTTTATTTACAAAAATATTCAAGTCAATATGTACAGTTCTTAAGATTTTATAATTATAAATTTTCATTTAGATAAAGGTAAATTATCTCCAACCGTTGTAGCATCAGAAATATCTTTTTGTGCTCTCAATCTTTCTAAAATCAATTCAGCAATTGCCTTTTGCGTTCTTCTTTGTAATTTTTCTAATTTTTTAGAAACATCTCTTTTCAAGTCCCAATCAAGCTTTCTCGGTGCAAGATTATTGATATCCTGTGCAGAAAATTTATTACAGTAAATTGAATGAATTAAATGAATGATATGTAAAGTAAAAGAAATATAATATTTTACCAATTCTTCGATAACTGGTCTTTGTGTGGCAGCATCAAGCTGATCTTTAACTTCAGCTTCTGCATCACCGGGCTTAGCATCACCTAAAGACTTTTCTTTCAAGCTCTCGTCCAACGGTTTATAACTTCGAAATTTAGGCCTAGAAACAAAAAATGAAATTATTCAAATGGCTTTTTATTAATTATAGTTTTACTTGTTTTTATTATATACTTACGCCGGTAGTTTTGCTTCTGAATCTTTGTCTCCTGTAATATCCTCAGCTTTTCTTTTCTTCAGAGCATTTAGTTTTTCTTTGCGTTTTAATGCTTCATCGACAAGGGTACCGACTTTTTCTTCTGAATTCATTTTTTTTTAAATTTGTTATGTTTAACTAAACTCTAAAGGTTAAACGCACGGTGTTCACTGTAAGCTCAATGCTGTCAGCTGTGGCTTGTGTTTACTAATCACTATTGCGCATATGTCGTGCGGCGCGGCGCCGAACTCTTACGCTTTTTTAATATACTGTAAGACCGTCAGATGACGCTAGCCGAGTCATACAACGTGCAGAAGAGTTTTATATTGTCATCGGTTAATAAGTCATCAATAAACATTTTAAGTGAGAAAATCAGCATGTTTGTATTGAAGTAAAACAACTTTAGAATTCTTGAAATATTTCTCACTATACTATTTTGTTTATATTTTATAGATTGGGTTTTAAACCGAGTCAGACAATTATGATTCCTCAAAAATTATTGAGAAGTATCAAATGCCCAAAGCTTTTCTTTTCAAATTATCAATCTAATCAACAATTACATACATCGAGTAGTCAATATAATATAAATGAAACTGAACTATTTAAAAAATCTGATGAAAAGCCAGAAAGAAGATTGAAAGAATGGAGAAAACCTTTGATCGAAATGACTGAGGAGAGAGCTTTAGGCATTGGCCCTGATAATAAACTTATCAAATTCTTTCAATTAGATGCTACCTTTACTCCAGGGGGTTTCAGTGATTTAGTTAAAGCAAAGAATATTGAAAGAGAAAAAGAACTACAAAAGTTTGAAATTGCAAGACACCATGCATTGGGCACAGATTTAGCAATGGCCTACTTTCTAATATACAGAGGAGGAAAAGTCAAATTTAAAGGTCATGACGAGTGGTTTAGTTTGGATGAAAAAACAAAATCTGTGGATATTCCTAATAAATTTGATGCTAATTATGTTGCAATAGAATTTGATGCTAGTGATGTTGTTCTTTACTATGAAGGATTGGAAAATTTTCAAAATTTACCCAGAATTCGTAGAGCCATTTTTGCTAGATCACCTGAGTTTGATGATTGGTTCATGGATAGAATTTCAAACTTGTTTCCGAATCTTGAGTACTTAGATGTCTCAGATTGTCCAAAATTAACAGAAAGAGGATTAGAAAGTTTATACAGAATAAGTACATTGAAGCATCTTATCATTACCAATAATAATGAATCTGCTGCTTTTGAACTCACATGCATGATGTTGGAGGATATATTACCTGAATTAAAAATAGAGATTCTCAAGCCAAAAGTAAAGAGAGAAAGTAAAGTAGAGAACACTTAGTCTATATTACATAATTGTGTACATAAAAAAATTGTTGTGATTTAATAAACAAGTGTACAAATAAATCTGTATAAGAGTTGAATCTATTATTTACTTTTTTTCTCTGTTTTCCTTTTTACAAATCTTAAGCGAGATTTATTTGTAATACCATAGCTATCTATATTGTCAAAATCATTCATCAATTTGAGTCCTTCGAAAGACAACCAATATCTCTTCCATACACTTTTCCAACTTATTTTGTAAGTCACTCCTGTACGTTCCATAGCTAAGTTAGTTGCTCTTTTTACTGCTTTTTTAACTTCTGCTATAGATGTAGATTTAATAGGTACCTGTAAAGAAAATATACAGTTTGATAGAATGGAATAAGACTTTCTTTAAAAAATAATTTAATTTGCAAACTTTCACGAGTTCAACAACCGATAGGTTCAAAAGTTACAAACCACAATTGGGAGAGTTGGTAAAGCTCCTCTTTCAATAAACAAAGTAATAGCTTGTCCTTCAGCGACAGCTTTCTGAGCTCTTATCTCTTCTGCCGTAGGATTGGGAGGCAAGTCTGACAACATGGGATCACTTTGAAGTATATTAAAAATTGCATCGTTGGTCAAGTCTACCAAACGCTTGTGTGTAATGCTCTGTGCTTCGCTTTTAATTTCCGTTTGTTCCTCAACATTTTCCTGACACGGTTCTTCGGAATTTTTTGAATCTTCTATGGTTTCTGTCAACATGCTCATTGTATGATTATTGCCAAATTCGCGCGTTATTTTTAAATGAACTCAACTCAGGCTCCTCAATTTTGTTTCAATCGTGTACTCACGTGCGATGAAAGAGTGACACTGACAGTAGAGAAAAACATCTAAGGAGCCTTTATGGCGTATAGCAGACAATCAGTTCATTCACCATCGAATTGACAATACAAGGATTTTACCTGCACACGGTATGATCTAACTCGCATTGGAACCTTTTTTGAAAATTATAATTGTAGTTTGACTATAGGGATTTTTCTAGTGATATGATGTTTTAATTTTATGATTTATAATCGTGTACAAACGCATTGAGTCAATCGTTTTTATTTCCCTTTATCTTTTGATATTGATTTGATAGAAATAAAATTTGGATTAAAAAATATAACATTGCATTGTTGAAGTTATTAGTAAAGTTTTTCCACATAATTTTGTCAATACAATTTTTCTTGTTTTGTACTTTCACCACGCGAATTTAATTTACAGATTAATTAAATTAAAACTAACTACATTACAATTTCAACCTACTCAAAATAAACAAGTTAATTTACAAATGTTAGAACAAAATTTTAATGTATGGAAAGAATCTTAACATAAATTGTATACCGTTCAATGAGCCAATATATTGAACTAAAAGTTTTTATTTATTGTATCAATATCTTTCACGTTACGTATTTTTTTTTTCGCAATTTTTGATTGTTATTCAAGAATCTGATTGTTCGAGTGAAAAATAATATATTTAGAAATACTATTCTCAATGAATCAATGCTTATTTTTTACTTTAATGTTTTTTATTTTTATTCGATGCAGACATTCTTGTTCTATATTACAATGAGTTTTGACGAATTATTCATTAATTATCAATAAGTTTTACAAAGCCTTTGATATTCTCAACGCAGCTGACCGTCAATCTCACAGTACAGATCCATGGTTATCTTGTTTACATTCATGAAATCAATACGTTTGCGAGTCCATATGCATGTATGAAAATGTATTGCAGAAAAATATGACGAGACTTCTTCGATTGAGTCAAGTTAAAGTTGAAAAACAGTCCATGTAATTTATTGCAATTGAATTAAATAGACATCATTCAGTGATGTAACTCCCACAAAAAATAGTTCATGACTTTAAAATTCAAAATAAATATTACATGTCTTGATACATTTTTCTCTAACTACGTCTGAATCTGCCAATTTTTACAAAATTCTATAGAAAATATTAGGGACAAACAAATTCGGATTAAAAAGTTCATAAGATTTTAGATATCTTCGTCAATAACAAAACTTATTTTTCAGATGAGAAAAAGAAAATAAAACCATCAAATAACTGTTTAAAAAACCAAATAATGAAAATATCTTTAAAAAAAGAGTAAAACAGTGAGAACGTAATGATTCATTAAATATGTGATTAAATTGTAAAATTTTTTAGGAAATATCGACAAAAGGCCAACAATAAAAAACAACGCGAATGAGAATCTTGATTTAATTCACACATTTTTATAAGAAAAAACATTGTCTCTATTAATTTTGAATGATATATTATATATATATATATTACAACAAGCCAGACATTTTCACTGTTTTGTTATACGACAAATTTCAACCCGATTCTTCAACACTTCGTTAATCGATTCGACGCACTTGTTAGAGTATAACCATCTCAATAATAATTCACATACCACAAACTTTTCTCTGAAAACATTAAGTTAATCACAACGAGAAAAGCGGTTCACCACAGTTATTTTGTAATTCTTTATATAAATTCATCGTCATCGCCATTGTGGTTCTTTTCTCATGAAACAGGCAACGTTCCTTGATTATGACCTCGAGACGATGAAGAGAAAAATATATATATTGTATATTTATAATAATTAGTTAAACGATCAAAGAACAAACGTAAAGGGCCACATTGCTACATCATAATTATTACCCTTACATATTATTTATATCTCCGATCCGAAAGAATAATTCATTCTCATTCGCGCACAATATATTTTCAGTGAATAAATCCGTAAGTAAATGTTATATGCATTAATCATAATATTAATTAATAATAATAACAATAATGACGAGGTGTGTCTAAACAGTGCTAGGACTAGTGCTAGTGGGCTTTCTCATTATTTATTATTTTTTTGTTGTCATTTTTCTTGTTCGCTTTCACTTTCTCGCTTTTCGTTTTCTTTTTCGCTTAGCTCACTTCACTCGTAACAATAATTAATTTTTTTGATCATATTTTCGTTTTAACTAAAATTTCGCTCCAGTTTCCTCCATAATTCATTCGCACACATTTTCCTAACGCATCATCACCATCATTTCTACGCGACACCTTGGACCGAAGGGGTAATTGGATCGATCGAGGAAAAGTTTCTCCTGGGTTAGAGGATAAAGAAAAAGGGACGCTTTTGATTGAGAATAATAATAACTTGTTCGTGTATGTTATACAGGACGAGTCGACGGAGGGAAAGTGAGTGATTGATCGTTAGTGAGGTGGTGGTGGTTCGGTTGACTGATTTCGGCCATCTACGGTCCTAACAGGTTTTCGTCGTGATGGGCCAGTGTTGACACCTACTCCTGGCCGATGGTAGCCTCCCGTTGCGGGTGCTTGTGGCTGGGGTGCTGTAGGTTGCTCTCTTATTGTACCAGTGCCGGTATTTCGGATTGGCAGTGGCTGCTGCAAAACCTGATTTGTCATGAAATATAAGCATCGTTAGTCTTATAATTTCATATCAATCAACTATAATAAGATTTAAAAAATGAGAATAAATTAAAAGCTTTTTCATTCGCCCTACGAAATTTTCGATCATGGATATTTAAATAGAACATATTTATTTTAATAAATGTTTTGAAACATTAAAAAAATCGTTGTAGAAACAGTAGTATTACGAGGTCAATCAAATTCTTCATTTATATACATAAGACACAAAACACTTGAGAAGATTTTCATTGTATTTGCAAGAGTCAAACGAAATGTATTAAATTTGATCTAATTTTAGAACCACGAAAAATATAATGGGAAACGTAAAGAGTTTTAACGTCCTTTTTCTAAACAAACATAAAATACTTTCAAATGAGAAAACAACAAAATAAAAATCTTTTAAGAGCTATTAAAAGAAAATAAGGAAGAGTAAAAAAAGTTCGAGTTTTCTAACATTTACTTTTTCATGTCAACTTCATAAAATCCTCTTCATTGAGATAACATATTATTTTCAAATTAAATTCATTGGAAAAAAAGTATATCAATAAAATAATTGTGCAATAAAAATAGGAACTTCAAAATTTGAAAAAACGAAAAGTATTTACCAGAGATTGCGGTATCACGTGAGGTGTGTGTGGTATCACTGGGGTTGTCGTTGGCGCATTCGGATTTGCGGGTAGACCTTGATTAACTGCTGTTCCCGACACAGGTTTACTCTGTTGGTGTTCTCTTTTGCTCACACTTTCTTGTGTTTTTCTAGTTTGTTGTTGATGCGTTAATTGCCCATGTTGTGCTTGATGAGACTGTGATTGTTGAATCTGAATAACAGGCGCAATCATAGTTGAAGCCGCAGATGTAGAAGATGAAGCTGCGGCCCCAGGGGAGGTTTCCGGACTACTAATGACTGTCGAGACACTCGAGGTTGGCGTTTGAAGTGGCTGTTGCTCGGGAGCTGCCAACTCTGGTAATGCCTCTACAAGCGTACTCACTACAAGTTCACGAGCAAACAAACTGCGATTCGCGCTTTCCCTCTCGATACTTTGTAATTGAGAATCTGTAGGTGTACTCGTAATGCATCTGAAACAATAAAGTAACGTTTTGTCTCATTCGTAATTAAAACCGAAGAAAAAAGTTTATAGCTTCTCCAAAAATCTTGACTTACCGTGGTAAAAGGAAGGTCGAATTTTGTATTGAGGATGTCGAAGCACTGGACGCGTTCACAGCATTTCCGGTATTGTTGTTACTCGCTGCGTTGTTTGCTACAACGCTCGACATAGTGTTCGAATGATTGCCACTACTGCTGGCAGCATTGACAACTGTACCTATCACTTGAGTCTGACGCTTTGGCAGTCGTTCTAATTGTTGTCGCGCCGCCTGTAAACCATGTGCAATGTTAGTCATTTTTTTTTAGAATAATAGCATACTAAGGTCATGAATAATATAGCTTGTGCTTAGCGATCATTGCCACGACGTGTTAATTAACAATGTAGAATAAATGAATTAGTAAAAATAACGTATTTTCATACCAGCGGCCCGAAAGTGACTACTTCCCTGCTGCTGCGCAAAGCGGGAAGAGCGATTTTTGGGCCACTGTGTATGAAAAATAGTATACAGGCCTATGCCGCGAAAAAAGAAAGCCCCAGAGCACGTGTTTATCGGCCTCAGCTTCGCCTCGGACACTAATTACACGTACTCTGGGATTTTTCTGTTTTTCGCGGCCTAGGGCAGTAATATACTATTCTTTTCATTCAAATAAAAGAATTGTTTGTCTTGCTTATCTTACCCTTACTTGTTGACGTTCAATTTGAAGTTGCATTTGGATTTGCTGAAGTTGCGTTGGTGCAGAAGAGTTCTGAACTGCATTTCCGCTTGCGCTACCACTAGCTCCAGTTCTTCTGACACCGGATAACTGTGATAGTAATTCAGCTATTGGATCAATACCATCTCTATTACTTGGGCTAAGTCCACCCGAGGAACTGAAATGCATGTTAGACCTATAGAAAAAGTATGAGATGAGTTTTCATTCAATTAAAATATTTCATAAATACATGGTAAAAAAAAATATATAGGATAAGTCAATATATTTTAAAAATAATTCATTTATCAATGCGATATTTTACCTGCGTGGCCTTGATGCATTGACACCTCTATTAGGGTGTGTTATTCGTCGAACACCATGTCGACTGGAAGCTGATTCATCAAGAAATGTTATCAAATCTCTTGGTCCACTGCGATGCTCTAGAGTTAAGTGTCCAGCAATATCATCTGTGACAAGGTTTGGCTCACCCCCAGGTAAATATGCACATACAGGACAAATCTATGCATAAAAATGGTTTGACATCAAAATGTGTAGAAATGTTAACGTTATTCAACAATTTATAGAAATATTAAAAAATGATTTTAGGTTAGAAACATAAGTTTACTGTTTTCTATAATTGAGAAATTTTTATTTATGAAGCAAATGAGTATTTGTCTCATCAATAATTTGATTGATTTAGCATTAAATTCAATAGATACACTTTTTATTTATTGCAAAAATTGTTAATCAGAATATTGAATATTTTGTTCAAGACTATTTACATAACAAGGGTTATTTTTGTATCACCAAATAACAATGATTTGTTTTAAAAAAATGAAAAATGACCAATAAAATATTTAATATCTGTTAGGATTATTTATTGAACGTTTAGACAGCAACAAAAAATGAATTACTTTTATAATTTAAAAAAATCACTCATTTATAATCACATATTTTCAAAAATATTTGTTTTAAGAACAATAATTGATTTTGTAAAAACTGGTAATTTGGTTAAGTTGAATGAAAAATATATTTACATATTAATATGTTGATAAACTTTTGTTTTATCAAGATTTATAAGTAGTTCAGATCATAGAAAAAGTTTGTAGATATATGATAGTGTGGAAAATCAAATAAAAGGTTTGTATAAAATCATAACTCTTTTGTATACATCTAATACTAAGAGATAATAAAAAAATATAGCTCATGATTTAAGTAAACTATTTTGGTCTAATCGTTATCATAATATTCATGATATTCACAATTTAATAAATGACTTTTGTTGTATAATATAAATGTGCACATACCACTTCATAAGGGCCATCTGTGTGTTCTGCAGCAACATGTTCTTGCAAAGTGGTTTCTGTGAATCCCATTCTTGCACAATATGGACAAGTCAACGACTGAGGTTGTTCAATGCTTACACCTTCACCACCATAGTATAATTCTGAAACATAATAATATATCCAAGAAAGTTAATATTTAAATATCAGAAAATATTTATTTCTCTAAAGGTAATCACATGTTTTATTGCCAAAGGTAATTCTGTGGATATATTGAATTAGTACAAAATATAAAAGAAAGCAAGGATCTACTTTAATAAAAGTTTTTCTTCTCAATAATAATTTTATTCAAACAAAGATAACAAAAGCATTAAATCTTAAATAAAGTAAGTTCACAATGTGAAATTCCCAGAGAAAGATGGATAAAAGCCAAAAAAATTTTGTCCATGGCACAAAGATCAAAATATTGGAAAATTGCCAGTAAATTGATTATTTGAGAGGAATAGTGAATCTAAACTTGTCAACATGACTTAAGTGTAAAAATGAAGTTGAAGTTTTTGATAAAACCCATGCTAATCAATTTATTATTATGTTAAAACTATATTTATCTTCAAACAAGAGAGATGAAACTTACCAAAATCTGATCGTGTAAGTATGCACTGCATTGGATGCTCAACAAGGTGTCTGGTGCTGCTAGCACCGGCTTCGTAGCAACTGGCACATAAGTCATAATCATAGCACACCAGGCACTTATATCGGCGACCCCGAAAGTTTCCTTTCATGCAGGAGTCACAACTTACCCCTGTAAATCAAATAAAAGAATTGATATTATAAGTCTTAGCTTTATGTGTCATGGTCATTACATTTGAAAAAGTGGGACATTCGTAAAATTGTATAAATTTCCAAGCGACATAGAATTTGTTGAACAAACAAAAATTATATTGGTAAATTGAATTAAAAAGGAAGAAGATATATTGAATAGTGTAGTTAAAAGCATGTAAATAGAGACAAATACTCATGTGTTAGTATATATCATGGCTATAGATGTTTATAAAAATTTCATTTTAACAATTTTTCTTGACGATGATGAAATATCGCGTGTACCGCGCCATCTGGTCTGCTAACATGTAGAGCTTGGGCTCCATCAAGAAATTCTGCTCTAATGCCGTTGTCGACGAGGTCGTTGGACATCATCGTCGAGAGCTTCGTTACTGCTTATATAGCTATTTTAATGCATTGTATGCAAAGAAGGCGATTGGGACCGAGGGCAGTGAAGTTAACGTCAGAGTAACTCGTCCGAGGAGATACTCTGAGAGGTCAAACGACTACACGGATAAGGATAGTAAAACTGTTGACGATCTTAGGCACATAGTCGCTTGGAACAAGCAGTCTGTATTATATGCATGTAGAGGTAAAAAATCGAGAAAAGAAGCCAGAGGCACGTACCATCATGTCGACTCATTTTCCGTGAAGACTATCATAAATGAGGTGTGCACCGCTGATGGCTGTCGTCGTCGTGTGCCGTTGTTAACCGCCGTCGTCGTGTTCGTCGTCGTTGTCGATCACTCTTCTCCGAGGTGTAGCCAAAGAACAATGTACACACAGACACGCACACGTACACGGCAGGCAGCAGCAGTAGCAGCAACAGCAGTAGAGATAGCTCGTCTTTTTAACGCGACGACGCACTTCTCACACACACATGTGATACTTGGGATTTGCAGTCTATATACCTATAACGCTGCCGAACGGAGTTTTCGCAAGCAGTAGCAGCAGCAGCAGCAGTATATAGCAGCAGCAGACTCGGACTTGGAGACTGCCGAGAGCAAGCGTATAATGTAGGTACGAGAGAGCGAGGAAGAGAGACACGAGTTTGTGTATATATATAGATACAATCACACGAACGAGCACAGAGCACCGAGCGCACTATTCGCCCGTGGGACTGCGAGAATACCTATATTACGACTTATAACGTTAAGCACAGGCAGTATCTATATCAACAGCAGTAGCAGCAACAGATCCGCGAACTGCCTCGTTTCTTTCCTGTCGGCTGACTCTTCAGCTCCTTGTAGCCGAGACTGTAACTGGCACTCTTTATTCTCTTTGACGTCGTATCCTTACACTTGTATTTATTTATAACTATAAACGAGTTCAAAAGCTCGAGGCGTATACAGTGCGACAATTTTTTGTGTGCTGGAATCGTTGTTGTTTGCCTTTCTGAAATGCTACTCGTGTAGCGACTTTTTCAGCTCTGTCTTGGGAATAATTACGATTTGCGGTGGCCCTCTCTTGACTCGTCGGATTTGCACATATCTGTACATGTATAAACACACGGATGTAGCTACATACGTATGTATGGTGCGCGTGCGTATGTGTGTGTGTGTGTGTACTGTGTACGTATAGTGATTCGAGTCGCACACTCGCGTTACACGTAAACGTATACCTACATGTACAGTAGAGGCACGTACGTATGCTTATTCGCGAACACAGAGCACTGCACGGACTCTTGCCTCTTTTTCACTGTTTTATTTACGAGCGTGCACTGCTGGGACTATGACTTGTTTATTGAGAAAGGCTACTGGAGCCACTGACCGAAGGAAATTTGGACACGATTTGGCAAAATTTGCTTTCCTGCGTCGAGAAAAGCTGTGCGTGCAGGAGTAACGGTATTTACACACGTATATAGCAGATATACACCTGGCGATGCAGTGTCCAATGCTACTGTCCTGCACCGTCCAGAAGATAGACAAAGGCGGAGAGAAAGGAGAAAGAGAGACAGAGAAAGAGAGAGAAGTAGAGATAGAAAAAAACGTAGACGCCCCGTTCGGGAAACGGTGTTATTATTTATATTTAATCGAACGCGAGCGCGCGATTCACACACTGTCAGTCTCTCACTCTCACTCGTACATTCACAATTCGCACGGCAGCAGCAGCAGCAGCATCATCTGAAGTTGTGACTCGTTCGATCTCGAGGTTCTATCTCGCTCGCGCTACGACTCAACTATATAACTATATTTATATGCACATATATATAACAGGACGTAGCATGAATGCAGCGCTGCGCTCGCGGGTGGTGGACCTCGCGCGCAGTAGCAATTTCTATGCGGCGGCAGCACAGCAACGAACGTGTACGGCGGCTCGCGCGATTTACGAGAGGAACCGACTCGCGAACTGCTGCACACACTTCAATCCGTTATAGGTGTGTGGACATACATTGTCGCCTGCACGCCTAAATGCGTTTATGTGCAGCTGCTCCCTGAATTCTGTACGTTTATACGTAGCCGAGGATCGCTGCATTAAACTGCTTTCACTGAATGCACTTCGAATACCTCTACGTGCAAAGGAAGCGGGGGTCACTGAAAGAGAGACTTGGTGCGTGCACGCAGCCATCCGCTGTGCACATCACGGCTGTATATGAATGGGGTTGGATGTGCGCCTTTCACGGATACCTGAAAATTGCACCCAAGACTGATTACTTGTAATTTAGATGAGATATGAAATGTCCTTTATACATGACTTCAACATAACTCTTTTGAACTTAGTGATTTTTCGGGCCATTTTATTCAATTATTAATTGCAAGGATTTTTCATTTTCCTTTTATGAAATTCATCTAAAATATTGGGCAATTACTTCCAAAAATTCGAAACATTTATTATCAATATTCGTAAATTAAAGTGTACCAAGGAGAATAACGATGGTTTAGTTGTCTAGAAGATTCAAGAGCATTTCATGGATATATTTATCAATTAATAAGCTTTCACATGAGTAGTGAGTACTTCTTTGTTTAGACTAACGAAAAATCTTAGCTCATTGCATGCGACAATGACCACACGTGCAGTAAATACGAATCGAGAAAAAAATTATTTTCCGTTGCGTGCATCGCTATGAAAGCTGAGCTGAAAAAATCAAAATATATTATGCGCGCGCTGGATGCAAATTATTCGCAAATATATGTGTATTTAATACCGATGTTCCATCTCGTTCTTTTGCACGCGATAAAACCCGCGCGGCGGCAAGTTTCTTCTTTTAATACGCGTACACGTAAGTTCAACAGTTCCGTAGGCATAATTAATTAAATCGCGCGATGAGCTCATTTGCACAAAAATTACAAATAGACTGAGATCTTGCCATATCGAAAGGCTGAAGCAAATGAAATAGTCGACGAGATTTTGTGTGTGCTTACGTTTTCACAATTGCCAGATAAATTTTTTTTATAAAGTTCGCCTCGAGGCGCGTTTGAGTGTTTCATCGTGACGCGTGACTTTCATTTCGACGGGTTCGCTGCGGTTGCGACTCAATAGTCAATGTGTTCGCGCGTTCGTCTCATCCGTCTTGCGTGTAAGTTCTGTGTAGACTTTATAGATGTATGACATTTGAAATTCGCGTGCGGAAGTCGCCGCGTATACTCTGTGGAGCTGATTCGCTCTGATTATATACACTATCTTAACGCTGATATATTGATTTTTTTCTTCTTTGGCGTGTTTAATAACTCTTTTCTTTATTTAAACATAATCAGCACTTTTCTTTTCTTTAATAAGTATTGGCAAATACAAAGTTCAGATCAGCTGATTGAAGGTTATAACTGTAAATAATGAGTGCAACGAATAATTGTCAAGACAAAACGTCACATAATGAGGGAGTTTTTCACGGTAAAATTTAAAAAGCTTACTTATAAACACAAATTAAATCATTTTTATAAAAAATTTCACGACTGTCAATCCTTCTAACTTTCAGAATTTGAAGAAGTTCACATTCCAGTACCTTGGGGATACATAAGTGGTGAGTACTTTTTCTTATAAATTCTTCTCTTTAGAATTATCATTTACTCAATGCATACTTCGAAAACAAATATCAATGCTGCTGATCCCCACGCAGCACAAACAGCTATATGCAATTGTTATTTTATGCATTAATGTAAAAAATGAATAGGGCATTGGTGGGGTCCTTCAAATGTTCAGCCAATACTAGCTATTCATGGATGGCAGGATAATGCTGGAACATTTTGGAAACTTGCTCCAGAATTGTCCAAAGATGTAGCAGTTCTCAGTATAGATCTTCCAGGACACGGTCATTCTTCCCATTTTCCACGAGGACAATTTTACTATATATTTTGGGAAGGAGTAATTATTCTTCGAAGAATAGTTAAACACTTCAAGTGGGACAAGGTTAGCTTCTAATGAGCTAAAAAGTTTAGAGAACATTGCTTAGGATTGTGTTATTTGGTGTCTGGGACCATTTTATTTTTGATTATCTGCGCAGCACTTGCTCCAATTCTAAATATCGATTGGCAAATTGAATGAAAAATGCATAGATTTATAGATAATTGATTGATCAACAGTACATGAAAATGCCCCTATTTTATTTTTTTCTGTAATTACATGTATTATCCACAGGAAAATGGTGGGGTAGTAAAGCAATACAGCCGATATTAGCATTGCACGGGCGCCAAGATAATGCTGGCAGTTTTGATAAATTAATTCCACTTTTGTCAAAAAGCATTTCAGTGCTTTGTTTGGATTTGCCGGGGCATGGTTTATCTTCTCATTATCCAAAAGGCCAATTTTATTATGTACATTGGGAGGGACTGATTCTGCTTCGTAGAATAGTTAAACATTACAAATGGAGCAAGGTTAGCAATTACATTTAAAAATGATGAAGTTTACAAGAGTTTAACTAGACTAAATAAAATTAATCGGAGCAAGTGTCAATTTTAATTTCATGCTTTTGAACTATTTGTGCTTTTTCATATTTAATTTTTGCTTTCATGTTTTCTTAATATCTATTAATTTTCAAAAGTTTAAAAAGATTTCTAAATAATTTTTGTAAAATTTGAACAGGTAAAACTTTTGGGTCACTCACTTGGTGGTGCGATATCATTTCTTTATGCAGCTTCTTACCCACAAGAAGTTGAATTCGTAATTAGTCTGGACATTGTCAGCCCTAGTGTAAAAGATGTAACAAAAACTGTCACAATCACTGGTGATCATATAGATAAATTCCTCAAGTTTGAGAACTTGACATTGGATAGTGTGCCTTGTTATGAATACCATGAAATGATTGCTATAGTTGAAGATGCCTACAAAGGCTCCATCACCAAAGAAAGTGCTGAAATATTAATGAAACGAGGAATGCAGCCTGCACTTATTCCAGGAAAACATTACTTTAGTAGAGATCCTAGATTGAAGGTATAAAATAATAAAAATCAAATGACTTTATATCAGTTCTATTAAAAAAGTCAATTACAATTAATCTATAAATTTTTTAGGTATCTTTATTGGGAATGCTATCTATGGATTTGGTGCTTTCTTATGCAGCTCAGATTAAATGTGCCTATCTGAATATCCGAGCTGTTCCTGGAATGGTCTTTGATCAACCTGAAAACTATCACAAGGTTTTGGATGTCATAAAAGAAACTGCTAGAAAATTTGAGTACCATGAAGTCGAAGGCACGCATCACGTCCATTTAAATAATCCAGAACGCGTTGCTCCGATCATCAATCAATTTATAAGTTCTTTGAATTAATTGATTGTATTTTATTTATTCTCGTGTTTTGTCGTGTGATAAAATAGTAAGAATTTTAGTACAAATTGTCATGGGTTGGGTAGAATTACATATACTTTTGCGCTTCCTTGCACGCAAAAATTATGTCCATGAAATTGGAAACACCTTTTTGTGTCAAATTCAAAAACAGAACAAAATAAGAAAGTAATACATATATATAGATATTATTATAACTTGTTAATTATTGCAAATGATTGTTTCCATATTGTTAAATATTTATACGCTATTTTGTGTAGCATGTAACAATAAACCAACAAAAAAAAGATGTAAAATGGCTCTTGTTTAATTTGATAGATCGTCTCATACAAGGCAGCATTCAAAAAATTTCATCTGAAAAAATTATCTAGAAAATGTAGTACAATGTATGTTTTCTTATCGTGCACTATATATACAATATACATATAATGCTCGATATCCACACTCGTGCACCGAAAGAAATAGTAAAAAATAATAATAATCACAACGAGAATAATAACAATAATACGAATAATAGTCACGACCTCGAGTTGCACGCGCAGCGCGACGATACCAGCTATCGGTTCTACCTACTTTTTACCTGTACAGACCGGACAAAGTGTTCTAGTATGTGTGCGCACATGTGCATCATAAAAAAACATAGGGTACGCAAACTATTTTTGATCCGAGAAATGACTTTTCTTTGCAGCAATTTAAATTGATCCCGGATATCTTCAAATTCTCGTAAAAGGAAACATTATAATTTTTTTACATCGTTAAAGACACAAAAACATCGTGCGCATAAAATTGCGGATTGACTAATAGAAGAATTTTTCTAATTATAAATTGTTATCGATAGAAAAAAAATGAAAATAAGTTTGGTTGTATAGGTACCTATTAATAAGATCTCAGCTGATCGGTCAGAGGTGCGATAGTATAAGATAAGACGAGAACGATCTTTACGTCATGAAGTAGTACATCTTACGTATTAGATATAGCTGTAAGATGTGTACATAAAGCACATTCTAATGGCGTTATATCGTTTGGGCCCGGTAAACTTCGGCTATTGAAGTCTAGACTAGGACGTTTTGTTTGAAAAGCTAGCTCGAAACTTTTTAACGTCAAGCGGCAACGAGACGTTATCGTCGTCACGTTGTATCAATGGGAGCAGCGCGAGAGGATGCAGATCAACAGAAAACATTGAAATTATTTTCGAAATTTCGTCGCTGTATACCAGACCGAGGCAGATAAGAGTGATCCAACTGAAAATTGACTGTAATACGTGTAGATCTAGTAGAGATAAAAGAGCTGTGAATTACGGAGTCAGTGTAGCCCCCCAGAATGTGGATTATTGGGAAAGCCGCCGCGGCGACGATCGCGACTCGCTTAATCATTTGTCGTCCAACTCACGATACAGACGCACCTTTGAGTCATTTAGTTCCGCACGAGCTGGAGCGCAAAGTCAAGGTAATTATTTCAGAATCACTTTTTTCATCTCTTTCCGCGCCTCCGACAGGTGCAAGTGACGCTGGAGATGTTGAATAAAGCGAGCGATTCAACTTTGATCGAGTTGTGTCATTGACTCCGAATTGCTGCGGATAGTAATCTTGGCAATCGACATTTTAACCGAAGTGATAGTCCAGAATTATAATTTTCAATCAGTACGAGTCTCGATTGCATTCAATTTTCACTACAATAAATCGTTAACATAAATTCACCGTGATCGAGTTAGCGAAGCCTCGCCATTAAATGAAAAAAATACCGCTCGCTGCGTTTCTACACCTCATGTTCTCGAAACGATCTGGCAATAATAAAAAAAGTATACAATCGATAGCAAAGCGAATTTATAATTTGGTTTATTGCCCTCTGCATACGTATAGGTTTGCGCGAATAAGAATTGCCCCAAGTGGTATAACGATGTGTGCGCGCACGAATGAATTAATCGATCGGAGCATTTTGTGCCTTAACTCAGCCTTGAAACGCATACGTTTGTGTGTGTGTGTGCTGAAGGCACGTATTTGGTCATTGCAACGTTTATCTATTTTTTACTTTTTTTCACTAAAAGTTCGATGCCAAGAAAAATTGTTCGATTGAGCTAAAGCTCTAACTTCTGTGCCTTAGTTGAATTGAAATGGAGCTTCAGAGTGAACATACATCCTTTTATAATTATGGTGGCCTTTTTTAATCGATGGCAGAATTAGTATTGAAATTTCAACGTTTTTTTTAAGACTTTCTGGAAATTTTAAATTAAATAGAAAAACAACTTTAAGAAATGAAGCAAATACTCTCGCGCGAGTTTATGAAAAAGAATCCATTGAAACTTAAAAAACATGATTTTTGCTTCGATATAAATTTCTGTTCTTCAAAATGAAAGCTACTGAAAAAGCGAGTGAAAACTTTCCAATTGATAAAACTTATCAACGTGTTTAAATGCATTTTGTAGGCTTAATTATTATTGATTGAGTGATCGTTGCTGGAACATGCGAAGAAGGCGTCTTTTATTATAAATTGGTTGGAGTTTGGAAAAAAAAAATAAGGAAAATTTCCGGTGAATTAATATACCGTAGCGAAGTTATGTAAAACTATTTGTCCCGTATCATACAAGTTATAGGTTGCACAAAAGAGCGGTAAAAAAAGGCACGTCACGAGATTTCGTGACGAACAATAATAAAGTGCCACAGCTCGCATCTCTGGCCGCTTTCGGCATGGCATAAATATCCAACGCATGTGTGTGTGCGTGCGTGCGTGTTTGCCTTCGCGCGCGTCATAGATTTTTCAGGATGAGCGAAGAAAAGAAGAAGAAGAAGTAGAAAATGTGTAATAATTTTTTGTGCGAGACAAGCGTCGGGTAAAGGTATAATATCGGCTTCGCCGGTGCAGCGGCGATATTCTGCGGGACTATAATACCAATATACTCATTAGAGACGGTGGAGGCGGTCGCAGTGTTCTGAAATTATCATGGAGCGCGCGCGATATCGCTCGTGTAGTCGTCGTCGACGAGCTATAGCTGCTGCCGCCACCGCCACGCGCGCGAGCTTCGCCACAATTATCGGGACGTTTGAACAGGTGCGACAGCCCGACTCCGTCCAAGCCGACAAGGTACTACCAACATCATTACACTTTGCACACACTCACATACGCGCCTCAGAATTCGCCGATGCTTTTCAACTTAGCATCGTGACTTATTTTTTCCTCGTTCCCGAGAGCATTTGTACTTTGATCGTTTGGTGTAGCGTTTCGCGCGCGCCTCCGTCAAGATCGACTCCGTGCGCAATATTATCCGAACGTGCGAATATATAATTCAGAAAAGCCTTCGGCCTCGGCTTCTACCGATTTTATCGAAGCTCCGATCGGTTCTTCGATCCCGACAGGTGAGACTCCCGCTCAAAACCATAATTCATCAAAATTTCATTTCAATCCCACCGAAAATTCTCTCGTATTTTTTCATAGAAAAATAAATTGAGTGTATGTGAGCGCTTGGCGTAGGTACGCTTCGCAACATATGGTTCGTGTGCGGCAAGTTGAAAAGCTCATGAGCGATCACATACGCTTTCTCTTAGTCGAGAAAATATTATCGATTTTTTTTTTCGAGAAATTGAATTTCATTTGACACTTGCGTCGCGAGACATTTTGTGATAATTATTTTTAATACAGCCGAGGCCGTTCTGAATTCACTCATTCAATTATTGTTATTTTTTATTGTTATTTTATTATTTATTACAAAAATTCATTCATATATTGCTCTTTACGCTTACTAACGTTGTACAGAACTTATTGATTATTATAATATTGTAAAATCATTCTTCGTACGTATAAATTTATGAAAACAGTCATGATTCTTAAAAAATATCCGGACAACACTTTTTAATTCATTTTTTTACGAACGATTTAATCACTTACACTTTGATTCCAACGTATTCTCTTACTGCTTGTTACACCAGTTGTCTCGCGATGTTTTTTTTTGTTTCAATAATATATTAAAGTGTTTAACAAAAACTTAAAGATTAGAAGACAATAGATTATACTTTTCAAAATTGTAATTCGTATATTTTCACTATCATTGGAATCAAATTTATCTATTCTTTTTTTAGATAAGATTTTCAAATTGATTTTTCTCTGTATTGGCTCAAAGACTCATGGGCGATGAGCTAATCGGCCAAAAGCTAGTGTAACTATATTTTTATAATTGGGAATTGTCAATCTTGAATTATCCGGGACCAATCAGCGGACGCAGTTTCTCAAGTCCAAAAGAAGAAAGAAGAAAAAGAATAAGGAGCATAATAGAAAGATCTACACTTGGTCGATCGATCCGGACGTTCAACAAACTGTGATTATTTAAAACAAAAGTTTGTTCGTTCGGCTCGAGTCATTGGGTGAGATCATAACATCGCACGGGGAAGATTTTTACCACTTATTGTTAGTCATTTAGGTATGAGAGAAGAAAGTTGAATGTATTACGTGTTCCAATACATTTGCCCGATTTTTCGACAACTCGGCTGGATCATCCAAAGAGCAAATTATGTCAATATTAACAAGCAAGTATGCTATGTGTACTCAGCTGCGACTTAGTTAAAAAAAATACCCAACTACTTTTTTTTAATTGTAATCCACGACGGATGATGATATATTCTTTTTACACATCTTGATAAGAGAAATTTATATGAGAAATTTAGGTATTGACGACAGAAGCGATTCCAACGTGAAGCAGATCTTATCTCTGTATGTACATTATGTAAATTATTGACACTTTTTCCAGGCAACCGCGAGAGTAAACATAACATTACTTCCCCATCGTTGCACAATTATCATCATTATCGTAATGTATTGATTTTAACAAAAAATAATTTGAGGAATACCAGTAGTGCGAACAGGTAACGCATAATTAACAAATAAACGGAATTTTAGTGATACATTTGGTTTTTTTCACTATATGGACTCATTTGCGTGAAAGCCCATGGCATCGTCGCTGACGAAGATTTGTTTAATGATCGACTTTAATAAATATACACTATGGGGCTTGAATAAAAAATTTGTAAAGTCAAGCATTTATGCGAAAAATCGAGATCACGATGTTGAAAACTCTGTGCACGTAAACTGCTGCATCAGGAAATCATGATAGTTTTCTCATGAAAATGCTGCTCTCTTATTATAATTAGGATTAGCGTTTGTGTAAACGTGTGCTTGATCAGCGAAAAATTATTCGTTTTGAGAATTGAAAGTTCGTGATTCTTTTAAAGGGTTTTACAAAAATGTCAATACTTCCACTAATGTGAAAGTATGTGGTTCATGATCAGTTAGAAATCTCATTCATCATAAAAAGAAAACTAATATTTAAGCTGTGCTGCAGGATACGATTGTCTTCATGATTTTTCTGGTTATCCAAGTTGCTAGACACACGGCAGTTTAATATCTAATTTCGATATTTCTTTTATTGTGTTCATAAATTTGAATTTTCAGTTAATTTCTGTAACATCAAGATTTTTTAACGATGTATGGAATTATCGTCAATCTAAATTGAAAAAATATAGCAAACTTGATTTCCAAATTAAATACATTAAAATTAAAAAATATAAATTTAATATCAGACAACAATTTTTAATCATTCATAATTACCTGAAGTTTGTGATTTAAATTTGAAATGAACCCAAACAATAGTCAATTAAACATTTTGCTCTCCTGATTTAATAAAAAAAAATCATTTCCAGATTTCTTCTGCTCTACATAGCGTCTCTTGAGCTCCTTCATATCGTTATCAAAAATCCTACTTAACATTCAATTTTCCATTTCCTCACTTGGCAAACATGGATGGTTATTTATATATACAAACAAACAAAAAATATTCTGTCTAAAAAAATCAATTGTCAATTGGTATATTCTATTTAAAATATTATGATTTTACGGTAGTTCTTCATCAGCTAAAAATTTAGCCCAAATCCTCCAAAATTCCCAAATTTCTATTAAATTTTTAAAGTAAATGCTTATGATGTTCTGAGAATGAAAAGTGTTAGTATCATGAATTCAAACGATTTGTTGAAAAATGTTGATGATTTTTAAAATAATGAATGACTTTAAATAAAATAAAAACGGTTTTCCAGAATTTTTTTTCATTGGTGATCTCCAATCAAAATAATAACCATGGTTAAAAGAGAAATTAAGTAAATGTGTGGAATCATTCGCTGTATTATAAAGTACTGTTTACAGTTATGAGCATTTAAATATATATTATCAATAATTGAAAATGGACAAGAAAAACTTGAAAGACGGCATTGAACAGGATTTTGAATCTGTTACAATGATAACAGTACTATGAAAAAAAGTTTTTTTAAATTATATAATAAAGAGCATGAATTTATTCTAAAAATTAATATTTTTAAAATTTGTGTTGACCAAATAGAAGTTTTCAATGAATTAATTATAAAAAATGTATTTAACAATTTTTTTTTTTTTTAAAAGAGTTCAATTTTTTTTTTTTTCATTTACAAACAAAATATATACGTGCACAGATATAAACTTATAACAAAGATAAAATGCTTTTTGTGCCATAAATTCGAACTTTACTCCTCCAGGGTTATGGGTTTCGGCTGAAAATGTAAGTTACCATAATTTTAATAAAATGTTTCAAAAATATCATATATGGTGTAAAAAAAATTTTCATTACCAAAATATATATGTGGCTTGGAATTGATCTTTCAATTACTTCCTTTAGTCTCCCTTGATTCAGCTTATACTCTTCATCTGAAAAAGATAATGAACTTTAAACTTTACCAACAATTATAAATATATTTAAAATGTCTGTAAAAAACTTGAAGTACCGGCAGGGACGGTTAAAGATAAAGAGGGAAGAGCCACAAAACCAGCGACCAGAGGTCTTAGAATCCATTCAACTTTTTTTTCACTTTCTGGTAAAATATGTATATCAATCTGCAACATCAACAGATCATTATTTTGACATTTGAATGATTTAACAAAATTGTTAAAAAATAACTGGTGTACCTGCTTGTGCCCTGAAAACATGAATGCATCGCTTGCTTCTATATTCAATCGCAGCGTTATTAAATAATCAGAATGATTTTTAATGAAGTACGAAACACAGAGTGGTGTCAGTACCCAACCATGTGGTGGAAGTTTTGTTTGTAATCCTATCACTGCTTCTTCCACCCATAATGGCGACAGTGTAACACTGCTGCTTGTTACAACAGATGCTTTGTCATTAGCTCTGTCAAGTAAATTGTATTCAATTATTAAAGATATTTTTTTTTATAATTATGACGAAATTCAGTTTTGTATCTATCAAACCTTTTCCATTTAATAGTAAAAATGCCAGTACTTGTTGGTTGTTCACTGGCAGTTTTAGCTACAATACAGTAGACATCGGTAGCAGTTTCCCCATTATTAAGCACGGAGTTTTTCAAAATATTTTCTCCGGTAGAGGATTCTGACTCCATAATCATAGAACTAGCCTGAAAAAGATATTTATTGTAAGAATTCACAAAATAATTTCTATTCTATTTTTAATATTTTTTTATTTTAATATTAATTTACCAGTTCTATCGAAGTACTTTCGATCTGAATAGGCCAAGGAGAGGTACAAGTAATGTGAGGCATGATGAAAAGAGGCTCATTAACAAATGCTTTTGAAAGTGGTTCATATAACATTGTATAAAATTGAGTGGACACATCAAACGGTTTAACAATTGAAAATTGGTATAAAGTTATTTTTGAGTCTCTATTTTGTCCTTGCCTTAAATAAGAGACTTTAATTTCTATCGTTTTTTCCCCAGTGTTATGAGATCTAACGTACAACGTCTGTTGAAAAGAACTATCCGCTTTAATAGAATCGATATCAACTGCAATGGAAGACTGTTTTTCTGTCATATTCAAACTCAGTTCAGCTGAAAATAATTTTAAATGCATTAGTTATACATTAATAGCAAAATTTTAAAAAATAACTTACTCAGTTGTTCACTAGAGTTATCTTGCACCGAATTAACGGAAATGTTTATATTAGAAATATCTTCATCGGAAAATATTGTTATAGCAAATGTAAACCATTCACCAAGAAGGGCTGGTTGCTTCGATTCTACACCTACGGTCACATTCGATTCTTTCGGCTGAATTTTGGTCACAGTTAACGGTCGTATGGTTTCAAAAACACCTCCACTAAAAATTCAAATCATCATCAAAATTTCCCCGCGAATTCGCGATTTCGCAATTTGGAAATAATTAAAATAAAAAATACCAACCGAAGTTGCTGAATTTCTGGATACATGCGCTCTAGTAAGTTTGTATCTCTTCCCGTTGATGAAAATCGGATAGCAATGCAGCATTTGCTTTCGTTTCCTAGATAAATGGATATTGCACTTATTTGCAGTTCAGGAGAATCATTTCGAGGAGCCTCAAATTGACAAAGAAACTTTTTCGACTCTTTGGCTTTGAATACAAGATTCTCCATGTTCGAGTCAGTAATAGGAAATTCTGCACTGTAACCTGGACTAGTTATTGTCACAGATGCCTTACTAATCTCAACGTCTTCGTTGTAAATGTTTCTGGAGAGAAAATCCAATAGAGCGAATTGAGCCAATATAATAGTTTGATAAATATTAACAACTAGCTATATTGAAAATTACCGAATAAAAACTTCTATTGTAACTGTCGATTTGATGGAGTAACTGGGTTTGGTAAAGCGAGCTCTAACGTCGATAAATGATGCCATATTGTCATCGTCTATTTTAAAAATTAATGGCTCTTTCCGGTTTAATTGCGTCATCCAGTTATCGATTACAGAATTTTTCAGTTCTTCCGATAAATTTGGCTCTGGATTCGGTGGTTTATTCTAAGGTAAAAATCAGCATATACTCTAATGTTGATATTAATATTGTTTTTATTTATTTACCTGCAAAATATTCATTATGTTTTGATAAATTTCAGATTTGCGTTCAGTTGAAAATACTGTTGTCGGTCCCAAAGCCTCCAAAGCTAAAGTTAAATAATCTTGAATATTTGCAGATAAATAAGCAGCGTTCAATGCACTTTTTAAAATATCCGTAAGCAGTACGGGCCAACGCTCGTTTCGATATTCCCATAACATATGCATCAATAAGCTAAAATAAAATGAGCATGATTTGTTTAAAAATAGTTGTTTGACTTAGCGCGTAAAATGGAACTTACGTTAATACTTTGCCGTAATCTTTACAATTGAAATACTCCTCAGCCATTTGTACAACTAAAAAATAAAGTGATAAAAAATTAGGCTCGATTGAGAATATAACTTAATTTTTATTAAGTTATACCTAAAAGACGACGCATTCTCGGACACCTGTACATTTTGAATTGTGAGATTGCATTGCCCAATAATCCTATAATAATCATCTGGGGATACAATTCATTCATTAAACTTAAATTGTTAAATTAAATCTTAAGAGGTTTGATTAGTAGAATAGTGCTTCTTACGGAATGATTGACAGAATATTTTTCTTTGTATTGCAGAGCTTGAATAGCTGCAGCTTCTCGTGTCATATCGGCTGGCTCTGCATTTAATTTCCCTGGTCTCCAAGGTCGTTGACCATAAAACTCAAGCTTCTCCTCACCCGCCAGCGGGTCTGGATTAGGATACTCCGTGACATTCTTAAGAAATACACATTATAAAAATGTATCTAATGGACAATTATATCGATAAAAAATGAACTTACATCGCAAAGTTCTTTATAAGCATTATGTCTTTGGGTAGCGTGAGTTGCAGCTAATTGAAAATAGTATCCAGGATGCTGAGTTTGCACAGCTGGTAAACCTTGCCTAATAGCTTCGTCAAAAAGTTCGGCAAAGGTCGAGTACTGGCTAGACAGCCACGCGTAATGCTCGAACATTAGTTCACGCGGACCCGTACGCGTTCGAAAACGTTCCGTGTGGCTTCTGAATTGGGCTATAGCGTCTTTTGGTAATTTCAAACTAAACATCAAACGACATAGCTTGTAATTGATGAATGAGGCAACTGTTTTAATCTCTAAAGAGTTGGTATCCACCATTCTGATATCTAAGAGATTGTTGTAAGCTTGTTGGTAATGTCTGAAACAAGTGTTATAGAAGTTACAAAAGTTTTCACAATACTCATTAGAAATTAATTGAAAATATTTACTTAAGAGCAGTAGTCTGATCTTGTTTAAGCTCATTTAAAAAGGCCATTTTAAATTGATGCCTTACAAATAAGTATTGATGAGCTGTTTTGTTGAGTTGTTCTCTATGATTTTTGACAATTTTATATTCTTGATGGTAAAAATTTTGTGCTAATTCATATAAAACATGCTCCAATCTATAATAATCAAAGTATAAGATTAATTATTTATCTCAAGCGTATTATAAGAACAATTTATAAATTACCTAAATGTGTAACCGAGTAAGTGATCAGTGTAAGGTAAAAGGTACAGCATTTTATTAGGTAATTCACAAGCAGCACAAAGAGCAGTAGCTCGCTCGGTTGCTACCAAATCTTCTGTATCTGGAAGAGGAGGTGCTTCTTTTTGAACTAAAACTACAGCAATTTTTGTACTTCTTCCTTCTAAAGCAGCCCTATTATGTACATAAAGAAAATTAAGATTATTGTCAAATACAAATTTGTTTAGATTAAGTATGATACCTTAATGACTGTACTCTTGAAGCACATTCCATTTTTTTTTCATTCCACTGAGAATCATGCCAATCAAGATCATAGAATATAACAATAACAGCAGGCACTTCATTCATGTATTTATTCATCCAATTGCGTTTTAAAATTCCTTTAGGTATGTACCATTCATATGAGTTACGCTACATGATATTCAAATAATAAATGTTAAATCTAAAAAAATTTCTTGAATAATTTTTTAACGACTAATTTTAAGAAGTACTAACTTTTGGTTTAACTGTAGGAAATTCATGAGTACTATTGAATAACTTAAACTGTACTGCTGCTCCATCAGGACGACGATTATTGCTAAATGCATCCCAAATTGCATGATAAATTGGATTGCTTATATCTAAGCCAACCATACCAATTAAAGCCAATGGTCTAGCTGTTAATTCTGCCGGTAAATCTGACATGATTGTTTTAATTTCTGTAAAAATATATAAGTTATCATGTCTCAAATTAATAATTCAACCATAATAATAGTGTGCAGTGATTATTAGTTTATTACTTGGAACACTGAGTATCCGAATTTAATTATATGATAAAATTATCTAAAAGTAACTATCATTGCATTATTCCACTTTGAAATTGTATGAACATTTTATATTTCATTCAAAGTACTACTAATCGATAATAATCATGATTGTTTCGATCTGTGACAGCTAGTAAGCACACATCTATTGGGTTATGTTCAACTACGTGTCTCTCAGCTATCCCTTGAGCTGATATTTGACTGTTCAAGTGTCGCTCTCGACTCTCGTGTTATGAAACTGTTCTGCTGTGCGCTGAGCCGATCGCGCATTGCAAGTTGTGCAGACTATCATAGTTCAGAGTTCGCCGCTCGTTGATGGTCTGCAATTCGTGTTTCAGAATCAGAAAAAGTGCCGATATTCAGTGCAATTGCAAAGAAATTTTATAGAATGACATTTCTTGAATTGTGCAAAGCACTCCGATGGAGTCGTTTGTCTCAAATTAGTTATCAACGTGTGAGTTTTATACTACATCATAAAAAATATCCGTATCAACTTGATCGAAGCTAACCTTCTTTAGCTGTTTGAATTACTACAAAAAAATGAGTGCATTGTATTTATATTGTGATTTTTTCTTTTCCAGGCCAATTTTTATTCGACAAAAACAAAAAAAAAAGAATCTTCGATGCCTGTAAATCCACTGAAGGAGTATTATGCTGCAAGTTTTCAAAAAGAAAACGGTGTCGTTTATGATAAGAAGCCCTTCAAAATATTGTGCGAAAAAGGAAAAGTTTATTATTGGTGCTTGTGTGGTCAAAGTAAGAATCAACCTTTCTGTGATGGGACTCACAAGAATATATTTCTCAAAATCAAACATAGACCTATAGCATTTACAGTGACAGAGACCAAAGAATACTGGCTATGTCAATGCAAGCAAACTAATAATAGACCGTTTTGTGATGGAACACATCTAAAGGAGGATGTAGTAGTAAAGAGAAAATGAAACATCTTGATGGTTAATCTTTTTTTAATCACATAATTTACATTAAACCATCATAATTGTAAAAATCAATTTACAATATTTGTATAGCGTATAACTTCCATCTACTTGTATATAAATTATAAAAAAAATTAAATTACAAATGATTGGAAATCATCGTGTGGATTTGGTACTGATTCTTTTTAAAAATCAAAGTCTTAATTTTACCTGATTAACTAAATCGACATTTGATGAATTTTGTACAATATTTTATAAAATTATGTACTTTTATGTTTGGAACAAAAACATTTTCACTGAAATGCTAAAAAAAAAGTACCTATAATACTTTTTTTTGTTAGGGTTTCTTGAATGCATATTACTATCAACAACTATAATTATTTTTGTCATATGTCTACTACCATGTGTAATATGATGTAGTTTACAATTACTATAATACATAATATTTTTGCAATATAACTAGCAAAAGTTGATGCAAGTTATTAACAAATTATACTTATTTTTTATGAGTTAGACATTGTTTAACTATTTCAAAGTATTTTCAGTGTGATGAATTCATTTGATTTACGCAAAGTATTTATTCCGCGATTTCCACAATAGTCCTTCTAGAAATAAATAATTTTCAACGAATAAAAAGAAATTTTCTTGTTGAAAACATATTCTTTAGTTTGTGCTCTTTAAATTCCTTTTCACATTAATTACATTCATTTGTTTTGTTTTAGAGATGAAAAACGGTAGATTAGATCGATTTTGATTGTCAAAAATAAATAGTCCATTTAAAATTTCAGCACATATACAATTAACATATTTATTTTATTTAAATATAATCGTTCAATAAAATAGTATCATTTCCACAAATTGAAGTAGTTTACATTTCACTAAAAAAGAATTATGATTCTTTCAAAATTTTCGATTGATAAAAAATAGTTTTTGCGTAGTTTTTGAAAAATAACTGAACAACTGAGTTGATAATATTAAAAAAATGTAAAAACTTCGTTAATTATGAATGATGTCGCAAACATTGGAATTGGCACTTTTATTCATTTTTGAGACTCAAGTTTATCTTTTTGAATTTCTAATCTAAAAATTGAGTATAAATACATTCGCTTTTTCTTTCAAGTCCTTATTTATTAGAAGTTTTAAATCATCTGTCTTAATTTTTTTTCAATTCTTCTCATTTTATACAAAAAGCTATTTAGCGTAATTTTTAAACTATCGGTTGTCTTTAAAGATAAAGCTATTAAAGCGCAAACGTCGGTGAAATTACAAAATTTATAAATATTATATTACACTTTACATTATCATACGTTTACACAAAGTGCAATGTCGTCAGAGACAGGTATGCATAACAATTGACAAGTAGCTCATTTAGCATAGAAAAACAAACTCTTGCGATTAAAGTCGATATGCGCGCTAAAAGCATAAAGCTTCTAACTAGCTTCTCCTATCTTTTGGCTGTAGGTCGAATTCGATCCTTTTCCGTTTCTTTTTCTTCGGCTACTGTCCATTCAGGATCATTTGGATCCTCTCCTTCCATATCACACAGGGCAGATTCAGTTGAATCTGATTCTCGGTCAGCTTCAGTTTCCAGCAACTAAAATATTACGAAAATTTTATAAGATATATTGAAGAATGAGATAGATTGTAAACCGTAAGGCTCAATCTACCTCAATTTTATCATCTTTCGGAGAAGCAGATGCTATTTCCGGAATCTCATTAGGAATTGAACGTACGGTAGTATCCGTTTCGGCTAATAACTGCTGATAATCGGCATCGCTCAGTGGGAATCTTCTTGGCTCGTACGGGGGGACTAGCGGTGCTATGATCTGTGTTTCGTGAAAAAAGAATTCGGTCATATAATAAGTAGTATACAGTGAACAATTGAAAAGTATAACTTTAAAAGAGTGTACTCATTAAAACAAAATATTTACCTCAATTGGATGATTATTTGGTTGAGGCGCTGGTGACGTAGCCTCATTTTCTGATGCAGGGCGTGGTGACATAGCAACGTCTGAAAAGAATCGGGCCCGTTCGATTTCGTTTTTTTCTATTTCTTTGTTTTTTTTTTTTTAAGTTTAAATTTATTTTTGTACGTAATCGAAGGGCCATGGAGCTTTCCTTTAAGGGATTTTGTTTATAGCAGAACACAGTAGCAGATTATTGGTTTCATAGATTTTCAATATTATTTACCTACCAAAATTCATCAGTACAATACCTCGGAAATAATTTTTTTTTTTAGATGTTTTTGAGGTATTTTTTTTAAATCTTCAGTTGATATTTGAATTCTGACAAATCAGAATTAACTAGTGCAATTATATTGTATGTACTAGGAGTACAGACATATCCTCAATTTATATTTAATTTAAATTTATTCGCCTAAATAAAAACTCCAACAGAGTTATAATCAAAAATACTTTGAGAAGTAAACAATTTGTAAATTACAACATGGGTAATAAAGTAAGTGACTACAATGGGTCGTAATTTTTGTTCTTATTTATTTTGAGTTAGTTATTTTTTGTTATAAATGATTATGGAAACGGTTAGATTTTACTGTAATTTTTTTATTTAAATATGAAATCAAGCAATTAAAATGGATTTAAAAAATGAGTGAATTTTTTATGTAAAACTTTATTCTACGTTATTTGTTTATTTTACGAATAATACTGATGGTTATCACAGTGGTTTAGAGCAAGTCAATCGTGAATTTTTTCAAACAATGCAAATATTTAATAATTGCATGACCTTTCGATTCGTACATTGAATGAATAGTATATTACTGCCTTGGGCCGCGAAAAACAGAAAAGTCCTAGAGTACGTGTAATTAGTGGCCAAGGCGAAACCTAGGCCGATAAATACGTGCTTTGGGACTTTTTTCGCGACATAGGCATGTATACTACTTTTCATACCTAGTGGCCTGAAAATCGCTCTTCCCGCTTTGCGCAACGGCAGGGAAGTAGTCACTTTCGGGCCACTGGTATGAAAAAGAAAATTGCTACTAAGCTAACCATTAAAGGCTGCGTATCGTTTTAACATTACCTGGTGTATTTGCGCCGCTGTCTGGTTTATTGCTGTCTGTACGTCGACTTTTTCTTCTCCCGTAAGATGGCAAATGTTTACTATTATTAAAACGGCTAGTTTCCTCTCTTTCGCTGCGATCGTGTCTCAATCTTATTGTTTCTTCGGAAATATCCTCAACCTAAAAAATGCAAAATATTCAAATATTTTAAATCAAAAATGAAACAAAAATAATTAAATGAAAATTCTTAGAAGTATATAATTGCATTCTTACATCTTTATCTACATTTGATTTCTGAACTGTCCCGTTTTTAACATCAGATTCTTCTGTGTCACATCGCCTCCAACTAAAATAATTCAATTGATACAAAAAATAAAAGATCAGTGCTTTGTTATTAAAATACACAAATATAGAAATACGAAAACGCATACCGTGGTATAAGAATTTCTTTGTAGGGCAGTTTTTCTAGCCTTGTTGCTGCAGCGACACTGTATGGTATCACAATATTATCGATGTCGAAAGAGTTTTGTCGTATCCTACTGAAAAATCCAAATAAACAATCGTGTTAACCTTAGATGAAGACTTTGAATTTAAGTAAACAACTGAGTTGCTTAGCAATGAACGAATTAGTTAATCCGATTCGAAAATTAATTTATTGTAATCGAACTATCATTTTATACTTGACATAAGCACTAAGTTTAACATGCATGAATTTCGTTATAGACCTTTAAAAAATTATGACCATGACTCTACAATAATCGATCAATAAAAGAGTAATTTTTGTAATAATGGCTAGAATGGGAATTAGTCAAAGCTAATTTCTTTTTACTTTAAAATTCAAATTATAACTTTGAATCAACGAAAAATGCAAATTTTATTTTGTTTATGTTTAAAGAACTCGATAAAATAATAATAACAATTTAGTCGCTTTTATTACTGAAAGAAAGTATAAAACACGCATATGAATGAAAATAATGAACATAATTACTTTTTTTGCTAAAAAATTTAGGCTCAATATTTAGATCATTTTTAATATTAATAACGAATACTTACTTGTGGGAATTTGAGGAGGATCTTTCCTTGAATGTAGTCTTATCCGGTGCATGTGTCGAAATAGCAGCATTGTAAGGCGAAGCAACTGGTGACGAATACTTGCTGGAATATGACAGGACACTTCCAACTTCATCTTCATCCGTATGCAACGGCGTTGGCAAAGCCGAACCAGGTTGTTGTTGCAATTGTGATTGAAGTTGATGTTGCTGCGATTGTTGCTGTTTCGCCGAAGGTCGTTTGCGCGTCGTTCCCGATTTGTTGTTACGAGTGCGGGTACTGTTCAAGACTTTTTTCTTTATTTCTAAAAACGAGTTTAAATTCCATTAGTAATCGTTAAAAATCTTTACATTTATTTAAAATCTTTGGCTACTTACTTTCGCTACACAAACTAGTCGTTGACTTCCTTACTCGCGATGCAGGGTACTTGGGTCTTTCAGATACTTTTTTGGTTTTCCTTTCAGTCGTATCCTTATCCTTTACTTTAGAAACTCGCATACCGCCTCTCATTATTTTTTGCTGCCATTCATTAGATCTCATGACGGCATCAAAATGAACCGATTGAGTAACTTCTGAAAAAACAAGACGTATATTTTGAATTTTAGTCAGAAGAAATTAATTTACCTATGCGCCGAAAAGTCGAGATAAAGAAAATACTCTTACCGTCTCGAAGGGTAAGCACAGGATGATGACACGCATCCAGGGTCGCAATACGTTCTTGCACCGACATGGTATCGTGCGCGTGACCAGCCATAGGTTCACATCTGCCTGTGCAGATTATACAAGATGACTTGGTACCATCGCAGTGGCATTTTATCGTAGACGGTCTCGCAACCTTTGGTAAAATCTCGTGAAGTCCCTCGATCCGAACTAGTTTCCGTTTGCGGAATTGACTTCTAACCAGAGGCCGGGTACGTGCTGCTCCAGACGACGAGGCTCCAATTGAATTTAGGCCCGGGGTCGCCGGGGAATTGTTCGGCACCAAGTTGCTGAATCCGTTGACCATGGACGTGGTTGTACTCGTGATCGTCGACGCTATATCGTCATACGACGTCATCGGGCTGACCCTAGATTGTAGCGGAGGTGGTGAAGCGGCTTCGAGAACGACAGGACCTTTGGCCAGTCTCATCTGCTTCTGGATTTCGTATGTGTGTCTGATCTTGTATTCGAGTTCCGATATTTGAGCTTGCAGCCACGTCCAGCGTGACGCCAGAGCCGCCCGTTCTTGAGCGAATCGCCATGCGGCTCGTTTCGAACTGCAATGTTAAGAAGTCAAATTCAGGGCTTTGTTTTTTTCACGCATGTTTCTGAAAAAATTATCGATAAAAATAAGTAAGTGTTTTTTCGGTCAGAGTATCTATATCGGCCCACCGGGAGGACAAAGCCTGGGTACGCGCAGAGAGTGCAGAGCACGTGAGTGATTGCGTAAGAGGGTCGTCATGATACATGCGGCAGCATAACTAGTGCAAGCATAGAATAATCGACGGGATAAAAGTGAGCCTTTGTGTAAGAAGTCGAATTATTTCATTCTTCGAGAAAGTTGCGAGATATTGCGTAACTTTTAAAGAACGGCAAAGTTATATATTGTACAGAGGCTTGTTTTTACTCGGCAAATGAAGCGAGTAATCGATCGCGCGCGCGACGGTACTAGTCGTGGTGGTGGTGGTGGTGGTTGTGTCGGCAGCGGCGTCACAATCCCATGAAATAGAGCGTGTGTGTGTGTGTGGAGGGCCTGCGATGAGAAACGTGATCGTAAATACGCCGCTGATTAATACATCGATGCACGTGTCGGCCGCGCATAGTTGTTATACAATCCTTGACTGTATCTCGCGCGCCACATAACGCGCGTATCTATACACGCTATATACGCGAGCGAGTTGTGCTCTTCGTACTCGAATATAATCTATCTTACGCGAGAGCATGGCGGCGAAATAGAGATAGTGTATAAGCGTGCGGCTGTTCGGTCGACATTGTCGTCCTCGTCGCAACAACCGAGACAGAAGCATTGTATCCGTTGGTGCGTGATAAAGTACTACTCGAGAGAGCAGCCGCTGAAATTGACGCGAAAGCCGTACTTTGCAGGCGTGCGAGAAAATACAGCCGCGATTGTTTCGGGCGCGTTGCAGCAGCAGCACCGAAAGCGACACCGGATGCATGATTTTTTCTGTAAAACAATTCCAGGCTTCTGGAACATGATATACGGTCTCACGATGTACCTAGGTGCGTTTCAGCTTTTGAATAATTAACCGTCGAAAGCTGCAGAATGGTTGGGGATGATCTTGCGAAGACGTCGAGGTATCGCTCTGCGTTTGCCGAGTGAGAGCAAAGTGTGATCGGATTATCGAATGGTAGTCTGAGCGATTAATTGTGCAAATACCATGCAAATTCCTCGAGACATGTCGATCGGATTCTATTTTTTATATAATAAAGCTAGTGTAAATTTAGAAACAAAAGCGTTGATCCAGATACAAACGTTACCTTTGGTTATTGTTCATGCGAATCTATCAAATAACTCGATTGTAATAATTTAACATCGAAAAAAATTGAATACATGATACTTTTGGACTATAGCCTGATATAGTATACGGATCGAAAAGTACCAAAAATTGCACTTCATAATTGAACATTTTCATTGTAAAAGGCGCGTAAAACTCGTCTCTCATGGTAATTTGGAAGCTTAAGGTCACGTTATTTATCATTAGAAGTACAATCTTTGCGCCGGCAAAGGCGATGACTGTGTCGAAACGGAGAAAAAAATATTCTTATCGAAGGCCGTCATTTTTGGAGTTTTCGGCTCCGTTTGGCACGCGCACGTACACACCCGAGCGCCGTATACGTATAAGCCGGCCGGCTAAGCTCTCGTCGCACTCATACAATTCAAGGGAGTGGCTGACTATGCGCTTTCCCTATTGCACGGGGCAAACCCTTTTCTCCTCCCCTTTACAGCAATAGTCTGCTCACGGCCATGAATATATGTATACGAGTACGTGCTGTATAATACGTACAGCACACATAAAACTGTGTGCCTATGCATGTGTAAGAGAGAGAGAGAGAGAGAGAGCTTGCGTGCAAGTGTTCGTATTTACGCGCGCGCTCATACTTTGCCCGAACGCATATGTTCATCGCTGTGAAATGTTAGACTTAAAAGCGATATTTGTACCAAAAGCTGCTGCTTTTCAAGTTCCAAATTATTTTTCTCTCTATTTTTTGAGTAAAAAAAAGACTGCTTTTTCTGGATTTCGACTTTGAACAATCCAACAACTTTTCCGATGTCTTAATTCTCGAATAGATAATCTTATCGTTGCATGCGCAAATATTTACTCTCTCGACGAATCTTAAAACATGAAAAGCCCAACGCGCCTAATGTACAAGGAGGGTTTAGAATACCAAAGCAATTTCGTGGCCACGAAGGTACAGAGCTACCTACACAATTATACAAGCGTCTGAAAGCCGCTGGGCGCAGGTATAATCGATAAATCTGATAGCGTCAGCTTTGTACGTCACCAATCTTTTGTAACGCCAGAACTTTGGCGGCGTTCGGAGCATAACATATGGACTTACGTCGAATGACGAAGAAGTTTTTCGAAAAATATCATGTTTTTTGGGGCTTCAGCGTAAATAGTAAGGAGAGTGCTCGAATTAGAGGCGGTATATTCGAGTTTATTTTCGTTAGGGTTTTCATGCATGCTGACGTTTTTGAGCGGTACCGTATGTATGACTATCCAAGTGGACGTTAGGCTCTAATTCCAATACATTTGCAATAACGATTGGCTAGTATTTAGTAAATAAAATAATCCCATTTATATAAATAAATACGCATTAAAAGTTAACGCAATCAACGTCCTAATGCCATTATGTAGTAGACTTGCGTACAAGTATGTTTATGAAGGACTACGTTGAGATACGGACAAAATCGATATTTTGAATATTTGCCGAGTGATAAGCTCGTGAGTGATGTATCAGGTTTGTCTGCAATAATACACGTGTTCTTCGGAAAATACTTTGTCAATGAGCAAATGACGTATGGATCAAGATTAAAACGTTCAACATCAATATTTATTTTGGCATGGGTGGATCAGACGCTAACAAGAGTAGTGAATATTTCGGTAGCTCCGCGAAAGTCATGGTAAATAAATCAACACAATGACCGCTGAGACGAGCTCAGAAATTTTCAAATATATTAATATTCATTGTTGAAAACCCCGATAATTAAAAGGCAGGAGTTTAGCATGCTATGACAATTTGGGTTTTGGACAGATTCGTGAAAAAATTACAGTTTACTTAATAATGAAAAATTCATTTTAAGCAGCAAAACAAATTCCAAGTGAATTGTACTTGATATTGAAAACAATCATGAAGAAAGAAGAAAACAAAGAGGTCGAACCATAAAAATAAAAATTTCGAGTCTCTTTTACTTTAACTACACGAAGCTTTTAACGATTTTTCGTGCCAATAACAAATATATTCATGAATTCATCGATCTAACGGAAAATGCATTATCGACAAAAATCGGAACGATGATGTTAAATGAGAAAATACTTAGTTCATAAGATATTTCGATTTAATTAATTTAACTAACTCAGAATTTACATTTTTGCTAGAATACGCTTTACTACTTATGGAGCAAATTTATAATTATAAAATGCGGCTAAATTCTTCAAATATCTAAGTATAGTATTAAACAATAGATTTTTTATAAAAATAAATGAGAAATGAGGCTAGTATTTGTTGGGATGAAATTCAAAGAAGAAAATGTTTTTCTAGTAATGCTGTTAATTCCGAGTTATTGTTCGTAAATGATCGAGAGAATAAATTAAGTTTACTCACACTGGTAAATGTTGCTGATGAGGGTTGTTGAAAGTTTGAAGTTCATCACAGCTGTCACAATCACTGCTCGAGGCAGTGCACTCAGAATCGTAGGCGCTTTGCAATACCTTAATCTTTGAAGTTAAAGGACCGCACACATTTTCGAGTTCTTTACCATCAAGCTTAATTTGGGTCATGCCAAATACTGTTCCACGACCAAGTGGTTGCTGTGGGCCGTTAAAATCTTTCGATCCTGCACCAAAGTACCGACACGTATTCCGCTGCCTCACAGCTATACTGTTACTCTGGGCACTACAACTCTTTTGAAGCTTGTTGAGAAAGGAACTAAGACTACCCGAAAGCTCTGGAAAATTTCGATTAACACCCGCTTTCGATCCAAGATTTGATAAATCATCGATCAAGTTCTTTTTTGCACTTTGTTGAGCTAACTGTAACACGTTTCCTGTTTGCTCGGCAGCATGTTCGGCTACCAAACGCGATTGAATCTTACGAAGTCGCCTTGCCAGGAAAGACGCTCGCCGCTCAAGTTCGTGCTGCCGTTTCTCTACAACAGTTTGTTGTTGACTCACTGCATTCAATCTTGCTGATTCTTGTTGCTGTTGCAACAGCATTGGATCATGCTGCTGCTCAATATGATGAAGACTAGATGATGATGGAACAGATATAGACTGATCCGTTAGTTGTTCACTGCATAAACCTATCACATCCACGTCACTAAGGAGATTCAAGGAAAATGGTTCACTGTCTTGAAAAATTTCGGGAACACCTTCCGCTGACTGGGATGATACGCCTCCAACAAGGCCCTCGCTTGTCAATCGGTTTTCTTCTGCCCCTGCATCGTTTTCCTCCATTGACTTTATTACCTATAAATTAAAAATGAGTTGTTTTTGTTTCGAATATAATTAAAAGTATTGCCTACTTGTTAATTCAAGTCTTACCTGTAGTATATCATCAACATTATGTCCAAGATCGACAGTTTGAGCGAAGCCCATGATTTGTTCTAAACCGTCTTCGTCAACGTCGTTTTGCTTTTCTTGGACATTTAATGTTGATGATGCAGCTGCAGTCATGGAATCAGTGGAAATATTGCGACTTTCCTGTTCCTCCTCTGGAGTACCAGTAGGGTAAGGAATCGATTTAAAGAAACACATGTTGTTGGCTTGATCATCCATGGATTGGTCACTCATTATAGCGTCCCTATACTCGTCACCCACTTCTGTCTCCTCCGCTGCAACTGCCAGCGAATCTTTTTTATTTATAATCAGGTCGGACAAACTATCGAGACCACTGCTGAATTTAAGATTGATGACATCGTTTATCAGATCCTTTGGAATACCGTGCAAACACTGATCGTCAATTTTTGTTGGCTGGACGTTAGCTGAGACAACGAATTGAGCCAGGACCTCGTGATCTTGACAGATCTGTAATTTAAAATCGGGTAATTAGCGATCTGTTTTAGTCGTTATTTAAATTCTATTGAAGTTTAACCAATCATTTTAACTATTCAAATAAATTTTAAATAAAAAAAATATTTACGATTCGATACTTTTTAAATTTATTGAGCGACATGCTTAAAGCTCGTTTTTCTCATTGAATGCGATAAATACTTTCTTCGAGTTAAAAGATTTGATAAAGCTTGGAAGAAAATGTAATAAATTAAATCATTCAAATAAAATGTGCAATAAATCGAAATAAAATAAGGAATAGTATTGATAGCAGATCATTCACACTTTTAAATGCTCGATTAATAAACTAAAGAACGTGATTGAGATGTTTCAATAAAATTCTTACTTTCGGCTTATTGTTCACATTCGACGATTTCGGGAGATGCACCGATGCACTGAGACAAACCTGCTTGGCCTGCTCGGCGGTTAAAAAGCCGCCGGCCGGCAGCGCTGGTATCAGATTCTCAGGCTTCTGAGGTCCGGCTTCCGTCAGAGCAGGGGCCATCACTGCCACTGACGTCGCCAGCGCTGACGGCTCGACATCCAGCCAAGGGGACTGACCAGCCACGACGCTGTTGCAGCTGTTACGTCGCCGCGTCCTCTCCTGCTGCCGGAGCCGCACCGTCCAAAGCTCCGCCGGGCTCACTCCCATTCATCCATCGTCACCGTCCCACGCTATCTGCACCATTGCTGGGCTGCTTAATTAATGCACCAATTGATGTAGGTATGCACTTTGGCAGAGTTCTTAGAACCAGCAACTTCAGCTAACCTTGAAGTTATGATCTTTTGCCGTCCAACTTTCCGAGCAAGTATTCAACTGGTATCACTTTTTATCTCTTTGATAATATTCTTTGCCTTTGTCTTGGAAATTTGTCCAATTACAATTGGCTCCGAATCCAGTGATTTTTTTACCAGCTTAGATCTGTCAAATAAAAAAGTCTGCATTAAACATTTGTTGAACAATGTAATTCATTTCATTCAAATCATTTTGGCATGAGACTTTTACTGATTATTATAAAGACAATCATTGAGTTATGTAATATATTTAACAGGTCATGCAATCTTTAATAGACACTTTCTGATATACATAATCTAAATCTGATAAAACACGGAATTCCGTAAATATACGGAACATCACTATTTCGTCCAAAAATTAATTAATATTTCATATTATTAGAAACTTGAATTAATTCTATTCAATAAGATAAGTATGACTTCATTTCAGACTGTATTATGAATTGAATTAAATCAGATATGAAGTGATAAACATCAATGAACTTTGAATAGAAAAACAGCTGATAAGCCATCATAGTTGAAGCAAAATTTATTGATTGCAGCACTTTGAACCATGTGAGAAAATAACCTGCAATTTATTTATAAACACAATGATGCAATACCATGATTTACTTTGCAATTAATCTTTTCGTTATTTTACGATTCACTTTTTGGCTCGTCATTAATTCTTTTAACAAACAATTTTAGAATATACATTGACGCGAGTATACTTGAATTTCACATACATTTTTAGCTTTATAATATGCAACAAAAATGACAAGAAGGTCGTAATCAAAAGAGATTATACCGTGTCTGAACGATTGCATGAAATTGACTAGAGCAGAAAAAAAAGTAAAAACAAAAAAAATTGTTTACTACTCACGTTTTGTGATTATAATCACAGTGTTTGCGACAGTTTTCCTGTGGATCCGCTTACAGATGTCTATTACTTTTCATCATTAGTGTCTGTATTCCACTGTAAAATAGGGAACAAAAATTAACAATCAATATAGTGTCGCAAACACAGTGAGTTGACATATTATTAATGTGTATCTATAATAACATTCGCATTTTAACGCACACATCCCGAGGCAGTGCAACATCGTATACCAATTTTTTGTACACTTTTACTCCGCGGTAGGTACATTAAGTAGTAATAAAGCTTGTTAATATTTTAGCAAGAATAGAAGAGTTCATAGAGCGGGAAAGATATTTACAGAACTGTAACGTAAGGCGCACACATGCACGTTTAAAGTTAATATATGTCAGAGAATCGCTGCGACTTGAGAAGAGCTCGAAGGCAGAGACACACGAGTAGAGAAGTTGCGCGGCAAAAAAAAAAAAAAAAAAAGAAAAAAAGGAAAGAAAAACTGCCGACACATTCGTGCACGTGATATCACCGCTCGCGACTGTCTGACTGCGTCTCATCGCGTAGTGGTGTAGCCGCCCGCCGGTCGACACGTCTTTGTGTGCGCGCGTTAATACATTTAATACCGGCTCGCGTGTGTTATACTGACAAATGTGATATTTTAAATTTCTTATATTTTAGCGGGTAGCGTATATAAACATTTTTCTTATTATATACTTTAAATCGAATAATCGGTACTAGTGATTGTCAAAGCAAGATATTATTTTAAAGAGCAAACAAACATTAGCGCGCGCCACTTGCCGCATACGTTAAAAATTGTACACTCCGATGTATTTTTCTTCTCGCGTGCTCCTCTTTCGAGCACGGTCGTACATTCGCTGCCGCAGCAGATTCGACGAGATATAATACACATAACACAGGTATAGCACACTCACGGACGCGGACACGCACACAACTATATACTTGAAACACGGTCGCATTAAACACGTTACGTTCAATCGATTGCGCGCGCGCGCACACTTTACAATTCTCTTACCTAAAAGCGGCATAGACTCGAACGTGTATCGAGCAGTCCATCTATGTTTATATATTTTATGTGTGTGAAATATATGGGATTTTAACGATAAGCCGGGTGCGAAAAACAACGAGAGAAATTACGGAAAAATAAGCGAGCAGAAAAAAAGTTTGGGCGCCGGGCGGCGACGTTACGTACGCGAAAGGTGTCTCTGCGACTAGGAGCCGGCCAACTGCGCGCGTGTGCGCGCTTACAGTAGTACTGAAACAGCAGTAGACCGGTGCGCTGCTCTTGCTTCGATGTATATAGGCTTACGTATTACGCGCGTTTTACACTTCCAACTCTCTCGGATCTATGCTATGTGTAACATGCTCGTATAGTATATGCGCTGCTCCTATATAGACATGTACGAAGCACAGCGCCAATGTGCACCGGTTATATTTATAAGACTTCCGTGGCGAAGTGCAATTAGACTAGGGTATGCAAGAGAGCGAGCGTTACGCATGCTTACGACGAAAAAAAGAGAGGAAAAATAAAATCGTATTATTAACTTGCTTATATACGGGAAAGTCGAATGATCTATAGAGAAGGAAAAGAGAGCGTACGAATGTCGAGATTAACGAAAAATTTCAATGACTGCGGTGGTCGCGAGATGCGCCGGCATCGGCATCAGATGAGTAGCGGCAGTAGCACGAGAGCACAAGCATCAGTACAGCGAGTGTTGCGGCTGGAAATAATGGCATTCGTAATACGCTCATTCGAGATATACCAGTGTAATTGCGTTATTATTCGCCTGGATGGTGTATACACGTAGAGATATAGTAAACAAGCGCCAAGAGTGCAAAAACGACAAAATGAAATAAAGATGAAAGTGGAGTTGAGAGAGCAAGTGGATAAAAGCAAGCAGGATGAGGAAGATGGAATGGACTAAGGAGCAGGAGAGAAGTAGGGCCAGGTGCCGAAGGCAGGGAAACAAAAAAAAAGGAATGATTGCCGAATCACACGGTGAACGAGAGAACGAGAGAACGAGAGAATTGGCAAGGAGATACGCACGCATGCGACAGCAGAGGCCTGTACGTATACGTATAGTCTCGAGCGAAAAGCAGCGGATAGCGAGAGAGGCGGAATGAAACGAATGGACGCCGTGGGCAATGCACGTACAGACGACGGCGACGGAGAAAGCCGTCTGTGTGCTATGCAAGAGGCCAGTGCAGACGTAGACGTATAGAAGACTACCTATACACAAGTATATAACATGTAATAGATAGATACTCGTAAAGGGCGTAAAACCATTTTAAAAACAAAACGAACACCACAAAACGCGTTGCATAACGTGTCGCGCAAACTGCACACTGCATACGAATGTTGCAAACCCATGGCGAGCTGAAGGTTTTTTTCGTGCAGCCGACGACGTTTTTGCATTCGGTTGAATTATGCACTCGTTGTTGCTGCACATCCTCGACGTCGTTGCCTCGTTCGCGCGCGCGCGCCTCTGACTCATCCGCGCGCAGTTTCCGATAACAACGACCAACAAAATTATAACACGACTACGCCACGATGACGTGCGAAAACAATCCACCTTAACGACGACTTGGTCCTGGACATTTTTTTTTTGTCTAGCTTACATATTTACACGCACACGGACATTTACGTTAGAGCGAGAGTCGTTCGATATACCGATGAGCCACTCTCTCTCTCTCTCTCTCTCTCTCTGTCTCTCTATCTTTCTCTCTCCGTCTTTGTATATAATGTGTACGTATAGATGTACACAAAGAAATACCGGCTCCGATGAGCACACGAGGAAAAGACGTTGCGCGCCGTACTTCGAGTGTGTGCGTGCGTGTTTTTCCCTAGAATATAGCTCTTTCGAACGGGCGGCTCCGGGTGCTGCTCTCTTTCTCTTTCTCTTTCTTTGTACATACGCGCTGCGAAAGTGTGTGTGTGTGTGAGCCTCTCTGTATTTGTACGCCGTGCGCGTGTGTGCATTCACAGTACCCAACACAAATACAAGTACACATACGCGTCGGCTGACATGAGCACTGCGGAAAGTACGTGGAGTCATCTGTATTAGTGCGTTTTGTTCAAGAGAAAGAAAGAGAGAGAGAGAGAGAGAGAGAGAGAGAGGCAGACAGCGTGTGTACACATATATGCACACACGCAAAGCGGGTGCGACGCACGCGCTACACGCCGCTGTAAGGCGCAAAACACGCACAGACACGCATACGGGGTGAGCAAAGCGTACATTATATTGCGCGGCAACAGCGACGACGACGACGACGATGACGGCGACGGCGATCCGTCGGCAGCGAAATACGCGAGGAGCGTACGGACGCCGCTCGCTCGCTCCGCATTACTATATGGCAGCGAGAGCGAGAAGGAGAGGCTGCAACGCACGATGCGAGTTTGCCGAGTGCCGCCGCCGCTGCCGTTGCCGCCGAACGAACGAGCGAGCGAGCGAGCGAACAAGCAGAGGCGCACACGGCGTATACACAACGCACAAACACACACACCGCGCACACCCAAGCGACGCCAACGAACTATAGCTTGTTTGCTCTCCGTAGCCGCTGCCGAGTACAGCCGACTCGAGTGCAAGGCCGCTCTCTGCAGCGTTTATTTTTTTATCGTATTTGATTTCACGTTTACTTACATATTACCACGTTACAGATATATAAATATAGACGGCCTGCAGCCGACAAAAAAATCCTAGAACGTGATCGTTACGGACGCCGCCGAGCTGCAGCTTTTCATCGTTTTTCCGGAGTTAATGCGAACGCGCCAGTCGAGTTGTGGTACTAGTATTACGGAGCGGGTAAAAACAACGATGCGGCTGTTTGCGCGATGCTATTGATGGCCCCCGAAGAGAACAGTCAATCGAACGCTAAAACCGCCTGCTACTGTCGAGCGGTATATCATATATATATATGTGTGTATACCAGAGCGGCACGAGCAAAAAGAGCCGTCTATTGCTCCGTATTTTATGTAGCCGAGTCGATGAGTTTCGCCTTCGTGCGTTTATGCGAATTCTCGAGTATTCTTTCCGTTTTTTATTTCGATCTGCAGCGACGTTTAAGAAGTCGCAAGTCCGCATTCGAGCACGAAAATACACAGGGCAAAATATCTAATCGTTGCCGATGACCGCGTTGTTAACGCTGGCGAGTAATAGCGCGCGAGCGCGCCTCGACCCCGCAATGTGCATAACGCATACATGCAGATACACACTCGCTGAATTTGACGCACAAACACATTCTCGCAAACGTTACATCGGAAAGTGCAGCAGTAGCAGCAGTAGCAGCAGCAATACACGCACACTCGTCGCGTTCACAAGTATTTGCAGTTGCATAGGTGTATGCGTGCGTGTGCGCGCCTATACGTATTATGCTCGGCCTGCACTTGCACGTATACGTAGACATACACGCACACTTGCACGAGTACACTATGCAGCAAAGCAAAGTCGTCGTCCGGTCGCACGCGAACAACGCACATTATACACTGCTGCTGTGAAGCGCGCGGCGGCTTATACGGCATGTGTATATTATACATACACATATATCGGCACCAACACAGCCGTGCACAATCACTAGGCTCTGCTGCCGCGACTGCTTCTACTGCCGAGGATACGTTACAATGATCATTATTATCATTACCTATATAGATAGACATGTAGGCATGAACAATATCGCGAAAATCACTGCAGTGTACGAAGCAGGCAGACACAACCGCTGTTTCTCTCTTCTCCGTCGATATATTTGTTGGATAAATGTGTGTGTGTGTTTGTGTGTTTGTGATTGTGTGTGTGCGTGTGTTGCGGATTATCAATCACATTACATGAGCGCAGACACTCTAATATCTATACACACACGCGGGCACATATACACAAACACACACATGGGCATGAAACACATTCACTGGCTGCGGCTTGATCTTTTCACGGAGCACTGCAGCACTGCTATTCTTCTTTTTCTTCGTGTGTACCGTCGTTGCTCTTCGTTTTTTTCCCAACCGACGACGATCGACGTAAACGAGACGACGACGTCGGTTACATTCTTGACACACGGGCACAATATTCACGTACTCTCACAGCACTTGTAACAATAATACAATAAATATATATACACACACAGAACGAGAAGACTCCGTGCAAGGGATCTCTCTCTCGCGCGAGACTCGACACTTATCTGTATCTATAGCTATAGCTATCATGAACTCACACAGACGCGTTTATTTGCGCATATGTACGAAGCAACGATATGAGCATGTGTGCCGTCGGTACTCGAATTGCGTGCTTGTATACGAGTGCGAGAGAGAGAGCGCGAACGAGAGCGCGCGAGTCTATATAGTGGCTATATAGTAGTCTCTCGGTGTGTAACTGTGTGTGTGTGTGTGTGTGTTGGTGTGCGAAACGAAGACGAATATATGTGTGTGTGCTTTGTACAGAAGGAGGAAAAACGTATAGAAGCCGCGCACAGCACAGTCCGAGAGGGACGAGCAGCAATCGTGAGGCACACGCAGAGCTCCGTCGTACGATGGACTCACTCGCTCGCTTATGCGGGGAACACTGGCGCAAAGCAGCGCCACCGGGTCGCTCTCCGCCGCTGCTCGAAACGAAGCGAGGCAGCCCGCAAAGCTGAAAGCAGCAGCAGCAGCTCGGCGAGAAACCGACGCTTCGTGCGGAATCATGCGCGCCGCTGTTCGGCCGCCGCGCGCACAGCGAAAAGTACACGCAACATTCAACAACCATCGGACGAGAGAGAGAGAGAGAGATAGAAGAGGCGAACGAAGGAACGAGCCGATGACGGACGCTCGTGCTGCCAGCTAGCTGCGAGACGAGCCGACCAATTTTTCGCCCTCCTTAAAAGTTAAAACATTGCAGTAGCGGCAACGGCGGCTCTCCTGTATACCTATTATGTGTGCGTTTCTCGACGGCGATAGTCGCCATTTGCGATTTGCGCGCGCTACGACGGCTCGGCTCGCCTCGCATCGACCTATGCCCGTAGCAGCTGTATAGCGGCCGCGACCAGGAGTTACATCAGCCGATACGTTACATTTTATTGTTCGTGGCGAGCTTCCGAAACACTCGGCTCCTTTAATCGCACACTTGGACCCGACGACACCCTATCCCGAGTTCTTTTGTCGCGCGCACTTATTTGCCTACGCTAAACCGACCAACATTGAGCTCCGACAGACAGTTGCGATATTTGCTGAAAATTCTCTCTACGTATTGCGCGTTTCCAATTTTGATGGATTTTCTTTCGAAATTGCGCCAAGCTTCGACTACGACTTTGCTCGCGTTGAAATATGATTCACGTGGGACGCAAAACGCCTCTTCCGCACTCTTTCCGTCCAATCTAATCTTTTTAACCGAGTATTTTTGTACTTTTTTCTTGAAAATACTCTTGAGAAGTTGTGGGCAACGAAACGCGCCGTCATACAATATACAAACACCTACGTTTCCTCGCTTTGACCCACTGGCCTCCAGCGATCGAACTCGGAGTCTATATACTCGTGTTCGTGAGGTCATAAAAAAAATCTTTTTCGCGTTCACTGGAGCCCGGTGAATTTCGAGGAACGACAATAGCAATATTTTTTTCGTCGCGCGTCGCTCACTCCGACGCGCGATAATTGCCGCGAGTCTAAACTAGAAAAATTACGCCCGTCGATGTTGCGCAAAAACACGCAAATTCAATAGATCTCATTCAATGTCACACTCGACATTCATTTCGAGTGAATTAAAAAATAAAAGCATATAGTTTATGACAAAAAACCAGTACGCGCACGGGCGTTCGCAAAATTACGTAATGATTCATCGCTCCTGAATGAATTACCGCGAAATGAGTATGAGCGGGGAAAAATCCCGTGAATCTGGCGTTTGCGTTTCGATTGACTCGTATTTTTGGCGCTTCGGGTGTGCGGCTTTACGTTAATCGAAGCGCGCAGTGACAAAATTCCCTCGAGTAACCACCAAGTCAAGCTCCGCGGAGCACGTGGTGGCTGTTAAAAGCTGTACACGGTTATATGCATCACGTGCGGCACTGTTTTGCATTTGTTTATTTGCACAGGAGAAAAAAACAAAATAATTTTTTCATATATTATCGGGCACCATTATTCCAACTATTTAACGTACAAAAAGAAATGGAGAAAAAAATCGTGTGTGGAAAATTTATTTAAAATTCGATGATGGGTTTGGAATTTTCACGCAAATGAGCTGTAATTGCAATATTTATTAATAGTATAAATTTTCTATAATTGTTTTCAGACAAAAGAATGAATTAAGGATATGAATTCATAATAGATTTCACGCAACAAATTTCTCAGAACTTACGTTTGAATATCCGTCGTGTATCTGTGTGTACTTTTTCGCGTTTTATATATAAAAGACGCACGCGTTATCTGCAGTTCAACGAACTAACCTAACCTAGTTGGCTATCGAGTACGCGGCACCACTAGCACCAACAACGCCACCATATCCGATTATTGCGGCAGCAGCAGTCGGCAGATGGGTACGCGATATTTTCGCGAAAGTTTATTCGCTTGTTCTGTCCGTGCGCCGCGCGACCGTCGACGTCGTACGCGTCTGCTACGATCTGCCACCTACACAACACAGTGCAGTCGTGTATGTACACAAGTCCAAAAAGTCGCATGCATCTGTCAGCAAAATCTCATCGCTAATAATTTTCAATGTTCAACGATCTTGATTATTTTAAAGTGATCGAACGTCGATTTAATTATTATTCGACGTTGTCATTAGTTTGCTCTCAGAATGGATATCGCTAAATCCTTATTCAGTGCTCGCGATCACGAAGGTTACGTGGGAAAAGAAGAACACGAAGTAAATATACTTCTCAAAATCCTTTCTATTCATGTTTTAATTATCATTTTGAATCATTTTGAATCATTTCACGGCATACCTTATTTTGACATTCTCCAATATTGGTCGCTTGAGATATGCAATCTGTTTGTTGTTATGGTTCCCATCTATGTCAAAACAAATATTAAAAGACTGTGTTCGTGTTTTATAGAAAAGTGTCAAAGCAGCTGCATCCGATGAGGAGACCGATGACGCCGCTGGAGGGTCTAATGGCGAAGTGCTGTCACCAGCACCTGGTGGACCATTTTCTGCTCTTATACCCTCAATGTGGCCTCAAGATATTTTAGCAAAGCTTAAGGAAAATGACACATCTGATTCATCATTGGAATGTAACTTTGATGAATTTGGCTTTAGAATTGATAAGGAAAACTGTTTAGATGAAAACACAAGAAAACTCTTGGAATCTCATTTAACAGAAAACCCAAGACAGAGGTATATTTTATTTTTTAAATAACACAGAATTATTATTTTTTTTTGAAAAAACTTATTTTGAACTAATCATTTATACAGGCTAGAGTGGGCAGCCTTAATCGAATTTAATAGTGACAAAAATGTTTCCGAAGTAGATAACGGTATACCTCACACTGATAAACTTAGAGAAATGATCAGGAAAGGAATTCCACATTCACTTAGACCACAAATCTGGATGAAAATGTCTGGTGCATTACACAAAAAATTATCATCAGAAACCTCCTACAAAGATATTATAAAAGCTTCGAGCAGTGATGCATTGATGACCAGCAAGCAAATTGAAAAAGACATCCTTAGAATCATGCCTGCCAATGTTTGCTTTAATAACTTGCACAGTACTGGCATTCCTAGACTAAGAAGAGTCATGCGAGGACTTGCCTGGCTGTATCCAGACATAGGGTATGCTGTAAAATTGATAATTTATTATTTTGAAGTATGTAATTCATTCACAATACTGATTAAATATTTTTTTAAAGATATTGTCAAGGAACAGGAACCATAGCAGCTTCATTACTACTGTTGCTTGAAGAAGAGGATGCATTCTGGTTGATGGCTACCATTGTAGAAGATTTACTTCCAGCATCATATTATTCTTCAACTCTTATAGGTTATTATTACTAATATACTGTCATTTTTCAAATCTAATCACTGTAAAATAATACATAATTTGTTAGGTATCAGAGCTGATCAGCGTGTTCTTCGAACAATAGTTACTAATGTCCTTCCAGATGTTGATCAAATTCTTGTTCAGCATGATATAGAGCTAAGTTTAATAAGTTTAAACTGGTTTTTAACACTATTTGCATCTGTAGTTCATATGAAAATATTACTTAGAATATGGGATCTTTTTCTATGTGATGGATCAATAGTACTATTTCAAATAGCAGCAGCAATGTTGAAAATTAAAGGTAATCCTCTATTTTCTATAATAAATTGAGTGACGATTATTTTTTTAAATGCAATTTGTTTTTTCTTTATTTTAGAATCTGATTTAAAAGCTTTGGAAAACTCCGCACAAATATTCAATGCCTTATCAGATATTCCTGGAGATATCACTGATGCAGATCAGCTTTTGGGCGTTGCATTAGAAATTAGTGGAACATTTACAGAGGCATTGGTAGATACGCATAGAAGAAGACATTTGGCATATTTAATGGCTGATCAAGGTGGCCTTGTTGGGAACCCTGATGCAGATCCTAATTTACCAAAGCAGCATTTAAATAAGTAAGAAAATGCACCATCCAAAATGTATATAAGGAGTAATTTTATGATTTAATAATTATTTTTTAGGAGACAAGTTAAACGTACCAAATCTATGCTTGAAACTCTATTATTTGGGGATGAAGAAACAGAAGATGATCTGAAATGTAAAAACATTAGACAAACAGGTATTTATTGATGAAAATGAATGTTTAATAGCACTTTCTTTTAAATATAATCTGTATATTATTGAATTTAAAATTTTCTTTCAGAAATTTTAGTTGACTTGAGAGAATCAGTTTTACAGATTGCTAGACATTTTATTACCTTAGATCCAAAACTCGGTAGTATTCAACTAACAGCAGATTATAGTATGGAAAGCCACGCAAAAGATCACGAAAATTTTATCAATGTATCGCGGATACGTAACCGACGTGCCAAAGCATTACTTGGTAAGTGGTTTTTACAAAGTTAAAGTTATCGATTACATTAAATTTAATTACTTAATTTGATAGATTTCGAAAGACATGATGATGATGAACTTGGATTTCGAAAGAACGATGTGATTACTATAATAAGTCAAAAGGATGAACACTGTTGGGTCGGAGAGTTAAATGGTCTTCGAGGTATTTTAAAAATTCATTTTAACGTTGACCTTAAATAACTATGAACTAAGCATTAGAATATTTTTTTCAAGGCTGGTTTCCTGCTAAATTCGTCGAAGTTTTAGATGAAAGAAGTAAACAGTATACTTGTGCTGGAGACGATGCTGTCAGTGAAGCAGTTACCGATTTAGTTCGTGGTGGTTTATGTCCAGCTATCAAATCTGTATTAGAGCACGGTATGAAGAGGCCTTCTTTTTTAGGAGGTACTTGCCACCCGTGGCTTTTTATTGAAGAAGCAGCCAGTAGAGAAGTTGAAAAAGATTTTAATTCTGTGTACAGTAGACTTGTGCTTTGCAAAACCTATCGTTTAGATGAAGATGGAAAAGTGTTGACTCCTGAAGAGGTGTGAAATGATTTTTTAAACCACTTATGTTAAAAAGACTTTTAATAATCAAAAGAAATTGGTTACAGTTGTTGTATCGCTGTGTACAGTCCGTCAATTTGACGCACGATAGCGCTCACGCTCAAATGGATGTAAAACTTCGTTCTCTTATATGTCTTGGCTTGAATGAACAAGTTTTACATTTATGGTTGGAAGTTCTATGTTCTTGTGTGGAAGTTGTCCAAAAATGGTAGGCTAAATCTCACTAAGGTATACTTTTTTCTATAAATAATACACTGATAAATATTTTGATGACAGGTATTATCCTTGGAGTTTTGTGAACAGTCCTGGTTGGGTACAGATAAAATGTGAACTTAGAACGTTAAGTAATTTTGCATTCAACCTAAACCCAGATTGGGAGTTACCACCCAAAAAAGAACACTCACAACCAATGAAAGACGGCGTGCGCGACATGCTGGTAAAACATCACTTGTTCAGCTGGGATTTATAAAAAAATTCAAATTATACCGTCTTAATAGAAATCTTGCCATTAAGCCAAAGTCGTATTATCACATTAATTTCATAATGTTTCCAAAAATGATCTTTTAATGGTAATAAAGATCTGTAGTATTTAAAAGAACACTTCATAATTTTAAATTGTCTTATCACACTTTGAAAATTATAGTTCAGTTAATTGAAGAAAATTTCATGTGCAATAATGATAAATCACTGTGCAATATTATGAAAGATTTATTAGTTTAATTTATGAAATTGAACGTCAGTTTTACAACATATACTTGATTTTTAATTATTGAATATGATAAGCGTCAAAGATAGAATTCTTTCCATAAAATGTCAATGTCTGTTAATAAGCCATGAACCTATGTAGTATTATATTAACGTGTTTTTAAAATATTCACTATTAATATTTTTCTATGTAATCGCGAATAGGTAAATTACTAATGCAGAGACTGAATATATTGAATTTCGCAAGATGCGATTTGTTTTTGAATCCATCGTTGGTCGATGTAATGTAAAATATTTAATAAAATTGTTAATTGTTATAATTAGAGTAAAGAGGCGGCGTGTGTACTTTTCAAAAAAGTCCAAAAATGTATTATTTTACGACGCAAAATGTTTTATAATGGAGCGTAAAACTTGTAAATTTTTCTCATAAATTTCTACGACACTGAATGAAATAAAAGTCTATGAGTACTTCAAGCAGATGATTTATTTAAGTATTTTGTAAATATATAACAATTAAAGTATAAAAATAACTGTGCAACTTTTTTGTGATAAGTCATTTCCTTTTCTTTGTAGAAATAAAGCACCAATTGAATTTGCCTAAGGTTCTTCGATTAAAAAACTATTGTAGCTCGTTGTTTGAAATGGTAAATGATTTTCATCGAAGTCGCAATTTCGGTTTTTAATATAAATAAAATGTAAGTCCATAACGTTCGTACCGGTCAGTCCAGATTTGACTAAATAATGTCCATTATGAAATCGTTTGTAAAAATTGTAACTGTCGTTTGAATTCAAAACTGACTCAGGTAGGTAATCTATGAGTATCTTTAACTTTTCTTTCAATATGTTGCTTTTAGCAGAATCGCTATTGGAAGCAATGGAATTTTGCAAGTCTCGCACCATTCGATGCATTTGCCGCGGTAAATCGGTCCAGCCGAAGGCACCCGCTGCGTCAGTCGGACCATCTTGACCATCCGTGGCTGCGCTAAGGAACAATATGAAATATTTTTTTTCCAGCTCGGGGTCGTTCGCGAGCGCCTCGGCCAAATCAAGCGAAAATCGCAGAGCCAATTCCTGATTACGACCTCCTTTCCCTGTGCCTTTGAGCACAACCGTGGGCTCGCCACCAGCCAGCAATAGAACACCGCTTTGATCGATGGACGGCGCGTTCAGTCGTTCGAAAGTTCGCGCTAGAATGTCCTCGGTTACGCCGAGAACGTCGAATCGTTGCTCGAGCGCGTCTCCCATAAAATCTCCTACATTATCATAGGCCCCTTTCAATACTCGACAAACGATTCTGGTAAATTTGGCATAGGCTTGGCTGACTCGGCCCACATCGCCTTGCACGCTACGGCTCAAGCGTATCACCTCCAAGCCATACTCGCGCCTCGCGCGTTCAGCAGCTTCGCTCAGGGCTATGTCGTTATTGCCAATGACAATGTTGCTCACTGACTCTTGAAACTCGTCCTTAGTGACATTGTCTCTTACATCGCTGCTGGAATCATTCGACAACAGTGAGCGTCGCAAACTTTCCTCGCAACTCTCGAATAAGCCATACTTCCTCAAAATGTCAATAGTCCCTTGCCGAATTTGACCTACAAGAGTCATTAAATAGCCTGTAGAGATATTCCATGCTGAGCGATTATACGCTGAACGTAAATAATCTACATACCTAAATCAACGTAAGAAGTCGGCCCACTGGCGATCGATTCGATTGGATCACCAACGATGTCGGACAATATTAAACTATGTACCGAAACATGCCTTCTTAAAGCTACTCGCGCCAAGCCACCAGCTTTGACGCTCGACAGAAAACTACGTACAACATTGAGCTCGCGTATGTCGGCTCCCAAATTTTGTAATTTACGACATAAATTGATTTTCGTTTGAAAGTCGACGTACGGCGCCCGGGGTGAGTTAAGCAGAGCTGATCCACCGCCAGAAATAAGAACGAAGATCTGGCTACGTTCTTCGACCCTCTCCACTAGCTCGAGGATCTTTTTCGACGCCTCTAACGAGGCCAAGTCCGGTTGATTGTTCGTCGCACCTTCGTAAACTTCGAAAGTTGCGTCTCGTCGAACATCTTCGATATTATCCAATATTAGCTGGCTATTGACCTTCACATCTATAGGTGAACTTGAATTTGAATCGTTGATGCTTGCATGAAAAACATGATACCGTAGTTACCTTGGAGTTCCGGCGTTATTTCGATCGGTGCCTCGGAGCTCACAGATCCATTAGGTATCGAGAGTATTGCTCGTCGAAATCCGCGAGCAAGTCGCTGTTTGAGCGGTAGAGCCATACCAGCAACGGCTTTTCCAAAGCCAATTATGTAAACAGAATCGCCGAGTACACACGAGTGTACCTTTCCCTGGGTGTCTTCGATTTTGAGAACATTATTATCATCACCGGCGGTTATTTTGGACTCGATCAGACGATGCGACATTACCGCTGTGAGACCAGCCTTGAAAATCATCAGTAGCTCCGAGCGAACTTGGTTGAGCTGGCAGCGATCGTCGTGTCGTTCCATCCTTGAATTCGAAGTTGTTGCTACTTGTCGAACTAACGACGTAGTGAACGTCTGTAAATTGTTTTTTGAACGTAATAATGCCTGACAATGCGTTAGGTTATGGTGGTGAACAAATTTTGCCTGACGCGATAGTGGCCGCACACGTAGCTGCAACATTATTGTGTGTATAATACGCCTTACGTAATATTACTTTGAAACTACGCACGCACTCGTTTAAGAAAATCTCGTCGAAGACTCGTATCGAAGAAATCATTTTTCAATTCAATCAATTTCTCCCAAACTAAACATGCCTGCTGTAAACTGCACAAGCTTAAATATTTGTCAATGAAACAAGTACGGTACTTAAACGAGACTTCTTTCAATACAACAGAACTGAAGTAGATAATTGTAACCAGCGATAGAATTAAAGAATTTATTTGTGTCTCACATAAAGTAATCGTTATTATCGTTTTGTTGATACGATTTCTTTGATAAAATGTTGACCAAGAGCATGATTTAATCCTGAATGAGCATTTTCTAAGCCTCGTTTCAATGATATGTAAATTCTACCATCAAATTGTGGTAGTCCTGAAAATGACATATTGAATTTGAACTCAAGAACATTTTCTCGACAAGCTTGATGAGCGAGCTGCGCACTCTGCATTGTGACGGTCATACACCTGGCATGAATGGTACAAAAATCAGTCACGTCTAAGAAATGAATATTACTGAGCTCGATGACAGTACAACGACCCCGCTCTGATAATTGAAAATTCTAAATGAAAGGCTTTTGAGGCTTTGAGCGCGTGATGTTTCAAGGTTTTTTTTTTGATTCTGCTTCTCAACTCTGGGCCATGCCAGTACTGTATTTATATCTAAAAAAATTCGCTACTTTTGTAAATATCGACATAGTATATGTTTAGCCTTCAACTAACGTAAAAATGCGATGTTATTTTAAGATGACTATCAAAGTAAATAACTTTTTTTAAATTGTGTTGAAACGATACTCGATGAGTGCCCATTGAGATAAAAAGCGTACTTAACCAAATGCGATATTATCTCTCTATAAAAAAAATCTTTCTAGTATTTCAATTATTCTATTCTCTCAGCATCAGCAGCACAACGCGATATTACTACTTATTTAGAATATTTAACTTGCGCTGAAAGTTGAACTTTTTATTTCACCTCCCATTACCATTTGTGCACCAGCGGAGAAATTAGCAACTCACGCTGTTCGGAAAACGGGATTGACATAGATTTCTGTCTTGATGTAATTTTTAATAGCCATTTCAAGGTCATCGTCATGACATCAATAAGCGAATCATAGCTCATGCGTCGTGAAACGCGTAATGTGACAGAAATTAGTATCTTCGATTCTCAAATAAAACCCTGGCATTTAGTGAATAAAATTAAACAAGATGCTACAAACTTATTTGAACCGTACGTTACAGCAGTTTGATAGCCCTGAAAAGGGCTGGTGTCAAAGAAAATACGACTAAATCAGTTTAGGCACGTTCTCCACGGATGCGGCGAGCAAGTTGAATGTCTTTAGGCATGATGGTGACTCGTTTAGCATGAATGGCGCACAAGTTGGTATCTTCGAAGAGTCCGACCAGATAAGCCTCACTAGCTTCTTGCAAGGCCATGACAGCAGAGCTCTGGAAACGCAAGTCGGTCTTGAAATCTTGAGCTATTTCACGCACGAGACGCTGGAATGGCAATTTACGGATGAGAAGTTCAGTGCTCTTTTGGTAACGTCTGATCTCACGAAGAGCGACGGTGCCGGGCCTGTAGCGATGCGGCTTCTTGACTCCTCCGGTGGCTGGGGCACTCTTGCGAGCGGCCTTGGTAGCCAACTGCTTGCGCGGAGCCTTGCCTCCTGTCGATTTACGAGCGGTTTGCTTAGTGCGAGCCATAGCGTCAAATGAACGTGTTTTCGAACGTGCTTACTGATTTCATATGAAAGTCGCCCGGGAGTGCGTTAGTATTTATATGATCAGCTATTGTGCCTAATCATGCGCTCATTGGCGTTCGTTGCGCAAGTGGGGATGCGCGTACTGACTTGGTCAACGCAGGAAGGGATTGCATACGAGGAAACATATAAATATGGGAACATTTTCGTACATTATCACTTTACTTTGAACCTTCGTCCAAGCATCTACAATTTGAAATCATGACTGGTCGCGGAAAGGGTGGAAAAGGATTGGGAAAAGGAGGAGCAAAGCGTCACAGGAAGGTGTTGCGTGATAACATCCAGGGAATCACGAAGCCAGCAATTCGCCGTCTCGCTCGTCGAGGTGGTGTCAAGCGTATTTCTGGCTTGATCTACGAAGAGACTCGTGGTGTCCTCAAGGTCTTCCTTGAGAACGTCATCCGTGATGCCGTCACCTACACCGAACACGCCAAGCGCAAAACCGTCACTGCTATGGACGTTGTCTATGCTCTTAAGAGACAAGGTCGCACCCTCTACGGTTTCGGAGGTTAAGAATCTGAACTGAATCAAAACGGCCCTTTTCAGGGCCACAAAAATTTAAAACGTATGGCACACTACCGATTACTGCATCTTCTTAAAACAATCTCATGAAAAAAAAAATTCGGTAATGAAACCGCATTATACAGGTATAGGTACGATCCTAGCCCTCACCGATATGACCGTCACGATTAACGGATGACGAATGTATAAATACATTCGATTTGCAGAGAACAAAGAATGTAAGAAATCATGAAACCGATGAACTGGAATTAAACAAATAATTAGTTTATTTACATCAAGTATCAATCATTATATGACTTCAATCCTAACAAGATAATCAACTTATAGCCCACTGACTATAACAATGCCATCGACACCTATCATCAAACTGATAACGCTATGTTTAGATATGCTGATTGATAATTCGAACATCAGCTTATTTACGTCTATTCTAAAGAAATAACGTTTTAGACTTGTTGCCCGACAAGCCAATGTGCCACTGAATTTTACTCTAGTTCTGCATCTTGTTAGTTGTCATGCGCTGCAACTCCCCGCTCACTTGCAATACAAGGTTATAACGCTTGCAGGTATATGTTTACATACATGCATCTGGTGTCGAGTTAATTTTGTTATTCGTAGATCGATGATTGTTGTAAACGCATGGATGCTTTCAGTGCATAAACGTAAGCTATGTTCTCATGTTAATGATACACTTTGTTTAAAATTAACATCCTTTATTTCTGTTGTTTGCTAAGGTATTACTTTTAGATTAGACAGTAGGCAATCAAAATGAAGCTATTCAAATTGATTGTGCATCAAAAGAACTTCAGTGGAGAGGACCTTATAATCAATCCTAAGGATTATCCTGGAATTAAAACTGGTGATGTAGTAGAAATATATGATCCAGATGATATTTTCAGTCGCTTGTTGCTGCAGGTTACAGCTTTCAAGGAAGACTTACAAACTAGAGAAACTATTAGTGTTGAGAGTACTGTAGCATCCATGTTTCAACTACGTACTTATGGAGATGTTTATATGAATATTGTTGATCCTGCTAAAGTAGCTCTTGATTCAGTTGAATTGACATTCAAAGACCAATACATGGGTCGAAGTGAGATGTGGAGGTTGAAAAATAGCTTGGTATTAACACTTTCTTTGATGATAAATTCTGACACATTGAACCTTCATATATTTTCATTTACATAAATGTTTACAGGTCAATACATGTGTATATATGAATAAAAAAATTGAATTTTGTGGTGGTAGCATACGATGTCAAGTCTATGAAATGTGGTTACAAGGAGACAGAGTAGCTTGTGGAGTTATTACTGATGACACAAAAGTGGTGTTTCGTTCCTCTACTAGTATGGTTTATCTTTTTATCCAAATGAGTTCTGAAATGTGGGATTTTGATATCCATGGCGATCTATATTTTGAAAAAGCTGTGAATGGATTTCTAGCAGATTTGTTTCAGAAATGGAAAAAAAATGGCAGTAATCATGAAGTGACTATAGTTCTGTTCTCTAGAACTTTTTACAATGCCACGAGTCTTGAAGAATTTCCTAATTACATGCGTGAATGTTTACAACAAGATTACAGAGGCCGGTTCTATGAAGATTTTTACAGGGTTGCTGTTCAAAATGAGCGTTATGATGATTGGAGTAATGTTTTAGTTCAGTTAAGAAAGCTATTCACTGATTATCAAAAGCTTGTATTAGAATATCATCAAAAACCTGGTATTGAGATGCCAGCAGCAACAAATTCTACTGCGGCTCAAGGGAACTTTCTTGAAGTGCTCAATATGTCATTAAATGGTAGATTTGTTTATTTTAAAGTCCATGTCCCTTTTCCTTAGCACTACAATTTTATTTGAATTTTAGTTTTTGAAAAACATTACCTGGACCGTAGTTTTGACAGAACTGGACAACTATCCGTTGTAATAACTCCAGGAGTTGGAGTTTTTGAAGTGGATAGAGAATTAACTAATGTAACAAAACAGCGTATAATTGATAATGGTGTTGGTAGTGATTTAGTATGTGTAGGAGAACAACCACTTCACGCTGTTCCTTTATTAAAGGTAATCAAAAATTACTATTGATGTTTGTAAAATAATTACCATTGAGTTTTGAAAAAAATATTCTATAAAGTCAAAACTTGTTCTATTTCAGTTTCATAACAAAGATTCTTCTATCAATGTACCTGATGATTATAGTATGCCTCATTGGATAAATTTAAGTTTTTACTCTACCAATAAGAAAATTCCAAATTCTACTTTTATACCTCGAATCAAGTTACCCCAAAGAGTTACCAAACAATGTTCAGAGAATAATGGTATTGGCATTAACTTGAAAGAGAAAGCACGCATGCTTCAGGAAGAAACCAGAGATTGTTTGCACAATACATTCTTTGATTATGATGCTTATGATGCCCAAGTTTTTCAATTGCCCTTAGCTCATGCAACTAGTCTACATAGAACAAATGGCAGAACCAAAAAAACTAGTGTAATTTGTATGGAGACTCATAACAATGCTCAAGCTTTAAATTTATTGAAAAGAAAAATGTCAGATCCTGATATCCATCATCCTCCACCAGAAGTTCATTCGCCACCACTACCTATTGTGCCAAGTACTACAAGTGGCAATAGTTCTAGAAGTGCAGCCATATCAATACCCTCTAGAAATGATAATGTAACAAGTAATGGATCAACGAGTGAAACTACTGGTAAATCATAAATATTCATTTTTATCAAACAATTAATTATCCATCAATTCATGGAAAATATTTTATTATTCAGCACCATCTCGTTCATCTACGACTAAAAGTGAATTAACGGATACTGAGATATCACCACCTCTTCGACCCATAATAGGTAGTGCAGGAAATCAACCAAAAATAAATGGTTCGCTCAATAGCCATCTCCCTCAGACGTCATTTTCGGCTGTTCGGCCTAGTCGGGCCCTCATAAATCCATTCGATCCTTCCCACGTTACGATTAAATTAACGAGTAATCGTCGACGTTGGACTCACATATTTCCCAAGGGACCAACAGGTGTGCTCATACAGCAGCATCACTATCAAGCCATACCTGCGAATCCACAGCAGCAAAAGTTATCTGAAAACAACAACGCTGATGCGTTAAGTACTTCCCCAAATGAACACCATGTAATAAGTCAAAGTTATTCTACGTCTATATCTAGATCTGCATCGCAAAGTTGCTTCAACGAATGTAAATTTCATTTCGTTTTCATATTAATTATGCCCATCGATTTTAATCACTCACAATAATTATTTGTTTTAGCAATGAGAGGAAAAATGCAGAGAATGAATTTAACTCTTTCTAACGGTATTGATAAAAGAACTACCGAACCAAAAAGTTTGACATTATTATGGGGTGCCACTGGTGAACAAGAGTGGACCCCAGCACTTACCACAGGTACGTTTTTTTTATATTGCGAATTTCGAACACTAATAAACTTGGGTTTTGAGTGAATCCCTGTGGTAAAAAAATTAAGAAATCAATTATGCAATAAAAAACTTTTTTTATCAATTATTTTTACCAGCCTCGTCGATTGCGTCAAGAGATTGACATGCTTTCTGAAAGTTAAATTTACAGATAACACTCGAATTACCTGAGTTTTCATTAAACCGAGATAGAATCATATTACTATTTTTTACATTGAAATAATAACTATTGCATCGCTCGTAACATTAATGTTTTTGGAATAATTATATACTCACAATTTTTTTATTCTTGAATTATGACAATGACTATTATCGAAATTATATGCTTGTTAATTTACATCCAAGTTTTTTCATTCGCATCAGGGTTTTGGATATTTCACGATTGCTTACGATCATTTTTGCAGAACACCTGACGCATCGACGATTTCGAGTGCTTAATTAAAATTATAAATTACGTTATTTTCATTCTTTAAAAATTTCAGTCGTACATACATCGTCAAGAAATTTTCTTTTTTTTTGTAATAGAATTGCAATGCCGCGAACCTAGTTAAATATTACTAAGATTCAACGCTAAAATAAAATTATCTCAACTATATGATAATTGTTTATCAAAATTTATGTATTTCCATGACGTGTTGGATGTTATTGGCAACGTTTGCAACGCTGGACACGTGTTTGTTGTTCGACGTGCGTGTGTGCCTACGCTACATTTGCTATTCGCTCAATCGAACAGCTATCATAGGTTAGCGACCATAATATGCCATTATCGCCTAAAGGGCTTTATTTTTATTTTTATTTTTACACACGTTTTAATCACCTATCATTCATTCGTTCATGGTGTAATTTTTCCCAGACAAGATTACAGAGGCCCACAAAAAATTTAACTGGACCGAACTATAGGGTTTCCATTGTTTTTTTTGTCCCGCTTAAGTAAAATACAGTATGGTTTTGTAACGGGTAAAAAATATAACTAGTTGGTCCGTAGTGTGAACCAACATTTTTTTATGGGCCTGTGTTAATTATTTCACTATCTAATAAAAACAGTAGTTAATGGTGCAGCCGCATGATCAAGTGAAAAAATAGTAATGCATGAAACTATATTCATCTTTTTGCATCTTTTCCTATCCTACAACTCATTACAACACGACTGACTTAAATAATTTATCACGTAACTGTAAATAATTTATCACGAACATTCAGCATGTCGTTATTCATATTTCGCATGCGTTAATTATATAACTATATTTGTTACTCTCAGTAGTCCTTACTCTCACGTCATGTACATTTTTCAAACGTCATTCTCCAGCAAATTTTGATTAAATTATCGAACGATACTGAGACTTGTACCCTGGTACAATGAAAAAAGCACGACACATTTAATTAGTTCTCTTTGTAAATAGTCATTCGAAAATTCGGAGCGTGAGTCAAAGTACCCAAAGTGAATACTTTTTATTATTGTGTAATCATGAATAGGTGTGGATTGGAAATCGCTAACGATTTCTGCATGTTTGCCGATCACGACCGATTACTTTCCGGACAAGCGGAGCTTGCAAAATGATTACGTCGTCTCGGACTACAATCTTCTCCCGGACGACGTGAACGCCGATTTTGCCCAACAACGAGCCATTTATCGCAAACCACTCTCGACAGCCGAAGTCTTTCGTGAACTCGTCTCTCAACGATTGGCTCAGGTATGTATATGAGCAATTCTCCAAATGAAACGCATTTTTTGAGGTAGAATCGCGACAAATTTTTTTTTCAACCTACGTGGATACAGACCCCCGGGAAATGTTTTTGGGGGTCCTAGGAACCTGTAACCACGTAGGAACCATTGAAATTTCGATAGTGCTTATTTTTATAGCTACTTTTGTGATTTAGAGGACGAAAAATCATGTTTTCTCCTAAATACGGCTAATTACTCAATTTCTAAGTCGCTGAAAAAGTATCAAAACTCATCTAAAAAAAATAACTGACTACTGTGTTCGATAGGAAATTTTCTCAGCTTTCCAATGGTGGTATCAGATTTTCCGATAAATTGCACATTCACCGAGAAAATCACCATCACACATTGAGGGCTAAATATGTCGAAAAATTCAGTACGGAAAAAGTGAACTTTTTGGATAATTGTTGATTTTTCCTTGTGAAAATGAAATTTATCGAAAAATCTGACTACACCATGAGAAAGCCAAAGAAATTTCCTATCGAAAGCATATCTTTATTTATTTTTTCGGTGGAATTACAATGTTATACATGGGAATTTCTTTCACGTTGTTCGCTGTTTTCTGTTTCCGAGCTGATTCAGCGCGGTCGCGAGGTTTTCGGCTCGCTACAATCAAAACTAGCTCGTAATTCCACCGAAAAAATAAATAAAGATATGCTTTCGATAGGAAATTTCCTCAGCTTTCTTATGGTGTAGTCAGATTTTTCGATAAATTTCATTTTCACGAGGAAAAATCGAAATTAAACCTCAAAGATCACTTTTTCCTTACCGAGTTTTTCGAGATATTTAGCTTGGCACTTTTGATGGCGATTTTCTCGGCGAATGTGCGACTTATCGGAATATCTGATACCACCAGTGGAAAGCTGAGAAAATTTCCTATCGAACACAGTAGCCAGTTATTTTTTTTAGATGAGTTTTGATACTTTTTCAGCGACTTAGAAATTGAGTAATTAGCCGCATTTACGAGAAAACATGATTTTTCGTCCTCTAAATCACAAAAGTAGCTATAAAAATAAGCACTATTGAAATTTCAATGGTTCCTACGTGGTTACATGTTCCTAGGACCCCCAAAAACATTTCCCGGGGGTCCGTATCCGCGTAGGTTGAAAAAAAAATTTGTCGCGATTCTACCTCAAAAAATGCGTTTCATTTGGAGAATTGCTCATATATAGTTGCGGTTCGGTTATTTCTTGTGCGGCTGTGAGTCATTTCTTTTTTTTTCTCTTCAATATACGTGCTTTCGTGCTTCTTCAGGGATTCCAACTGATCATATTGCCTCCCGGCAAAACTCAAATCACGACGCCTGGTTCAAATTCCATACCGACGATAAGCTCGGTAATGCGAGGCCGACATCAAGCTGACTCAGAACACAAAGAAGAATACTTGCTTAGTATTGGCCGGATTTTTCATAAAATTTCCCTCTGTGGAAATTCCATCAGTGTGACTCGCTACAGGCCGAGGTATGTATAGAGTAAAATTATTCCTGATCCTTATCTCGGTCGATTTAACACTTGACCATTACTTAGGCATCCATACCCGCCTTTCAACATTCACTATCGTTATCGATTTCACGCTCCACACCATGATACCTATGAGGTGTCGTGGGTGTCTTTCACTACGGAAAAGCTTGAAAATTACAACTGGAATTACTTAGATCACTACATTTGCACACGGGGAGATACTGACTTTGCCCTAGTCGAGGTAGCGTAATCAAGCATTGATTCTAACTCAATAGATTAAATTGATAATTAATGAAAATTTCGCAACCTACCTTCCAAAGGCATTAAAGTACTGGCGATTCAGAGTTTTTCTGCTACCGTTGCACAATCAAGCGACCCGAAAAATACTCGAGGGTTCTCCTCACTGTGATATTTACACGCCTCTTACTACTACCGAACAGATTGCCATGATGGAGGGATTTTTACGATTTACAGAGGGCTGGCTCAACAAAATACGACGACCTCATCCTAACAAAAATTGGGTGCGTTATTTATTTTTTCCAGTTTTTTAACCGCAATGATTTTTTTTTTTTTTAATAATGCATTTCTCAACCAAATAACTTTGATGTACTGTACAACAATTTGTATAGTTTTGAAATATTTTAGTTTTTTAAACGAGCAATGAATAACTGTTCTTTGTGGATTCTCACCTTTAGCGTCATTATCGATCGAATCCAACGATGCATGAAATGGATCGATCTTGCACATTGTAATGTATGCGTGTGTGTTTATGAAATGTGTATTTATACACAATGACACCCACGCATGCATTAAAAAGCATAATTCATATTTAACTTTTGTTTTATATGTTTCTGTATGCTATTTCCTCAGATCATAATTTAAAAAACTCTAATACTTTTTTCTAATGTTATAATAGCATAACTTTTCCCAGTAAACGATTGTCTAACATGTTTGAAACCGTAGAAAACATTTTTATCATCATTCCGAAAGTAGCAATTTGGTTTTCAATTTTTTTAATACTTTTAATTATGCATTCATCCGGCCATTTTTCATCAAATGAGAATCAGATTTTTATTGTAAATAAAAGAAAAGGAACTGTTGTAAAATTACATGCAACGAAACAGAAAAGTATAATACGTGGTTCGAGATAGTAAAATAATCATATTAGAAAAAGAAGGGAACATCCGAGAAAATTGGGCAGTGCTGTGAGCATGATGTGTTTCAGAGCCCAACAGCTTTATTAGCCGGGGTAGTCCCGAGAGATCCTGCATCCCATCTGACTAGGCGTAGGCACAGTACGAGCCTGGTATCCCTCACTAACCAGGTATAACTACTCAATTATCCCGCAACACACTCGTATCGTATACCATGCATTTGCGTTACATGCGTAACGATTAACAGATTATTATTATTATTATTATTATTATTATTATTATTATTATTATTATTATATGTCATTTATTTTTGTTTTTTTTTCCTTTCAAAAGTACCAGTTTAAATTGGTATATATTTAGGGGTTTCAGAGGTGTTACATACACTTTTATAAGTCATATTTACTGCATTTAATTTGTACATACAATTTTTAAGCCTATTTGTCTTGTGTGTATGAATTTAAGATATAAGGATACTCATGATTCACTCATAAATTGCTTATCATAACGCAGTGATCACATTCATCAATCTTTTAGCATTGTAACAGAAAATGTTTGGTTGTTTTTTATTGTTTTTAGTTTGATTTAAAATTTAATTCAAAAGTAGAATGTCTACTTGCATTTTTACAACCTATTTCGTGAGTGTTTCATTGCCTATTTTTTATAAAAAGTAACTCATATATATTGTGAAATGTAATTTTCTTGTACATACTTAATTTGCAATTGATTAATGTGTATTTATGCGTACATTCATAACTCTAAAACTCAGCGGGATACTTATATCTTTCTTGTATTTGTCACAATGACGCTATTGCAGCAGACCAGCCTAGTGGGTAGTTCACCATTTCGTGAACGTCTTGGAAGTAATCGACTGCCCGAAAAACCAAGACCAAGGTTTGATATTGCCTCAAGTCATTGTCTGCTTGTTTTCGTGTTGTAGATATTTTATCACTGCAGCTTGACATTACCGCTTTGTTAATCTTTCACATCATTATTTTATGTTTTCTTTTTGTTTTGTGTCTTTGGTGTGGTTTTACATCTTTTTTATTAAGGTTTCTGTTTTATGGTATGATTCATTACCTCATTTTTAATTGAAATAACTTAAATTATGAAATTTATTCAGGCTTTTTAAATTACACCCCAAGATCATTGAAGGAATGAACATGGTGCTATGGAAAAGTTATCTTAGTTGACGCACTTATCGACAGTGCTTCTTATATCACAGCACTTTTACTTTGATGCCTTATTTTTTTTTAATATTACTATTAAAAATTGTGATTGTTCTCAATTATTATGACAATAAGAGGACAGGGTATCAGGATACGTGAGTGAGATTGAGTGACGGGGTTCATTTGTGTGCAGGAAACACTTAAAAGCGTCGTCTTGGGCGCGTCTACGGGTACACGTACGGCCCTCGACACTCCTCGCCACGTACCGCTTACAAGGTTGGTTTTGTTTTTTCTGATTTTTTTTTGTTGCTATTTTCCTAAAACCTTATTTTCCTCGCGCTAAAATCTTGGAAAACTGCTTAATACAATCCTATTTATAATTTTCAACTTATGTTTTTGCAAAAGCTTCACTTAGTCGCATACTTCGAACGATTATTTTCGCAACTAATTTCGTGCACGATCGCGTGGGTGTGAGAATCGAGTTTGGAGTGAGATTTTTTATACTAATGAATTTCGCTTCTTCACGCCATACCCAATATCTAGGTCTGGATCGAAAGTCATGGACAGAGGAAGGGTTTCGCCAGCCAGCGAAGCTGCACAATCAGCCTCGCAAGACCAGCAGCAGCAACTACAACAGCAGCAGCAACAGGCGCAATCGCAACTCGAGCATTTGGAAATAAACGATGAAAAGTAAAAGAAAATTCCATTAATTCTCGCGAATTGAAAAACCCCTGTACTCAATGACTTCATTTTTTTCTTTAGCTTCTCTCCGGAAATGACGAAAATTAAAAGCAACGCTCCACTCCCAGAGATTTTGGAGGCAATGCGCCATCCCAGTAACGGCATCGGATTTCTAACGTCACATCCTTCTTTGCCGAGTCAGACCTTTGTCAGTGCAGACGCTGTTCAATGGCTCAGTAATCACATCGAGGGTGGCATCACAGTCGAAACTGCTTGCAGCATCATGAAAGTAAGTATCCAGAATTTTAAGCATCGACACACGCAATGACGATGCAAGCTCATTTTTCATTTTTTTTTTTTCAGGGAATGATCCAAGAGAAACTAATTTGTCACGCTTCGGGAGACTTTTCAAAACAATTTATCGTTGGTTTTTACTTGTACCACATCGTGCAGGACAAAGATCACCAGAAAGGTACGTTTTTTGCCTTATAAATGACCTTCCTCGAACAATCGATTAGAGTGTAAATTTTCAGATTACCTGCCACCGCTGGGTGATCTGCAGAGCTTCGAGAACGAATGGATCGAGGTGGAGACTCGCGTACCCAAGGGCTGGTGCGAACCGCAATCTAGTCACAGCTCGACCGGGCACCTGTCCACGTCGTCGAACAGCACGGTATCGCACCCCATCAGCATACCGAGCTCCGACACCATCGACGAATCGGACGTTCACGTGTTCCTGCGCAACGATTTGGGCGACAGTGCCGACCCGGACGAGCGAGATTTCGCCCAGCCCATGTACAAGCACACGCACTTGGACATCGATATTAACAATAAGAGCGATCGCGTCGAGTGGGGACATCTGAGATATCAGTCTGCATTCAAGCCAGATCATTCGTACGAGCTTGTGGTGCAGTGGGTCGCTGCTTCGGGTAGTATCGTTGCCGATCTCGTGAGTATATCTTTGGAATTTTAAGTTTTGCTACAAGAACATCCAAAGTTAAACCCTCATTTCTTGTTCGCTTGTTAAGGTTTTCAATTGGCAACGAAAGGCTCAGAGTTGCGGAATTCAGATGATACCGATACCCAGCGATTTGCTTGCTTTGCCTTTTACCGCCAAAAGCGATCCTTTACGCGGACCGATTTTTATTCCACTCGATACCGAGTGCTTGATGGCTGGCAAACGGTACCTTTTCGAAGGTACTGTGTCATATTTTATTCGTTGCTTCATAACGACTTGCAGCTATTTTGAATTTATTTATTTCAATTATACACAGAGTTTCGCGAGGACAGCTACGCGCAGCGTTTGTTCCTATTCCAAGGGACAATACTGCAGCGATTCGGCTTCTTGCGCTGCCTCGTGGAGGGTAACGAGAATGCCCATCAGTACGTGCACTGCACCGGAAACGCCTTCGTCCTTGTGCCTTCGACCATCAGTCCTCGACCACGTCAGCCGACCGGTTCGAACATCACTCGACGCTCTGGTGTGCAGCATCGGTATCCTGTTCACGCGGACCAACCGAGCCCTCACGAGGCCTACATCACACGACACGTCAGTGGCAAGAATAAGGATGATTACAGCATGGACAGGAGGGTAAGAGAATTTTCCACGTTTTACGATTTTTCATGACAGAAGATCGTTTATTTTACAGATTTGCGTTAAACGATAATAGCTCTATCGTTTCATTACATTGTTAGAAGCGCTTAATTGTAATTAATACACGCGACGATATTTAATTAATCGAAAGATACACTTAAATCACCATGAAATCGTTGAAATTTTTATTTTTTCACTTAATCCTCTTCGTTATTCATCAAGTCCAATTTATCTTTTTTAGATGGGTTTCCTCTGGTCATGGAATCATATGCTTAGTCGAAAATGGAAAATCCCCTCAACAGCCACAGGCGACGAACTTTTTCAGAAAAAAATCATCCAAGATTTTCGTCACTTTTGTTCGAATGGCGACAATCGATTAAAAAGATTTTGGGATTCTTGCTGGGAATCCAAGGAGAAATTCTGTACAAATGCCAAGTGATACGTCGATCTCATTATTTTTAGCATTTTTATCTTTCATATCATGCGTTTCACGTGATTCGCTTCTGCTGGTGTTTCACGTTAAACTTGCATACATTATGCACAAATACATTTTATAATATTATGTTTATCTTTATTTTAGAACAAATTCTCCTGTTAACGAAACATGTTAATTTTTTACGATACATGTTACTCTAGCTACTAAAGCCTACCTATTTTTATAAAATATATTAAATCGATCATTGTTAATTTTGTTATAATTTGTTATAAAATTTTATCGTGTTATTCTGTACAAATTCACTTAAAGAATAAAATACAAAATGTCTTAATTTTATTATGTTGTTAGAAAAATTAATAATACCCTATAATTTGTCAATGCAGTAATGCAGTATAACAACAAATGTTTGTACTCAAATATACAATATTAAAAATTTTTTGAAACCCTTTACATAATAAATTTAATAATTAAATTATTTAATTACTTTTAAAATCCACTTTTGTTTGTAAAATTATAAACACATAGTTTATAAATTCTTGTAAAATACCTACAAAATTATTTTACTTCTAAGTACTCATAATGACTAAATAATAAAATTCTAAAACAGTCTATTTGCTCAGTACAGCTTCGATGGTGGCGTGGCGAAGTATTTTTTATTCTTTTTCGAGAATAATTTTCTGTAAAAATAATTGTTATGTAAAACTTCAATATTTTATAAAATTAATTTTAACAACCGAGGTATATTTTACTTACGAAGAACTGATTGGAGTATTGAAAAAACCTCTTTTGGCTAGTGATTCTGCGGATGTGGTACGTCGTAAATCTCCAATTTGAGGAGTACCAATTTCATTATTTTGATCGGAATTGATAAAATGCGCCCAGTAATCCGATGACATCCGTAACAAACATTCTACGACCTAAAAAAATTATTTTTTATAGAATCTAACATTAATTGCTCGACTAAATTTTCATTTAATCAAATACTTACTGCACTTTGGTTTTTAGTCTCAGAGAGCATGGTGTTATTGGATGGCTGGCTGCAACTGTAACCAACTAAAGTTGGCCCAAATACTCTAGCCAAATTACCAATTGGCATCTTGCACTCAGGAGTGCTAGAAACTCTTTGCAAGTGCAATATAAGAAATGCTAGCGTATCACGATTGGGTTGAGGTAGTTCTGAAACTGCTTGAAACATGGCTGTTTCAGCATCCTGTGGATCTCTAATAGCCGCTGCTTTCACAAAATCGGACCATAGTCCTACAGTTATTAATGGTTCTTTTAATGATCTCAAGAAATCTTTGAGAGTTGAACAAATAGTCGGAATATCCACTTCCGATAAGTTGGGTGCCCCACGACCTTTTAAAAACTTTTCCTTGAGAGCTTTTACATCAGCAACACTTCCACTAATACGATATAGTCCTTGCTCGGACATACCACGAAGTTCAACTTCATTGATGCAATGAACCACAAGTGACGGCACCATGGGTGAAACCATAGGAGTGTAATCTGCTATTGTCCCCTAAATTAAACAAAAGAGTAAACAATTGAAAATATCTTCCTACCAAGGAAATATATATTACTATATTACAACATACGGTTGCTCCTCGCAAAGTTGGAGTATTTCCTGTTGGAACACATGGTAAAGGTACAAGATCTCTACACTGTGTATGTGCTAAAGCTCTGCAATCTCTGCATTTAACTACACATTTACCGAAACCAATCCTATAATTTAAAAAATATATAAAATGAAGTTATTCAAATGAAATAATAAATCTACTAAAATCGTTAAATATTGAATATACCTTTTACCACATGGTGAGCATACTTCTGGCCTGATTACTTTTTTACTAATAAAAACATGCGCTCTAGTTGTCTTAGCACCAAATGTATATCCATTTATGTTTGGGCTAGGTTTGAATACATTATCTGAATCTGAATTTGTAGAAATGATTTCAGCTTGTGGAGCAGAAGGCTAAAAAACGTACATAAAAATATTAAAGGGAAAATTATTGTTTAAAAGCTTTGAAATGGTATATACTTACAGTAGGTAGGCAATCATCAGTTAAACTGGTTCTAGATTTTCTACCACCATCAGATCTTCGAAGCTTTTTATTATTTGAACTGTTACGAGATTGTGAATTTTCTTTGTTATCTGTTGGAACAGCTTCTATAGTTGTAGTAGCTGTTACTGGACCATCTTTTGGCACAACAACTCTTGTTTTTGCAACAACACAGTCTGAAGTATTGAGTTCTGCTGTTCTTTTGATACTACGGCGACGCTTATGTTCGCCACTGGGCCTATGGTCTTTCCAATTTCGCTTATGTTTTTCTTGAAGGATAATACTTGCATCAAGATCATCTTCAGATTTAGAAAAATGACTCAAATCACTCAGCAACGTGCCTGTGGAGTCCAGCTCCGCAATTGTATTTAGTCTTAAAAATTGAATAAGCTCAGATCAGTATAAAACGTTTGTGCAAAAACAATTGTAAATAAAATATTATTTGAAAAAAAAATTAGTAAAATTTTAACCAATAAAAAAGGATCACTTATTATACTTATCATTTGTATGCTCTTTCCCACTAGACTTTCGTCCTTTACTAAGGGTACCATTAATTAAATGTTGTATCTGCTCTCTTGTATCGTCATTTATAACTCTGCCTCCATTCATAAATAAGATATCTCTGATCAACATCATATGACGATCCTAAAATTATAATCACACCATGTTTACTTCAAGATTTAAGTTTTATTTGTCATTGTTGATAAATAAGTATGTATCAATTGGAGATGATTCCTATACAATGATTTAAATGTTTGCGATACTTACAGAAGCAAGCCGTTCATCTTCTGCAATTTTCCTTTTCTTTTTCTCATCATCTAATAAACGCCTTGCATGGCAAAGTTTTCTATCTAGATCAGCGGCTTCTTGATGAGCTTTATCTAACGCATTATGCAGGCGTTGACATTCTTGAACAGAAGTCAGCCATTTTTGGCGTATTTCTTCTTGATTGATTACAAATTGCAGAAATTCTGAAAAATTTGATACATATAATTTTTTGATAATAGCAATGAGCGTTAAATAGTACAGCAATGATGTTGAAAAAAAATAATAATAAATAAAGGCATTTATTTTGAGTCATGTAAACATTTATGACTCATCTACTTTTTTTTATAATATAAAATTGCTTGTGAGTCTGTATACATCAGAAAATAATGCCAAAGATTCGCCAGAATACTAATCTGATGTACACATGCAACAAAGTAATAGAATGTTGTTAATTATAAATGATAAAAATTTACCTCCTTCACAGGAACCATTGACGAGTACGTTGCTACACCGCGTAAGCTCGTCGTGAGCTGCCAATATCGACAATGCAGGAGGCGTCGACATTTTTTCAACTATCTTGGATCGATGAAAAATGACTGCACCAGAGTTAGTCTATCATTCGCTTTTCTTTTAACCTTTTAAATATGATCAATCACATTGAGAACAGATATGAAACACAACCTATGGCTCCAGTGCCATCGAAACACACGCACCACCGAACGCCGCACGAACTTTAACACGGCGTCTTTGATCCTTCGAACAATTGTCTAGCGGGCCGTACAGCAAGATTTGTTTGTAGTCAACAGCAGTTACGGAATGAAAGCAACGAACGTGCAAGCGAGCGACGATTTCATTGGTCGACTGGCCCGTTTGCGATACATTCAAATGCGGCCAATAACACGAGGAACGATGGGACGCGCTAACCTCTAGTTCGACGATTCGCCGTGGTTACTATTCAAGCGCTAAATTTTCGAATCTCTACGTCGCCTCAGATTGTTTATTCTTTAATGATGTTATTTTTCAAGGATATGCACGGTGAGAAACGAAAATTTCATCGATTTCAATGCTTGAAGTTAGCCATATGTACATTTCGTAAGACACTTAAGTTTAACTTCGGTTTTATTAAGTTTTTTGCGAATCTTACTAATTCATCCACTTCCAATAATGAGCATCATTCACACTCAAGTTCTTGACACGAGACTGATATTTTTCAAGCGCTAACGTAAAGGCTATTTAGAGACTTTTAGTACTGACAAACACTCAACAGTACAGACTTATGAAAAATGAAACGCTTGATAGTCGATAATAATGAGCCACGTCTTTTACCAGAGTTTCGTATGAAAACTATGCTTCTTACTTTTATAGTTGTCGAGGAAAACGACAAAAAACATGAATTTTCTCTCGTAAAGGAGAGAATGAGTCATGTTAATTCTTAACAAACAAAAAGCGGAAAAAAAATTTGGTATCTGTATCAGATGTTAATTTTTTTACTCGAAAACTTATTGTGAACTAAAGCGTATTTGAATTGTCGCAAATTGGAGTTCTTTTTAGTTGTAAAATTGTTCATAGCAACTTAAGTTTTCAAAGTAATTTTCCGTTAAAAATGAACCATTCATAAAATATCGCATGTATTTGATACTTAACAAGAACAAATATTTTGCAATTCAAAACTTGCTTCCGGAGATAACACGAATGAAAAAAAATTAAGACGCAACCTTCTGTATTGGACATTTGATAGCAAATTTTTATTATTAGTTAATTCTTTATAAGCTAAATCGTGTGTCTTACACTAAACGTATTTTTATTGAGAAATCATATAAATTTCTTTATACAAATTTTTCACTACCTGCACTGTTTATTGCGATAATTAGTGAATCAAAATTTGATAATTGCTGAAGTTGAAGGTCAATGATCTAACTATAATGGACGAAAAATAACATGCTCGAAAAAAGCAGCCAAATCGAGAAGTTTTCTCTCTTCATCTTCGAAAATAATCAGAAATAGCCCGGAATATGTTTATCGTTGCGAATATATCGAAGACTCGATTACGATTTAAATAGCCTCGTATCGGAGTTGGGCTGCACACGTCTTCGGCTCGCACCGCAACGTACGCAAGATTCCAGAAACTTCGTCGCTTGGTTTAAAGGTCCCAGCAATGGTAAACAAACATCGCTTCCTCTCCATTTAAATATACTACCGTAAAAAAGCAGGCAATATATCTACAGGTGGAGTCTGGAAAACGACACTTATTCGATACCGAGTATTAATGAAGATTTGCCTGGGTTTTAAAACAATAATTACGACTCAAATGGCATCAGGCTTGCTATAGACCAAAGGCTCCCCTCTCCTGTTGGTCCGAGTGTCCGGTTTGCGTTTGCAGCCTGAAGTCGAAGGGCTCGGGCGTGTGTGCAGCAGCTGGGGCAAAGGAGCTAAGCACATAGCTGCCTATCTATATAGGTAACAAACATTTGCAACGGCCGCACGTGTTATGTTTGCGAGAGGCTCTCTGCCAAGCTGCTGCCGATTAAACGCCAGCAGTGAGAAAGAGACAGCATCGACGAAGCGCGTGTGAGTGTGTACGTGTGCGCCTCGCGAGGTATAGTATACAGTCGACGCGCGCAACTCTGAGCGCAAACATCGCTTCGCGCCTCTTTTTCTCGTGCAGTTTTATTCGAGCAGGCCTACGCGCAACACGCCTCAACCGAAGCCAACTGATCTCCGCGTCGCGTAGTATACACGCACCGGCTTTAACCCTTACCGTGTCAAATAGGCCCTCGTATAAGGCGTAAATATACGCAGCGAGATTAAATTCGGCCTAAGCTGTGTACCGTATTCCGCATACGTATACGAGAGAGATATCGGAGCAGTCAACCCTCGTGACTGAATTAGCCTTGGAGCATACACGCGGATCGATAGAGCTAGCTATCGGTGTGCGTGCACGCTGTACATTGCATCTATCGAGTGCAAGTGTGAGTGAGTGAGTGCGAGAGAGAGAGAGAGAGAGCAAGGGGTCGAAAGTCGCGGTCGCAGCTTCCTTGACCTTCGCAAGCTTTGCGCTCGCGCGCGCGACACCGCCTCTCGTCGTCGTTGTCGTTTTCGATTCGACTCGACGCACAATCAGCGATTGTAATAAAAATTTCTTATCGTCCTCTCGACGACTTCTTGCGTACCTCCTCGCGACGCACAACAAGCGATCGACGCGTTTGCTCGTATAATTTAATAAATACAATCGAGGATCAACGATGCCAGCTGACGCCGAATTGAGCAACATCCTCAACAGGAGGCAAAAAATGAACGAGGACCTCGAGGAGGGCAAGGAGGTGAAGAAGCAGTACAGATTCGTTAACGTTTATACGGAATTTCACGAGCTCAGCAGGCGCGAGATCAAACAGTACGAGCAGACCTTCAACAGGTGAGTTTAGCCGCCGCCTACTCTTATTTATTTTTTATTTCAATTCGGCGCCGCGCGCTCCAGCCGCTCGAATGGAGCACCTCGCCTCGCGCCTCTTTCCTCGGCACCCGTCCAGCTTTTTTGCGTCCTCTTTTTTAGCATATTTTGAATATATTTAAACTTGGAATGCGGTAGCGTGAATATTTTCTCAGCGGTCCAAAGGGCTTTTGCGCAGCTTCGTGTAAGCACATCTCGCGCTACGTGCCAAAGCCGACTCGATATTTTTCGGTAATAATTTAATGTCTTTTCTTATCTGTCGAGCAGGTTTCGAGCTACCACAGTTACGTACTCGGCTCGATAACAGATGCCTTGTACAAAACGAATCTCACGTGACGCTGAAATAAGTGCCTTGAGAAAACTAAACACTCGGTCTAGCTCGTGTTCGATTCGTCTAGCTAAAACAAACGCTTCAATTTCAATTGACTGCGTGACAACTGTGCGTGCGTGTTGTTCGTTTTGTAATGTACACGAAAATGCTAACGAACGATTTCATTAGCAGTTTCGTCGTGATGCTTTATATACTGCCTTAAATTGCCGCTGATAAAAAAAAAGAGTCTACTTCGTACGAACGTTCGTGTGAATCTTGAATTCCTCTTGAAGTGGAATAATTTACTTCTGAATGTTTGCGGCTCTCGAAGCGTCTGTGCCTATATACGCAATGCACGCTTAGATGTTGACTTGTGATTCCAATATTTTGACTTTCGCTTCGAGAGCTCGATCTAATCGAGTGTCCTAATCTTTGCAGTGACTCGGAGGATTTTCCGAAATTCTCCATGCTGACCGATAAGACTCGGACTCTCCTGCGGAACGCGTGTAACGTGTCTCTCTCGTGCGCTGATTCACTTGATGTTTCTCCTCGGCATGTATATAAATTTCAATCGAACTCGATCAGCTATGTGTCGCAGATGCGTAATTTCAGCACGTGTCATCGTACCTTTGAAATTGGAAATATTCAACGACAGCACGTGGCGTGTGTGTGTATGTGTATTTGAACGCGCCTGCGATTTAAACGCCTCTATATACCTACAATCACTTGAGCAACATTTCAAACAGGTTCTCAGAAGTATTTCGGCCGGAAAGTAGGATGCGAGAGGCAGTAAAAGATAAAAAGTGCGCAGAGATTATTTATTTATTTATTTATTTATTAGAGGCTGAATTCCGGATTTTCCGATGCTTATCGTCCGGAGCTCGCGCCTCCGCGTGTACGCGCGCTCGCGATCATTATAAGCCTCTGCGGACTTTCGAAAGTTTTGACGTCTGTGCGCGATTTGTTTTGAGCTATGCATCATATAAAGCGCGGCGCGCTCGTAGTCGGTCGCGCCAAGGTGTCGAAAGACTCACTCGAGAAAACTTTTTTCCTTCGCTTCTGTCTCGCTACATAAAAGTCGCTTTCGTTTGATTGATATGTATTATACACGACGCCTGACTCGAGATTTTCTCCTTTCCCGCATTCGATCCGCAAGAGTATCGATAAATATCATACTCGGCGTATACAACATTACATTATATATTATTATCCTATGTAGTCCGTTGGGAAATGATCGATCGCAGGCTCGCGATTAATGCAATTGACAAGTAACGTCAGACGACTCGACTTGTGCGCGTATGATCGTTTCACATCTACAATCATTGGCTCGATCGGGCTGGTGTTGTTAAAAAACGATTTTTTCTCTCGATGTAACGCTTCCTCGTCCATTGAAAAGATTACGAGCTCGACGCTGCAGCTAGTATACATAGTTAATTGTGCGCCATAAATAAAAAATAAAAAATAGGCCTACCGCTGCTTCGAGGTCCGTGTATATAATTGCCGCAGCTAAGCCGATGGATCTGTCGTTCTAAAATTCTAAACTCAATGACTCCGAGCTCGCGCGCCTGCATTTACGTACAGGCGCAAAGTTGTGTTGGCAAAAAGTTAGCTCTCTCCCAAACGGTGACTGCAGCTCCTAAGAGTGAGAGAGAGAGAGAGAGAGAGAGAAAATAAGTATTCAGCTTGGCAATCGAATTCCTCCGAGTAGTGCCCCGTGCGCTCGGTACATAGTAGCGGGTCCGATAATCGCCGCCTTGCCCGCGAACCAACGGGAACGAATAAAAAAAGAAGAAAACAACAACACAAAGAGCATCTCGTGTTGCATGTCAATAATCCATACAATATAGACAGAGAGCCACGCGGCTCTCCTCGCAGCCTTTCGACGACTTTTATCTAGGCCAGTTCTTTGAATTTAAAGTATTATATAATTCTCAAGCGAAGCCAAGCTCCTCTATACCATTATATTTATATATCTACAGTTTCAATGTAATCTGATGGACTTTTTTTAGTAGGCGGCTTCATTGGCGTGCGCACCTGCATTCACTCGCGTTTTTTGACAATGGTAAATCGATGTTTCTCTTGTTTATCGTACAAGAATCTCCAAGATAATAATTCCGGCTATTGGCTCAAAAAATTCGTCATCGACGTCGAAATATTTCGTTTGTCCCTCTATTGGTAAAAGTATATCATCGATCGACGCCCATAGTTCATTTTTGGAATCGAACGTAAAGCAGATCAGTCGTATTTTCACAGCTAGTGCAGGAACAGCTGTGTATATATCATGTAAAATATATCAGTCAGCTCCTCGATTTTATTCTAAGAAAAGTATTTATTACTGGTCGACCTATCTGAGCCACGAATATAAACAATCTCTAATAATGAGGCAGCTTGCCGTACACAACGATATTTATAAATCATCCAAAATGTAATTCCATAGGCTTCGCGAGCTTATCCACGAGAAATCTGTAACACTTACCCGAATCGATAATGACTTTCGAGCGTCTACTGCAGTATTAGATGCATCGATCGAAGGCTCATTTGAATTTGAGGAAATTCTCATCAACCGCCTTGGAAATTTACATAACTAGGGACGATAAATCGAAGACGGACCCATAATTATAAAATACATGAAATCTTTCAGGCATTCGGTTGCTGTGTAATTATTCGCTTTCCACTCGTGCAAGCGGCAATGCTAATTCGTGGATTTTGTAAATTTTTATAGCAAATGCCATTGGCGTTAATAATCGGGCGTTATACGAGGCGAGGGATAAGTGTCGCCGTGGCGCGACGACGACCTTCGCCTCGCCGCGACAGCACAGACTCATTGCGAATTAAATGTTCTCACGACACCTTCTTTTGCTATAATTTTTGCTATATGTATTTATTGACCTCGCAGCAAGCACCTATATGTAATACAGACGTGTAATACGTGCATATAAAATATTTTCTTGTACAAAACGAGGATGTGTGTACCGCAGGTCCTTTGCGTACGACGCTGCACACGATACAGCGGCAGTTTATATCTGGTCGAGGCGTGACACACTCCAATCTTCGCGCGTACGAGGGAAAATGATGAGTTGAACGCGAGCTACGAATGTATACACTATAGCTACGCGCATACAAGTGTCATTTACCTCTTGGCCCATCCGGGATAGAATCGTCACGGCATATGGCCAAATCGGGAGCTCACAAAGAACTTGGCCGATGCGACGAAAATAAAAAGGAATAAAAGAGAAACATCCGGACTGCGAGCAGCTCCGGACTTAATAATAATGTACTCATCCATCCATACTTATGAATTGTTGAAGGATATTTATATACGCACACGTCGATGAAGCGGCGATGTCCGTACGATAGGGGGCACATGCGAGGCTCGCGCACAGATGCTCGCGCGTGTCGTTAATTGACTGCATCGATCTATGCGAATATGTACATTTTTCTATATATATGTACGTAGCATATGCACCTGCAGGGAAATGCACGTCCCGCGCGCGCCGATCTCAGAGGCGAAAAAGGGAAAGGAATTCTTTGTCGAGAGACTGTACGTATATAACGTTGCGAGCTTCGTACGTGTAATGTGCACTATAAGTGTATATTCATGCACTTGCAGCAACGACTAAGACGACGACGAGGACTTATAATACGTCGAAGCGACTGCAAAGAGAGAGAGAGAGAAAGATAGCGCATAATAGTATAATCGTGTCTTGTGCCACGACGTACAACTACACAAACTTACCGCACTTTATTATTTTATGCTCTTCGGCTAACTTTGACTCTCTTGCATATTGAAACATTTGCTGGTAAACACGATGAATAAATTGCTCAATGTACTCGGCGAGATTGTGTACACATAGTGAGTAAACAACAAATTCGTTATATTATTGCACGCTCCCACAGTAGGAGAAAGAAAGAGAAAAAAAATAATTTCGACCGACTGAAGTGCGCGGCCCTTATGTGCAGTGCACGTCAGCTGCTGGTGGCTCTATCGTGGCATGCATGCAGAGGAAATGTGGGTCATATAATAGCGAGGGCAACGGAGGGTCGTTGAAATTTGACGAAAGGGAACACAAGAGGGCCAGACGAGCCGCGAGATATGAAGAAATAATAATATTTGGAGCAATTGTCGACGCTTCGTATATAATATACACCACAGGTGTAATTTGCTGTTATTTCGAATTCTGCTCGGGTAAAAATCTTCGCGTATACACTAGGCTCAAGAATTTTCTCACATGGAACACGTACGACCGATCTGCGAGTGCCTGCTAATATTATTCTACCGTTCCCCGCAGTTGAGCTCGTAAAATAATTCTAAAACGAGAGATCTCTACTATACGGTTGCCCAAAGCAGCAACCGAGCGCTTTGCGACGTTACCCCAACTACATATAGCTGTAAGTAATACCCACAACCAAAATATCAATTTTTGCTATCTCTCCGTCTCTTAGCTCTTGCTCGGCAAGGGGCAGCTACACACAAAAGAGTTAAATGCGTTTCATACATCTCGAGCTGGTATATATGTATGATTTTCGCTCTCTTTGCGATGGTCCAACGTTATTTTGGCTCGCGGGTGACGTGCGACATCGCCACCCTGCGTGCAAATATGTACAGCGTATACGTATTTAAAGCGAGTCTCTTTTCAAAGAGCCGCGCGCATGT